GTCACACCCGCCAATTCAGTCTTCGAAATAACCCGGGAGTCCGATGCCCGGGACCTGGTAAAATTGCGGGCGGGCATGTAAAAAATGAAGATTCACATGCCCGCTGGGCATGTGTAATGTTTTCTCATTGTAGACTGACTTTTATGTAAAAATATTTTACACAGTGGATTGCAATCTATACTTTCGTTTCTGATATTAAAAAGTGTACGGTATTTTATTCCATGACAACTCCTTTTCCCTTTTTGTTTCTAATTGGCATTTCTTGATTTTTTGTGTGTGAAAATTTGAATAGTAGTTTAGTAAAATACCCGGTAAATAAAATCAAAAGAAATTACATTTACGCCAGAAGTTATCGTTACCCCCCCCCCTTTTTCAACATGTTCAATTGTTCAATACTCGTTTATTAAATTCAGATTTCTTCAAAAATAGCAATGATTACCACATTTTGGTAGATTTATTATTTATTGTAGATTCTCTGACCTTTTTTAACAGCCCTGTTTATACATGTATTTGATGTACCAAATACATGTAAATATGCCGTCAGTAGTCAAGTAAATAGCTATAGGTGAAATTAATTTTTTATTACCTAATGTAACAATATCATTAAAACAGACAAGTATATATACTAAATAAGTCGACCAAAGTAGTGCATACACATTTTGAAATCAATTTCACAGGTGTCATATGCAATGAAGTGTAACTAACTAATCCCTGTCGTCTTTCTACTGTTGTTGAAATGCACGAGATAATCATGCCACATTGTGTACACAAACTGTAATTACACTGTAGGATTTTTCACATGGAATCCAAATTCAGTACGTTAAAAAACTGCATGCAGGTTTTTCCGTAATGATAAACTACTACATTTCAAAATTTTCGGTAATGCATTACAGCAATAAAAAGTATATGTTCTTGACCACCCGAAAGAATATTTTTCACTCTTGGAAATTTTTGGTTGTTGGTCCATTCTTGTATAAACAATGGTTCATACACTGTAAAGACAGCATTTTTTTAATTTCATGAAGTTAAATTTTGAGTAGGGCATGTAAACTTGGTAAAAGTAGTAGATGAGATGCCCGACGGGCATGCGTTGAAAAAAAAAAATTTTGTGAAGACTGCGCCATGAGCCAGCAAAAAAAAAAGAAGTATTTATCCAATCTCGAAAATTCTATGCGGTGGGGGGGGGGGGGGGGTTCCATCTGTTTCAACAATAAGCTTTTTGGCTACATAAAACGGGGCGATTTTACCGTGCTGCAAAAAATTAGGGGAGGGGTTGCAGCTAGACTTTTCAATGAACATTTTCAAACTAAATTTACAGTAAAATATTATGTTCGAAAATATACTTCGTGCTTGCGGAGCTTCAGATCTTCTTAATTAAATATTCATCTTTGTCTTTTTCACTGTCGTGGTAAATGGATAAAGCATTAAGAACCCACCTGTAACATGTACTGGGCTCTGAAGAGCACTGAAAACATTGGCAGGCGCAGACCCAGGTATTTTTTTCCAGAGAGAGGGGAGGGGGCACTACATTAAAAAAAATCCAACTCAAAAATTTGTTGATAAAAAGAAAAGAAAACTCCTTTCCCCAGCATGAGGATTTTTGCACAAAGTTTAAACTTGATTTTAGACGTAATTACCAAAATAGATAGCCTTCATCTAAATTTGCTATATTACGACTAGATGTTTACAGTTAAAATGATAAGTAAATTGTGGTCTGAATCATGGAATAATCAAAGTACAGGTGGCACAGGTTTGTTTGTTTGTTTGTTTGTTTTTGTTTGTTTGTTTTTTTGGGTTTTTTTTGAATGGAAAGTGTTGATTCATTTTCTTCTATAATAATATAATTTTTATAAATCTTATAAAGCTTTTATTCTCTCTTGTATAAATTGCGGTATTTTTATCGTTGTTTCTAGTGTCAAACACTGATCGACTTGCGATCATTTTCGGTGTTCGACTCCATATCATTTTTCGATACTAATTCAATGAGCTTTGGTTAATTATTTTGCGAATTATGTATCCAAAACCATGTAAAAACAGCTTTTAAAAATATTGATTGGTATAATTCTGTCTTTTAAAGTATTGATTAGCTTATTTGGTAAATGTTTGGAGCTTTGAAACAACATGGATAATTCATTTACGACTGAAAATTTGGAGAAATCACCTTCAAATTTCCCGGCACCTAGAACTATTAACAGAAGAGTTCGACTTAGAAAAGATAACTCTAAATGATTAAATGGATAAAAAAGAAGACAGATAATCAAGAGTTGCCTACTATTTATTGTTTATCAAAAGGTGTAGGTGAGGTTTAAAATGCGTTCGACTCGCGGTCATGTTCGACTTTCGATCAGTTTACCCTAGTGCAAACTGTTTTGCTTTAAAAATGACAGTTGAATGGCATAATTTGTGGTATCTCATCAGAAAATAATGTAAATATAAGAAATGAATTTAATTTTTGAAGATTCATGAGGTACATGAACTACGACGCTTAACGCCGGCATATTAATTATGAAGCTAACGCGCTTCATGAAATATGCCGGCGCGAAGCGTCGTAGTTCATGTCCTCATGAATCTTCAAAAATTAAATTCATTTCTTATATATATATATATATATATATATATATATATATATATATATATATATATATATATATATATATATATATATATATATATATATATAAAATACATAATTTCTAAAGATATTGAATATCCTAGCGTAGAGTGTAGGGAAAAAGATCCTTGTGTGAAAAATACCCAGAGGTTTCAAACATAGAAGTTTTGTCGATTATGTAATATTTAAAAAACATCGATTATGCAATTTTGAATCACTTTTTGTAAGAAAATTGAACCATGTATATGTCCAAATGCATGACATCTATGTATATTCGCGAAGAAATCGCTTGATTTTACAAGTATGATTAGTAGTATAGCATACTAATATTTTTCAGAGAACTCAGAAACTAAACTAACTTTCAGAAACTAAATCGGATCGCTGCCATTACTAAACTCTAGATATCAGAAGGAACTATTTATTGCAGAATGAAGCTCTTTACCTCAGTGAACGTGATTTTCGGAAATAAAATGAAGATGTTGCAAAACGATTGGAAGTTTCCGCTATGGTAAATATATTTTGACTTTTGAGACAAACTTGATTCTAAGATTCATCAACTAGGCTTCGTTTGAAACTCCAACTGCTTCAGCACGCAATGTCAAAGTCTCATAATATAATGAAGGTACAATTGTCACTTATTAATTAATGCGCCATACTAGTTCATTTTAATTGTTGTGGAATCAACATAATGTACTTCAAAATTTTGTAAAGGAACAGAAGTAGTGACAAGATTTCTTTTAAGGTTGCTTGCAATAGTTAGATCCCCCCATACTTTAGCTTACCTGAGCCAAAGGCTCACGTAAGCTTTTCTGGTCAGCATTTGTCCGTCGTTCGTGTGTGCTGTGTTAATTTTTCAATATAGGACTTCTCTCAAACCAGTGGATCAATTTTAACCACATTTGCCACAAAGCATCACTGAATAAAAGGAAGCCAAATTTAGGCTACTCCCCTCCCTTCCAAAGGGAGATAGAAATTGCAGAGAGGGCCTAGAGTTGTTTAAAAAAATTGTCTCAAGAACCAATATTAATCATGTAAAAGCTTTCATACAAAACTTACCGTTCACGGTAGCTCAGTCGGTAGAGCGCTCGCTTCGTGATCGGAAGGTCGTGAGTTCGAATCTCGGCCGCGACTGACCTAAGTCGATAAAAAATGGGTAGCAACTGTTCCTTCGCCATGCGCTCGGCAATTTGAAGTGAAAGTTGCGGGTCCTTCGGATGAGACCTTAAAACCGAGGCCCCGTGTCGCGGCAGGCGTTGGCACGATAAAGATCCCTCACTGCTCAATGGCCCTAAGTGCCGAGTAAAGGTCAAAATTTGAAGCCCTTCACCGGTATATGGTGACGTCTCTATATGAGTGAAAAATTCTCGAATGGGACGTAAAACAACATACAATCAATCAATCAATCATACAAAACTTCGAGTATTCAAAAGTTTAGAAAGTGAGCATTGTTCATGGATAAAATTGGTAGACCTTTGAAGGCCATTTGCTTGACGTACTGCTATCTGGAAATCGCTGATATGAATTATAATGAACAGAACATACTAGTATTCCGTGTCATTGCCAGTGTTGCTGGCTGATTTGATATGTAGCGGTAATGAGTTGTAATCGGCAATAGTCTTATTGATAAAATGTAGTGGTAATGATCACCCGAAATTTCGAAGAAATGTAGCGGTAATGAGTCGAAATTTTTCGCAATGTAGCGGTAATGTTGACCTCCCGAGATTTAGAAATAAAATACCCAAGATACGTTTTAGTTATCCAAAATTTGATATATTTTTTGATATATATATATATATATATATATATATATATATATATATATATATATATATATATATATATATATATATATATATATATATAAGTTTAAAAATGTCATACAATAATAGAAGTGCATTAATTGGCAAATTTTTAAATAATAAAAAGCATTACAAAAAATTTATCCAATGATTAAAAAAATCCTTACAAATAATCTTTTCTTCATTATCGCTAATTATTATTTATATTATTATTTATATGTCTACCTGACTCTTCTTGGCATGTTTTATTGGATATTCATTATATTGTGCTTAATTAATAGTGTTTTGCCCATATCCTTACCTTTACAGTGGCGGATCCAGGAATCTTGAAAGGGGGGGGGGCGACCAGTTTGGGGTCGGGGTAGGGGCCCACGGCCACACCAAAAAAAAAATGATTTATTAAATCTTATGTATATTTTGGACAGAAAGGGGTTGGGGCAGGCCCTCTCTATATCCGCCAGTGTTTTATTTATACACCTTATTTTCTATAGCTACTGCTAAATTCCTGTTTTGATGCTCCAAAAGTACTGAATAAGTAAATGTTCGAGGTGTTCCAAATGTCAAATCATTTCGTCAGCTATTACTTCTGCAATGTGGACTTCTGACGATCACAGAATTACATACCTCCAAAACTTTTTATGTGGATCGGTAGCAGGCGTCCTCAGTCGCACTATAACTTCTCCACTGGACGTCCTCAAGATCGTCTGTGAAGTAAAAGGTTCCAAGATGGGACTTCTCTCTGTTTCTAAACATATTTACGCTGTAGATGGGGGAAGAGGATTTTTCAGAGGCAACTTTATAGCATGTGTTAAAATATTTCCCTATTCTGCTGTTCAGGTGTGGTCTTACAGAAAGTTCCGTCGGTACATTTCAGACGACCTCGGGCGTTTGAGTATATCGGGATCTGTTTCAGCAGCCACCCTCTCGGTATTGACCGCCACTACTTTCACTTACCCGTTGGATTTGATTAAAACAAGACTCGTAATTCAACAAGGAGCAGCGTATAAGAGCATCGCGCATGCAGCCTTCACAATCATTAAAACAGAAGGTCCACGGACTCTGTATAATGGTTTATGGCCTACCTTATGGGGTATGTCACTATACTTTCTGGTATTTTATACATCTGTGATCTAAAATACAAAAAGGAGAACTAACTTATGTTAACTTATAATGTTTACATTACAGGCATACTAGTATATTGTATTATTATTCGATGTATAAAGTAATTAGGATTGATTGCCTTGAAAATAATTTGCCCAATCAAGCTTTTTTCTCTCGTTCGAAAATACTAGTTTATAATTACTTCCCTTGTCAAGAACTCTTCTACTTATAAGAGTATAAAAAGTATGCATAGTGGGACAGGCAAAATGTTCAACAGCTGTTTGAGAGACATTTTTACCAGGACCGAGGTTGGTGAAGAAACGTTCGCTGGCGAAACAGATTAATTTTTTGGCTATGAAGTATTAAATTTATCTGAATACACACAAACCAACAAATGTAATGACACTAAATATGCATGTCACAACACAACACACAGTATAGCAAAAAGAATTATAAATTAATTTCATAGTTCATTGTACATTCTCAAATCACTCTCAATCATCGGCTCATACATTCACTTGTCTGAGAACAAACGACAACTCTGCAAGGGAGATTGAAGCCAGAAATATAGACAACTACTTATAGGAAATCTGTCAAAACTTATAATATTATTTTAAAAACATTTCAGTTAAAATTTGAAATGATAAATAAACGATAATGTCTCATATACTAATATATTAAAATTTCGAAGTTCCCACGGGGCAAGTTTTCGAATTAGATGGTTTCATATTTTAATTATTTTGACAATAAAAATTGACCATCGTAAAGGATAAAAAGTAACAAATCAATTTTTTTTCTCAATCAAATTTTATTGATGCGCTTTATCACAAAACGCAGAAACGTATCTAGGTACCATAGAATTTAAAAATCGCAACATGAGTAAAGTGTATGTTCCCAGTTCTCACGAATAACTGTAAGACATTCGATCATCATAGAGTTTACATAATTGAAATCTTTGTGTAAGGTTATCCCATGTGTTGACGAGATCTCTCTCTAGTTCTGCTAGATTCTGCAGCTGGGGAAGCTGTCTCACTCTCCTGTCAATCTCGTCCCATACATGCTCTACAGTGATGAGGTGTGAGGCCTGTTCAACAGAGCGAACGTCCGCGAGCGCTCGTGAACATTTCTGTTGGAGGGATAAGGAATTTTGGCGAGCGCTCGCGAACGTTAGCGCTGTTGAACAGGCCTCTGGACTACGAAGGGGGCAAACCGAAATTTTCTGTGCCTTACGGACAATACAAAGGCTAGGTCACCTTACACGCAGTTCCCATTCCTTTAGTCTATTCCGTACAGTTTGGTTCCCAAAGTGTGCCGTGCAATTGCACATGCGATTACGTTCCTACTTGAGTAATTCTCGTGTAACTCCTAGGTCAAGATTGAAGGGTCAAAGGCGTTGTATCAAAAGGAAGGTCTTCTCACAGGGACTACACATGCAAAGTATGAGAGCCATTGCACCAATTGTTCAAAAGTTATGACCAAGGTCAAAATTGGGTAAAATTTTGCAAAACTGGGTCAAAATCCAAGGTCAAAGTCAAATATGGTGGTATCCAAAGAAAGGTCTTGACACAAGGAATACACATGTGAAACATGATAGCCTTAGCTCCAACCAATCAAAAGTTATGATCAAAGTTTTTGCGGACAAAGAGACAGACGGGGCAAAAACTATATGACCCCGAATCTTCGATTGTGGGGGGCATAAAAATAAATTTAAAAAAAAAGTTTAAAGAGATAATGCTCACTATTTAAGATAAAGAAACAAGGTTGTGTAAAAGGATCTTGAGACAATATCGGAGCAAAATCGGAAAAAATATAGTATTTCATCTACCCGTTTTGGCTCAGCTAGATTGTCTCAAGACCCTGTGAAAATAACTTTTACCAATTATAGAATTGATCAAAGTCTTGTTCAGACAGGTACTTTATTAAATATGGATACTTTATCAGAGTATATTAGAAACCGTTAAAGAAATAGTAATTACTAAGGAGTACCGATTTATGGAATTAAGCATGCTATTAAGATAATGGCTGATTGTAAAAAGAATCAAATTAATAAACCATACTTTCACAACTAGCGTTGCTTACGCTTAGATTAATAGGATCAGTGAAATTAATAATTTACGAGACTCAGTTAACTTTATTTCAAAACGTCACTCATTCTCTTTCAATCAGAGAAATTACTTAGTATATTACGAGAAAAAAGAGAGATAAAAGAGGAGGAAGTGGGTAAAACTGACTGATATGTTTTTTTTTTTCACTCACATAATTCGTAAACATCTTTTGTGAAATATCATATTTGGAGATAACGACAAAATAATCGACATTATAGCCCAAGACGTTGCAATGCATGTCCGCGAGAGGTGGGGTACCTGTAAAGTGCGAAACGAAATAGAAACGAAACGAAATGAAACGAAACGAAATCTACCGAAACGAAACGAAACGGGAACCTGTAAAATGCGAAACGAAATAGAAACGAAACCTAACGAAACAAAACGAAACGAACTCAAAATGAAACCTACCGAAACGAAACGAAACAGAATGTTTTTCAAATCAAGGTATATCATTATATATAATGTGTAACTGTATATGGACTATTTTTACTTCATATAAGATTTATATAGTTCAAGCACTTGTTAATATAATATTTAAACACCGATAAATGCTCCCTTCTCTAGTGATGTATTTACTTATACATGCTTATATGTACTGTAAATCAACTGCCAGCTACAAATATGCACGAGCATACTATATAATTTCAAAATACTCATTTCAAAATAAGCGTAGTATTCTCTAATTTTTATGTCTTACTTTTATTTTTAGCCTTTAACCATCGAAATACAATAAATTTCTCATAATTGATGTGCTACATGTAAAAGCTTTTCTATTTACGTATCGAAATAAAGTTACTGTACTGTTGTATTGCGAATGTCTTTAAACATAACTTAAAAAAAAAAACAAAACAAAACAAAAAAAACTGTACACATTGAGTTAAATGAAAAAAATGCATTACTGTTATTTATACATATGTGATCAATTATACAAAGCCTAATTATTATCATACTTTTGATTATTGTCGGGTCCAGCTTTTTTTATTTTTATTTGAGAGGTAGTTCCGAGAAGGACCCCCCCCCCCCCTCCTCTGGTGGTTTCAAGGCTTGTTCAAATGATTTGATAAAAATTGAATTTTAATTTCGATTAATGTATGCTTTGAATTTAATTTAAATTTGATGTTGCAATTTTACCGTATTATTATTATTTTTTTTTTTAAAAAAATGCTTATCCCCCGCTTTTAAATTACTGTTTATAAAAGTGTGTGATCTGATATAGTTTGGTGTTGGACAAAAGCAGACCAAGAATCGCCAGGTCTTAAAATCTGATTTTGAGTATACAACTATACATACAAATGGATTGTATTAACAAGAACCCGAAAGTGATAACTTGGGTTATATGTATAGGCTTAGTCTAATGTGTTTGTTTCGCACTAAAATGAGCAATATCTATTTAAAAGTGTTATCCATACTTACAAATGTGCACGTTTAGAAACGCACAAAATCTTTTTTATCTTTCACTGTGTATCAAAAGAGATTCGTTACTTATAAAATATACACTATATAATATATTTTAAATCATAATGTTTATATATATATATATATATATATATATATATATATATATATATATATATATATATATATATATATATATATATATATATATATATATTTCATTTTTGCTCGATTTTATTTCGTTTTTTTTTTGTTTCTGTAGTTTTCGTTTCGTTTCGGTAGGTTTCGTTTTGATTTCGTTTCGTTTTTTGTTTCGTTTCGGTAAGTTTCGTTTTGTTTCGTTTCGGTAGGTTTCATTTCGTTTCGTAAGATTTCGTTTCGTTTCGGTAGATTTCGTTTCGTTTCATTTCGTTCCGTTCCGTTTCGTTTCTATTTCGTTTCGCATTTTACAGGTACTCGTGTTAGAGTGCCCCCACCCAGCACCATCACGCCCCCCCCCCCCCCCCAAAAAAAAGAAAATGAAAATAAAATGAAATGGAAAATAAAAAAATGGCCAGTAAAAATACAACAAACGACAGGTCGGCCAGCCAGAATAATTGGTATTTAAAAAAAAAATAAGTCGCCCGCGTGTGGTTAAAGCGTCTGCTCTAGAGTTGAGGAGTAAGGAGTTGATCCTTACGTCTCGGGTTCGAATCCACTGCGGGACGTGGAGACCAGTACTTCGCATTAGACTGTGTAAACCGAGGTCCCGTGTCGCAGTAGGTGTTGGCACGAAAAAGATCCCTCACTGCTCAATGGCCCTAAGTGCCAAGCATAGGTTTAAAATTTGCAGCCCTCCACCGGCAAGTGGTGGGGTCTCCATATTAGTGAAAAATTCTCGAGATGGACGTTAAACAACATACAAACAAAAACAAAAAAAAATAAAAAGTGGAATAGGTAAAAGTGCAAAGACGAGAATGATGAATGATAACTACATAAAATCTGAGATAATAAATAATTATGATTTATTTGTATGCCTCCGTAATCGAAGATTCGGGGGCTTATCGTTTTTGTCCTGCCCCGTCCGTCTAGCTGTCTGTTTGTCTGTTAATCTGTTTGTCCACAAAAACTTTAACCTTGCCCATAACTTTTGATTGGTTGGAACTGCGGCTTTCATATTTCACATGTGTATTGCTTGAGACAAGACCTTTCTTTGGGTACCAACATATTTGACCTCTTAACCTTGGGGTTTTACCCACTTTAACAAAATTTTATCAAATTATCAAACCTTGGCCATAACTTTTGAACAGTAGGTGCTAAGCTTTTATACTTTACATGTGTATTTCTTGTGACAAGACTTTCCATTGGATATCAACAATTTTGAGCTTTTTACCTTGACCTTGGAGTATGACCCACTTTTTGACCTAGACCTTGACCTAGGAAATTGATCTACTTTTGAAAAACGTAAACCTTATCCATATAACTTTTGATGATAAGGCTTTCATATTTCACAGGTGTATTCCTTGTGACAAGAACTCTCATTAGAAACCAACAATTATGACCCTATGACCTTGATCTTGGAGTTTGACCTACTTTTGAAAAACGTTCATCCTATCCATAAATTTTGAATGGTTGGTGATAGGGCTTTCGTATTTCACAAGTGTATTTCTTGTGGCAAGACCTTCCCTTCGGCACCATTAATTTTGACCTTAACATTTGACTTACTTTTCAAAAAACTTTAACCTTCGCCATAACTTTTCAATTTTTTTTACTACGGCTTTCATATTTCACAGTTATATTCCCTGTGAAAAGATTTTTCTTTGGGTAACAACATTTTTTTTATCTCTTGACCTTGACATTGGAGTTTGACTTGCATTTGTGAAACTTTAACCTTCGCTATAAGCTGCCATACGGGGGCATCAGTGTGTCACATACACATCTTGTTTCAATATCAAACTCACTCTGCCACAACTACAACGTATGGTGGCATATTTCTGCCCCATGTGTGCAAGTTATTTTTCTGTCAAATATGTCGACATGCAAGATAAATATGTTGACATGCAAGATAGTTATGTCAACATGCAACATAACTATGTTGACATGCAAGAAAATTGCAATCAAATAAGAATTATAAAAAATCTTTAAAAAATCTCCAATATTGCCCAAATGTGACTTCCAATATGATAGATGCTACTTATTTATGTTGACATGCAAGTTATTTATGTCAACATGCAACTTAGATATATTAACATAACATGCTACTTATTTATGTCAACATGCAACTTATTTATGTCAACATGCAATTTACTTATGTCAACATGCAATTTGTTTATGTCAACATGCAACTTAGTTATGTTGACATGCAACTTAGTTTTGTTGAGTAGCGAATATATATAAAATTTTAAAAAAGTAAATATCCAAAAATGAAATCACAAATCGATGTAAATGTCTGAAGACCCAGGAATGGCGAAAAAGTTTACAGTGAATATGATCGATTTGTGATTTCATTTTGGATATATACTTTTTTAAATATGATCGATTTTCAAAATGATAAAATTTTGAATTAAATGATTAAATTTAAATGCAAAAGAAATTATGTGATACACATTTTGAACATTTGTGCGAGCGTGCAGATTCGTTACTACCCAAGACACGTGCAATGAGGCACGGTTCTGTTTTTTTTTTTTGTCGGTAAAATTGAAGTTGATTTTAATGATCGAAAATTTATTCAAGCAAATGTCGCAGTTTAAATTATTTTCTATAATATGAGGTGGACAACAAAGTATGAATTGAATTTCCTTAGATAAAATGTCCTGGCGATTCAGAAACGTGACCGTAGATTATTAAACGTTTTTAGGGCCCCTCTCTGCGGGCGACCTATAGTAATTAGTGTGTCCGTCCGTCCATCTGTTCGTCCGAGGTCTCTTTTAAAGGGTGTTTAGTGACCTTGAACTATGTTTCAAGGTCTAAGGTTAAGGTCATAGCAGAACTGTATCTGAAAAATGCATGTAAACATAAATAAGTTGCATGTCGACATAAATATGTTGCATGTCAACATATTTATCTCGCATGTAAACATAGCCAAGTTGCATGTCGACATAAATAAGTTGCTTGTTGACATAAATAAGTTGCATGTCGACATAAATAAGTTGCATATCAATATATTTATCTTGCATGTCAACATAACCAAGTTGCATGTTGACATAAATAACTTGAATATCAACATATTTATCTCGCATGTTAACATAAATAAAATGCATGTTGACATAAATAAGTAGCATCTAGCATGTTGGATGTCACATGTGGGCGATATTTGAGATTTTTGAAGATTTTTTTTATAATTTTTATTTGATTGCAATTTTCTTGCATGTCAACATAGTTATGTTGCATGTTGACATAACTATCTTGCATGTCAACATATTTATCTTGCATGTCGACATATTTGATAGAAAAATAACTTGCACACAAGGGGCAGAAATATGCCACCATAACAACGCATACAGAATAATATCAACAAAAATGATGTTCAAAAACATAAATACTTTAACTTTTGACACAATTCAATATCTATAATAGGAACCACTGATCCTGAAGCTATTTATTGACCCATAAAGCCCTGCTTCATTCACATACCCCAAGATACGGGAAAACATGAAACTTTCTCCTGTATACTGCTACAAGCTCTCTTCCTGTAAACCAACTACTTAAATTGCAATTTATTTTTTACTTAAATTTCACAGGGTCGTATAAAGGTTCCAAATTTTTTTTAAATAATGGGCAAATAAAAACTTAGATCAGAAGTAATTGAGATGATTATGAATGTTGTGTTGTGACCAAAAAATTATGCGTTTTACATAAATGTATGATTTTGGTTGTTATAGGCACCATACTATACGCTTTCTGTACCTTTTTGACGTATGAAGCACTAGACAGTCTTTGGTGGGACCGTAGGCTCCGTCCAATAGAACTCGTCCTACAGGGTTCAGCTGCCTCCTCTCTCGTCATCACTGTCACTTTCCCATTCGATCTCATTCGAAAGAGAATGCAGGTACAGAGTTTGTGTAGAAACTAGATACTAATTCACATTTTGCCTTGTACGAATGTTTATGTGTGAATTGCAGGCACGCAGGTAGCATCGTTGTTTTAAGGGAGAGAGGCCAGTAGGAAGCAATTTCAGTTTGGGGGGGGGGGGGGGGGGGCAGCCATACATTTTCAGTTTGGGGCACTATCAACTCCCAAACAAGCAAAAAAAAGTCATCAGACGTTTTTATTGAGGGGGCACAAGCATATATTAGCTATGCTTTCTATAGTTATATATATATCGGCACCCCCCCCCCCTCCTTACGGCCATGAATTGACAAGCAATAAAGAAAAGATTACTGAAAAAAATGACAAGCAGAAAAAAAGATCAGGTAGATTATACTGAAACAGAAAGTGGGGAAGGGGGGGGGGGTCAGTGAAAATTTTCATACTATGGAAAAAAGGTGGGGACATCTTCAAGGGTGTTAAATTCTTGCCTTGGCCATAAATTTGGAGTGCAAACACATTTTAGATTATATTGAACATAAAGTCCATCTGCAACCAAAGGGTATGTAGGAACCCTGCACCATGGTCATCTGGAAAAGTTCAAGGACGCAGAATTTGAAGTGCAAAATTCTTGATCATAGCCTTATTTTGTATAAATTAAGATCATACTTCACCTGGGAGTTTTTTATGAATATACAATACTAGTATAACATGAACCCAACAAAGTTCAAATTAAGATAGGATGTTATATCCCTGAACAAACGTATTTTTAGACAAGATGAAGGTCAAAGTGGCATGTAAAATTTGAGAAAACATAACTGCATAAAGAGCATCAGGTCATATTTGACACCAAGGTTGCTTGTTACCAAGAGATCTTTTATGATTACATGTATTTGTCCAAGGTCAAAATTTCATGGCTCAGAAGTTAAATGTTCTTTGGGATATGGTTTTTAATGGTAGGACTATATATTGTCAAAGTTTCAGACTCCATACAAATGGTGATCTCTTTAGGTTTTACAAACCTTTAATCCATTACATTTCAACAACATTCAGGCCATGTAAAATTTGCAGAATTAATATTTTCGCAAATATGCAGTTGTTTTTATGCTCTAGTATGCCCCCTATTAAGTTCTTTGCATGGGTTATTCAGTTCTTAAAGGACAGTACTACTGAGTATTGAATTTTTGGAAACAGATTTATATGACTTCAAGTAATTTAATGCACAAAGTAGTACTTGATTCTGTTTCAGGCAAAAAGCAGTACTCTACCATATAATGGTGGAGTGGGGATCCCCTTCTCAAATGTGCGAACCTGCGTCATCAATACAGTAGCAGCCTCTGGTGTTAAAGGACTCTGGCAAGGACTTCTCCCTGCGATTATTAGGGTACAAACAACATAATATTCCCAAAACTCTATGAATAATGTTCTCAAATACTTAAAATGATATAATTAGTTGCTAAACTGTATATCACCCATTTAAAAATGTGGATGGTGACTGTTGTCAATGTCTATTCATTTCAACTAAGACACAATCCTCTTAAATGTTGTGTGCTACTCTGTTCTGTCATAACGTTTTTTTTTAAATTTTAGACTGGCCCCTACCATGCATCGATGTATATTTTTTATGATATGTGCAAAACTGCCTGTCTATACAGAAATGGATATATAAGCAACATAGACCAGAACATCGATCTAGAGGAGCTTCAAGAAACAGCTGATTATGATGTAGATTTTGATATTGAATTACAGGATGAATAGAACTGTGTGGAAATAATGTAGCAGATATTTCATTTGTGATCCTGATGTTACTTTTCCCTCACACAATATAACCACGTGTGATTTCCTGTCATTCCTGGATTTTTTATTAGCTCTATTGGCCAGAGGCCAGGAGAACTCATGCATTGGTATGGTGTCTTTAGCTGTCTGGGTTGAATAAAACTTGATACATGTTCAAGTTTTAAAATGTCAAGATATTTATTTGTGTCAGTGTCAAATTCAGAAGAAATGGTACAGATCTAACTTAGAGGGCAATGAATGCAGGGCCCAAGAGCTACAGTCTCATCAAAGATTTTTGGGTTTTGATGTATTGTTTTGAAGTTGATAACAGTTACCAATCAGTGCTATCTTATTTATATACCATTACATGTAATTCAGAATAACAGTGAGTGTGACAGCACAATGATAATAAAGAAAGAAAAAACTTAAAATTGTTTTATACTTGTATTACAAAGAAATATAAAACATTATAACAGTATAACTGTTAGAGGAAGAATGTGGCATTGCTATAAAGAAAAACTCATACATGTACATTTTGTATTTAGTATTAACAATGATCTTAAGGCTAATGAAAATGTAATGACAAAAGAAAAATTCCATAATTCAGAATCACAGCAATATAAGGCTAATACATGTATTTAAAAAAAAACAAACACATCTGTAATATCTAACAAAATACAGGTACATGTAATCATGTTCTTTGTCATTACCTCAACTAAAATCTTTGTTATATTTAGTGAAATGCAGCATGAACTTTCATTTATTTGTTGACTGAATGAGTTTTAAAAATGTGGATACATGTATCTACATGTACATAATAAAACCTACAAGATTATTATTAAATAGTCTTGTTTTAACTTTTGAACAGCATCTTAAATTTTATTGAACTTAACATTTTACATTTAAATATAGTTGAATTCATTCATTAACATTACAAGCAATTTATTCTTGTATCATGTGCAATGTGTTGATACAACATGTATGAATAAATATTTGACATTTCACTGCTTTTTACACCCTGACTTTAAGGACAGGATATTTTAAGCCAATTCCTCAAAATACTGCAATGAAAGTGGATATCTTTATATGTATATTATCAGTAATGTTATATGCATCTGCAGTACCCATAAGAGAAAAGTTATTGGGGCAACAAATACAGTGTCCCTGGATACTGTTCTGTGTAAATAAGACCAAATGCTTGTCATTTTTGTAATAAATGTAGTAAATTAAATTTTAATGAATGTTGTGCTTATATGGCCTCTGCAAAGATTGTCAGATCAGATGAGTATCTAAACATGTATTTTCTTTTCTTCAAAAAATATAGTGATAAAAACCTAGAGGTTGTAATAACAGTCTTATGATTCCCTTCAAAGGAGAATGCATGCCATTCATACATGAAAAAACGTGTATCAAAAAGTCTGATACATCAGGTATTAAAATGGTTTCTACTTCAGAGCTCAATACAAATATACATGATGATATTTACAGTAAAAACTTGAGAGTTCTGTAAAAATGCTTAATGTATACTTTTTTAAACTAAATGTCTGAAATCGCTCTTACATTCTAGATGCAGATCAATTATACTGACAATCAATCTGAAATAATAAAAAACACCCTCATCAATGATGAATGAAACCAAGTTATGATTAATTTATATAAATTATGATTTGCATGATAAAAGCACACATGGCACTAGAAAAGCATTTGCTTGGCCTGTCAAAAAGTTTTCTGCTTTTAAAAAAAAATTTGTATTATGTAAACATTGACAAATCTTTTTCAAGAACATCACAGACAATTTTTGGTTCCATAAGTATTCAATAAAACTACCCCTTATAGAGATACATGTACATATAAAAAGATGGTCCATAATTCATTTCAAATATATTAATAAAATAAATACAATTCTGTTGGGTACATATGAAGTTCCTTCTACTATGTACATTGTAAATATATAGAAAGACTTTCAAAATTAATTCTTTCTGAAATACAGAGACAATTAAGTTGATCCACATTCATAGGTAAAAGTATACTATATGGTTTATCTAAAATCTCAGTTAAGCTGTGTCTGAATTAGTTTGTCAATTTAAACTCCATATATAATGTAATCATTTTCATCTTGTATAGAAAGCATTTTAAAATGAACTTGCAAGATATCAAAATAGTAGATGAATGAAAAATAGAGGTAATTATAGTAATATGCACAAAATATTTGATCTATATGCAAGACACTCAAAAGATCAAGCTTCCTATGGTATAAATCTGAATTTAGCAGGACCGAGATCAGTAAAACTTGGATTGCATTCATAATCAGTATATATATGTTTTATTGGAAATAGTAATCATTTAATATCACATTAGCACACAGAATTTGGAAGCACTCGTCAGTATTGTAAAGCATTTATGAACAAAACATCTTTGCAAATGTGCAGACACATGCAGTATCATGTTTGTGTAGAATTAAAACATGCTTCTCCCTACAGATTGCAATTTAAATGTAGGAATGATGCAAATACATTACAAATTTACATGTAGATATCTATCACTGGTGTAAACACTAATATATAAAATATAATAAATAATTATCAAAAGGTATGAAGGAACTTGAAATGGAAAAGTCAAATGAATACTTGGACAAAGATGTCATTTAAACCAATTTTCACATTTTTCCCTTTAAAAATAGACATTGGATTAAAAATATCAAAATTGAATTTTTAATATTAAAGAATAATACTTTAGAATACAAAAATGGGGAAAAAATTATGTGCTTATTTAATGACATTCAAAATGAAGATTCAGTCAAGCTTTCTAGGTGGTATCATGTACATTTATATATATTACTTTGATCTATCATAATTTTGTACACTAAGGACCAACAAATGAACCTAAATTAAATACATATGAAGTATCCTTCTTTCAATATAATAATCAAATGCAAAATCCAACAATGTACAAGTATTTGTAACATCCTCTCTCCATGTTTGGTTTCATGCAAGTGCTCGTTTGTGACATTTGGTCAAATTCAAAAGAAATAGAGTTTAACGTAGCTTTGGCAGAAGATTAGTTGATCACTGAGGTTCCTCCGAGTGCCATGATCAGCAGCGTACTGTTAGCAATGCCATAAGTGTTCAAGTACACCAAGCAATCACGTTGTACTTATGAATGGATAATTACCTTGCTCCAGTAATCCACCTAAAAGTTGCAACAAGTCACTAAAGGATGGTCTTTTGTCTGGCTCCTGTTAAGGATAACATTAAAAAATGTATATCATAGTACATGAAATGTTTCTTTTTTCAGTAACATACTATGGTTTGACCAATACACAATATATTTAAGACCTGACAACACGTTGCTTGAATATCTGTTGTGTATCTCTTCGTAGACATAAAATACAACAAATGAATCATAATTATCATTATCTTCTGATTTCTAAACTGTTTCCCAAATGTCTAAGTAAATAAAGACACCAAAAAATTTGTGATTTGCCAATGCTAGTGATTTCCAATAGGGTTATATAGTAAACAACACCTTCTGGTATCTTGCACAAATACCTGGTAAGGTACCTTAATTTTTTGTGAGGAAACTTGTTAAAGTAGCAATACTTCAATAAAAAATTCTTGGGATAAATTTTCTTTTACTGAAGAATGTGTCATCTGACCTTAATGGAACCTTAGTGATTCAAAAGCAAGAGGCCCATTAGCCATCACACTCACCTTAGTCACATATAAATACCTAAATAATTGAAATGTCTTCAATTTAAATTAACTGTTTACTGAGGCTTGAGGTCAGATTAAATTGTAGCCTTGCTGTGTTGAATAAGTATATACATATATAGGGGTATCTATTTCCTTGTAACCCCCTCCCCCCCCCAAAAAAAAAAACTTTTAAAATCTTTGCCTCCCTGTTGTGGTAAAATCTTTATGATAGGGAGCATGTCCAACACATCTAATATACACTACATGTGGATGCTTGTATATCAATATGACTAAGTGTAATCTTGTTGTTCTTAAGAAAAGGATTTTTTTTTTAATTTTCTTTTTGAAAAAATTGACACAATTATTCCCCAAAGCCCCATAATTAATGTTAATCTTAACATACACTAAATGAAGATGCTTGCAGATAAGATTTTTGTAGTCCTACAATTCTTGAGAAGTATTTCCCCCCAATTCTGATGTAAAACTTCACCCCTTACTGTGGACTTGCCTTGCCAATAACTTTAATTACATGGGGATGTTTCCAAATTAAATTGTGTAATTGTTGACCATCTGTTCTTGAGATTTTTACCTATCATATTCCTAAGTCAAACTGAAACCCCCTCTTGAGGCCTTTTAATCATTCTTGGGGATTCTGATATGACAGGATCTGAATTTATACTTCCATAAGGATGCTTGAATATTAATATAACTCAAATATTTGAATATCTTCCCCTGTATAACACCATATAAAACTCTGCTCCCTACTGTTGCCCATCATTAGCCCATAGAGCCATCCATGACCTTGGGACCGCAGTTAAACAATTTTGAATCTACATGTAAATGCATAAAATAAGCATGCTTGCATTTTAATTTGACATTTTGGAGGATACTTCCCTTGAAAGAAGATATTTTTGGTATAATTCATTGTGAAAATTTAAACCCTTCTTGTGACCACTTCCTTGTCATTATGGACAATGATTTGAATATACTTATTCTGTTTCACATGAGAATACTTGTATAAAACATTTTTAACTGAAAATTTTAAGAATCCTCATCAATCAAAGATGCTTTGAAGCAAGTTTTATTGAAAATGAACCAGTGGTTCTAGAAAAGTAAAACAGAAAAAAGGAATTCAAAGTATTCACAAAACAAACAATAAATGCCAAACAGTAAATATGAGTGATCAGGTATTTAAATGGGAACACAAATTAGTAATAGTCCATTCATTTTTTTAAACAATTTTTTAAAATTATCTTCAATTGGAATGGGACCTGCTTCTTAATCATAACAAAATGGAATACCCATCACATAAAGATGCTTTGTGAAAAATTAGACTAAAATTGTCCCTATTCTAGAGCAATAAAAAAAGGAGGAAAGTATATGAGGAATGCATGATGGATGAAAACGGATAGCGATACTATAACTTAATAGCCTCTCAGACTGGTGATTTAAAAAACACAGGTAATACATACATGAAGCCAGCACTGAAGCATAACTTTGTATATCTTCTCAGGACAACTTGATGGCTTTTCCAGACGTTGTCTAGAATGACAAACATAATCCACGACTTCTACATTCTTCATTTTGTCATAAGGCATGACTCCACCTGTAAATATTTCCCACATTAGGATACCTGAAACAGAAAAAAAAGATTATCTCTCAAGGTAATATTATATGGTACCATTCAATATTATTACAGTATCCTATTTTCAACTATGAATGGTACAAGGATGAACCATTTACAAAATCCTACTATCTGCACATTAACAAGTGCCATGACAGATGGGAAGATTTTGGGAAGCCTACCATATGCCCACACGTCAGACTTGCTACTGAATCGGGTAAAACTCAGTACTTCTGGTGGTGCCCACTTGACTGGGAATTTAGTCCCTGTTGAACTAGTGTACTCATCATCTATCACATATCTACAAAACATTTTTCTTTGTCATTCAGCAACTTTTACATGTATATTCACCATGTGTGGGTTAAAAAGACAAATGCACATATAAGTTATACTTTGTCCATCTGTTTATAGTTCAATTTACTAATCATTAAAAAAGATGTATTTTTCAGCAGTACATGTACAATCACTAACTACTGACAGGGATATCAATTTGGAAAAAGAAAAATTATGTAATTTTTAATTTCTAAAATTTGATGCTGTTTGCTTCTGAAAATGAGAAAAAAAAATGGTGTATTTTTCTACTCAATACATGTATGTGTTAATTTAACATTCCAAAATGTTACATGACAGAGAACATCGACACACAATATTTACAAGACTTTATCGTATAAATGTACCTCGCAAGTCCAAAATCAGCCACTTTGACAACAGTGCTTTGTCCTACCAGGCAGTTCCTGGCAGCTAGATCACGATGAATAAACTTCCTCTTCTCTAAATAGGCCATTCCATTGCAGACTTGTGAACACATATCTAGTAATGTCGCAGTCTTACTTAACAGTCGTGCTTTGTGTCTCCTTAAGTAGGAGAGCAATGATCCTGAAAGCAGAACACATTAAATTCATATCATGAGAGCTCTAAAAAATATCAAGTTGTTTAGGTCAACACACTTTAATACAGTAACTGACAATAATTCATACTAATATACAATGTATTAATGAAATTCATTTCAGTTGATACTGCTACCTCATACTTTTCACACATGAATATTTTTCATGAAGTGCTAAAGCATGAACTATCCTGTTTCATACGCCTGGGTAAAAAGTATCAGGTCATACCTTTATAAACTTGAAAAAACTTGTAAAACATTTCTTAAAACATTTCAAAAAGTGCTTTTTTTTTTTTTTAGATTAAACAATACATTTTTTATGATCAATATTGCAAAATTTCTCTCTATGTAAAATCTTTCAAAATACAACTTACATTCAAAAATTTGTGTAAACAACTAGCAAATTCAAAGATGCAATTATTTATGGCATATTGTAACAGTCTTGTCTGTCCATCCTACAAGGAGGACTTAAATTTTTGAATTAGTAGAAGTTGTGGCCAGGAATAAAGTTCCTGAAACTGCATCAAACTTCAAGGTCAAGGCCATGAGGTCAAATATCATAAAACAATTTGAGAGGTCTTGCAATAATGCGCATTTGAAAAAAATATGAAAGCCCTGTCTCTTTTGGTGCAAAAATTTCGGGTAAAGTTCAAATTTTAGGTAAGTAGATCAAACTTCTAGATCAATGTCAAAAGGTCAAAAATAATAGTTCTTTCTAAAAAGATTTGTCACACAGTCACAAGTGATGTACATGTAAAATGTGAAAGCCCTATCTTTCCTCATTCAAACATTATTACAGTACCAATGTTAAAAGTTTTGAGAAGTAGGACAACTTCAAGGTAATGGGGTCAAAAGTCATAGTGCGATTGGAAAGGTTTCGTCACAGGTCAAAAGTAAGGGTATTGTGACAGACACACTGAAAGACAAATGAGATTTAATGTCCCCTCACTTTCGTGAAAGCGGCGCACAATTACACTAAATAAAGCTTTTATCGTATTTGAATGTCTAGTTGGCAATAATCTACCACAATGAAACACAATAGTCACCTTTCATTTATTTATTTTGATCTTAAAAGCATTCAACATGTATCTGTGTTAATACAAAGCATTCACTATGTAACTTACCATATTGCATAAGTTCTGTAACAATAATTAAGGGGCGTTTTTTGGTTACAATGCCATAAAGCTGTACTAAATTGTTGTGGTTTAATTGTCTGAAATTAAAGGGGATAAGATAAAGAATATTCCATGAAAAACATTGCCTCAATGTATCAACTTTAAGATTTTACAGTCTAATACGTAAGAATGCACATGCCAAAAAGATAATAAGTGAAAAACATACGGTAAATATATTAACAAAATCTGGAAATGCATGTAAGTACAATATATTGTTACATACGTCATGGTTTTAGCTTCCTCAATGAAGCCATCATCTGACATTGTGGATTCTTTCATCATCTTCACAGCAACACGTTTGCCACGCCACTTCCCTTCATGAACCGTCTGTAAATCATTGAATTAGGCCACTTAATATTGTGTAATTAAAGTACATGGAATGAATACAGATAATTGCACAGTTTAGAACTGCTACTCTGCAAAAAAGTAATTGAACTGTATGTAAACCCCAGGAGTTCCAAACAATAACAAAGATACTAGTAGTTCATGATATAATAAAAACATGTACATGTTATTTGTTTAATGCATATGTGAACATGTATATACATTGTATTTCAAACCAATAAACTGTATGGTTTTTGGTAATAAACAATACCAAACTATGTATATACACTTATCCGTACTTTATTCCTTTATCTTAAGAAATATCTTACAATCTTTTGAAAACAGATACATGTAAGCTTGGGCCCAGGTAAAACTTTGACATGTCCGAGAATTTAAGATATTGAGAAAGTGGATGGGATTTTCAATTCACTTTGCTATACATGTATTCATGGTATTTGAGATAAAGTGATGTTTGAGATACCAAGGTTCAAATATATTCTAATATGAAATCGAAATCACTGATATCTTGGCATCTGATTTTAAATCCCTAATATCCGACATTATCTGCAACAATTTTAAGAAAACACTGAAAGGATACACTGACTTGTCAACTCTTTAAAACTGATTTTCGGATTTTCCCAAAACCATTATCACTATGAATAAAGCATAATTAAGAATGGGAAATAATATTTACTTCCTTGTGTCCCAGAAATCCTTAAGTTCAATTTCATTCACTTTTCCTTTTAAAGATAATGCATAAGGAAATACTGAGTAAGGAAACTTCAAATTATTTCTGGTAAAAGTAAGAATTCTTTATAACCACTCGTGAAAATATAAAAAGTCCTGTCCCACTCGTGAAATAAATTCCATATCCAACTATAAAACATTGAATATCCTCTATATACGAACGTATTTCTTTTATACTTACTCCAAAACAGCCTGCACCAAGCTGCTCCCCAATAGTAATCTCAGCTGGGTCAATCTCAAATTTACCTATATAAATAAAATGGACAACATAAAGAGAATCAGAATGCTTCTCTCAACTCTCAAAGTTTCAAGAAAACAAAATAACAATTTAGAAGCAGATATTTTGTTGACTATATGAAGTAGTGCTTACTGGAGCTAAAGCCAGCTGTTGCTGGAGCTGCTGTCCCACTCCTTACGGGTGGAGATTTTAACCGGGTAGCCAGTCCTTCAACGAAGAATAAAGCACTGAGTTATTTTTTACACCTTTAAAATTTTAATAATTTTGGAATCACATTTTCATTTGTGCACAAGAATCTAAGTTTCAAGAACTTAGAGTTAATGTATGTTCTTGTTATGACCTTATGTACCACTTCAATGATAAAACCCACCTGCAGAATTGTGTTTATGGTAGTGCACCAGTTCAGAGATCGAAGGAAATGCATATTTCTCTGCTATATAATAGAACCCTTTATCATTCTTCTTTATGTGATAATGACGGACTTGTCCATCACTGCAAAAACAAGATCAAAATTCTGAGATAAAATCCTGCTCCAAATTTCATTTAAAGCACTCTACTAGCTTTATTCTTGGAACACTCTAGTTTATCATAATGATCTATCTGATATGGTTATTCAATAAATATATAGCAACATCTGCTACATTTCACAGAAGCAGAGCCAGATTGTGCAGCTTGATTTGAATTTCCAGTAGTTATGTATCTATTAGCTGCAGAACTGTATGTACCGGTATCTCTCTGGTTGAGAAGATTTGGACAAACCTGACAAACTAGTTTTTCTGTCCGAATTTTCTCAACCAGAGAACTTCAGTTCTGAGGCTATGCATCTATGTACTCAATACTTCAATTAGGCATCAAACAGTACTTACTTTTCTGAGGTGTAAAGTGACAAAGTGAACATGCCAGGTGCACTTGATTCCCGCACCAGAAAACAACCTTCTCTTTGTTCCTCTCGGAGAACGGCTTCACTTCGCTCTCGTGTGAAACTCTTATAGTACCAACTATTAATAGACAGAGATTTTAATGATTAATGTTTTTTTCTTTTTTAATTCAAAAAATTTTATAATTATGCTAAAAAAAATATACTTCTGATACTTACTCAAACATTTCTAAATCAAATTTCTTTTTGACATAATTTGATGGTATATAACCAGACTTCCTGAAAAAAGGAAAAGATTGTGATGATTTTCAACAACAACAAAAATTTGTTTTCTATTATTGCAGTAAAGGGTACATTTTCATTTCAGTTTTAAATAATATTCTCTCTTGTTGCTAGAATAAGTGTAAGAAAGTGTCAAGGAAAAAGCAGTTGGCCACAGATATTTCTCAATTTCTCTGTTAAGCTGACATCAAATATCAAGATTATTCTTCTAATAAGACATTTGATAATTCTTGTCACACTAAATGTGCCTGGTATAGATAAATAAAAATATTTTTCAAAATTTTCATCACTTGTCAATCTCATAACTTTGATTATTCACCATGAAGTGGAAGTGTGAAAATAATGTCTTGTGTATGAATATAATGCTACTGTTTCATGATGATTAAGTAATATGAAATATAAATTAAACACCCCCCCCCCCCCAACTTCTTTCTGAGACAATCTAAATCCATCAAATCTTTAGACTATTCTAACAAAGATCTTACATCAGTTCCAGAATAAGAAAGTTTATAAATGTTATAAAATATTTTAGTACAAGAAGAAGCTTAGTCACATAGTGAGTCTAGGTCAAGAAAACTCACTGTCTACATTAATTTCATCAGGTGGGGCTATTTTACCCAAACTTTCTAATTCAAAATAAATATGATATAAATATAAAACCTCACCCTGATTTACTTTTTGCTCGCCACCAGTGTTCTCGAGAATCATCTAATATTTCATACTCTTCTCCCTAAATGAACAATCAAACATGGAAAATCAAATGTTGCTTCACTCACTTGAAGTAGTGCATAGAGTTCCATGGGTAACTGATAAATACATGTACACAGCGTGGAAAAAAATGTTACACACTAAATCCCCCATAGAGATTTTCAGAAGTTGGCATCAATGTTAAATATAAATACAGGAATACTGTGGTGGTAATCATAGAATTACAAAAAGGATGGTGCAAGAGTCCCTTAAATACCAATCAAGCTCAAAAAAGTACCAGACAAGTATAAAGACAGTAATTGCTAGGTCATTCAAAACATGAATTTCTAATTTTTAAAGTTCATCTGTTCACTCATATAAAATTTTGCTTTATTGCTAATGATTTTTCCAAAAGAAATCTAATATATAATTAAAATGCAAAGAATTTCAATATGCCTCATGTAGCAAAATTTGACAGAAATGACCATTTAACTTGACAATGTTATAAAGAAGTAATAGTAAATTATCTAAGTTAGAGTTGTCACTCTTACCAAAGGGTCAATTAACCTTTATGTCAAAGGTCAAGGTTAACTTCCTATGTGATATTGAAAATGGGACATTATGATTCAATATCTAAATATACCTGTAACATAAAATAATAATCATAACTAATACCGGGTATATTAATACTGCATGTAGTTGAGGGTAACATTGAAAATTTGCACCCCAAGAAAACGATTGTCAACTGAGGTGCAGCTGAGGTTGACAATGGTTTTCTTGGGGTGAAAATTTTCAATATTACCCTCAACTACATGCAGTATATATTATATAATACTGAATGTTTCATAAAAATACGAAGAAAGATGAAGTGCGTGTGCATAGATTCCACGCAGTCACTTTTTTTTTTATATCACCAATTGTCAAGTAATGTTGACTGTTGCTAAGTTCTATCGCCCTGGAGGGCGTGGTTTCATCATTCAGAGGGTAATAGTGTTTTTTAACAAATGTTTCTTGATGAATCATGTCAGAGAGGGAGATGAAAATGCATCATCATGTCATTATTGTTGTTCTTTGCAAGCCTTACAATCCTTATAAAATTTCTAGAAATTGCATTTCTCTCAAGAACAACACACCTGAACAAGCTCCAAATCCTCCTCTTCTGTGGGTGTAAAATTGTACACGGCTACATAAACTTTCTTCTGTGTAGGCTCTGGAACTACTGGGGTGGGTATGGAGGGGGGAGGTGCACGGTAGGGTGAAGGAGCTCCTCCAAACTCTGTTCAAAAAGGAGAGTAAATTTATAGGAAAACATCTCATGTGGTATCTCAAACACCAATATCTAGAATACCATGGCTATGTCAAAGTGATTTGAAAGTCCCAACAACTTATTCATTAAGTATTTTTTACCCTCGGTATCTCGAATTCGAATTCTTGGATATCTTGAAGTTTTTTCTTGGTCCCTTCCAGTTTGAGATAATGGAGTTTGACTATATTTATCATAGATGTATGTACTTTTATCTGCTTGGGAAACAGATGTCTTTACTTAGCATTATCTACATGTACTTTTTGATACTGGGCAGATATTTTTGGCTCTTAACGAGGCCGAGTCTAATTCGATTGCACATGACTTTGCACAGCTTTTTAATTTTATGCAGTCATGTGTGTAACATTACATCTTTCCCAAATATTGTGATTTTAATACAAAATTAACATTATCTGTAATGCTTATGGGTCTGAAAATGTGCTTTTACGACGATAATTAGGAAAAAGCGCTGAAATAGCTCTAACAACGTCATTGTTTTCTGACTTTGTAAGCAATGCATGACACTGAAAAATGACACATGACTCGCTTGTATATTCAAGATGTCCATGGATATTTTACTAAAAACTGTTGACAGAACATCATAAGAAACATACTAGCGATCTAAAAATTGTTATGTTTTTACCAAAATAATTCATCTGTGCCAATAATTCATCTGCACTGATACATATACAGGTATATACTGCAATATGGGAATTTTAGAAAAATTGGGCATTGAAAAAAATAAACTTTGTAATAATTCCTAGTCCAATCTAGATGGTCATTTTTTTTTTAATTTCACAATTTGGCGACTTTTTGCATTAACTCTCATGTACTTGGCTGAAAGAGAAATCTCTAGAGCAGTAATACAAAAATATGGAAAAAATGTGATAATTTGGCACTTTTCCAAAAAATTCCCTTAGGGTCCAATAGTAAAATTTGACAACTTTTGAGATGGCCCCCTGAGAAATCGGAATGGTAAACATTTGATTTTTTAATCTGAAAACATAAAATATACTAGTAAAAAAAAATTTAAGAAAAATTATCAAAATCTTTAGGGTAGAGATAATTAGACTCAGCCTCGTTGAATTGGTCTACAGGCATTAATGGTCACCTGAGCCTTAAGCTAAAATCTTTAATATGAATACCTCCTACAAAGAATGTGTCATAAACTTTTTGTATTTCTCCATTATAAACTTGTGGCTTGATAAAAAATTCATCCTTCTATTCCTTGATATTGTCCTAATCAAAATGGTGTATTCAATCACTGTGGGTAAGCTCATGGCTATATAAAGCTAGTATGAGCTTTAAGGAAATATGCAACCTAGTTTGAATTTTGTTGTCTTTTTCCCTGGATTTAAAGATTTCCAATACTTGAAGGACCTGTGTTCTACTCTTCTAATGTCTATATATGGTGCTGTACACCACTTCTAAAACAAATTTGGATGAAAAACATCTAGAATATATGTTTACTAATTTTTGTAATTTTTTTCCTTAAATAATACAAAAATTTTCATAATTTGTTATCATTTCAAAACCCCTGGTAATGCATGCTGATTTTTTGTCTGTGAACATCTAATGGTTCTATAACTTTAAATTGAGAATATCTTGAAAAATTACAACTAGGTAAGGTTCATTGCATATGTCCTTAAACAGATACTAAAGGGCTTATAACTCTGACATTGTATTCATATATGTATATTGTTGGTTAAATTATCTAGGAGAGAGAAAATGATCTTTAAAAATTCATTACAAATTCAGTTAAAACAATTGAACTCCACAATGGGGCATGCACCCCTGACTAGAGAAAAACATATTTTTGGTAGAGTACTTGCATCCTCACAATGTCAGGGGTCCTGAGCCCATGGGACCCTGACAAACTTCATTCATTTCCAGTGTTTGAAACTCACCATAAAATTAGCTAGTCTCACAGGGTTGATTGCTAATGAAATTTGTCAGCCCTACCAAAGATCTACTAACCCAAGAAAATAATTTATATATGTAAATTTTTAATTGGTGGTAATTTTAACAAATCAAGCTGGGCATTGATACAAGCAGATTTGTTTGCCCACTGTGAAATTTATGCATCTTGGGCAGTCAGGTGCGTGGTTATTTCAAACACTTCATTTTTTTATGGGCTGACTGCAGTGACATATTTCAGAGAAATTACAAATCCTGATCGTTTTTTCGTTATCTCTAGACCAATCACATTAAGCCTTTTGGTGACAAACAAGTGGTAACAAATGCATTGAGGAGTCAACTGCTTACTTTCTGTTTACATTTTCTGTCTACAAATATGATTGGTGCTTCTCGGCGACAAAAACAAGCCTGAAAAATAAAAATGAATGAAGTTTGTCAGGGGTCCCACAACCACGAGTGGACTCAGGACCCCTGACATTGTGAGGATTGTGGACTTGTTGCTCATTATAATCAAGTTATCTGTTGGTATGCCAGATTTAAGTTGTTGAGGATTATAGAAGATATCTAAATAATGCATTTGACTTCAAGGTTTTAACCTCATCTTTAGGCTTTATGTAGCAGTGGTCATGAAATGCATAGCTACTGCTACCCTTCCAAACATTGCACTGATTCAGTAGTTTCACATATGCTGAGAATCTTGCTTAAGGAAGATGAAACAAACAGCAGTATTACCTGAATAATTCACTTGACATAAAAAGTATTATTGCAAGATTTCCTATGCATCAAAATACAAAGTATATTTTTTAGTAACTCAGGAAAATTTGTAGGAACACTCCATTTAATGCACCCTACCTTTTTCTGTAGAAGTAACTTCACAGCCAATGGCATTTTTGGAAATTTGGTTACAGCAAGTGTAGTTTCCATTAATCCATACCCCTTTGTGATATTTAGGCATAAACTGAGCATCAGATTTCTCAGCAGCTTAAAATAAAAAAAATTATCTTTCAAACACAAAAATCTACCATTTCAGCAATAGCTGGCTGGGATTATACTTTCTATTCTATTACAATTATTGCCGAGATCAAAGAAATGCCAAGGACATTATTCTCCAATAAATCATGAATGTCATCAAAAAATTATCAGATCAGAAACATGTATCAAACCTGTACAGTTGAAATGAACATTTCACTGTAGAATCTAATACTTATTTAGACCATATCGATGTGTCGACTTCCGCAGTCTAAAGAGTGTGCATTGCCTAAAACAGCTGTAAATGTCAGGTTTTATAGCTAAGTTTGGCTGTTCCACGGACCTCCCCACATTTACACTCTGTGATTTTACTGATAAAGCAATGAAACAGACAACTGATTTTGTTATTTTCTGATTCTTAAAAATTAACAAGCATATGTTACAAACAAATTTATAAATGATTAAAAGATATTTTTAACCCCAACAAAAGCTCAAACAAATTGACCCTTTGGTGTTAAATGGAACAGCTAAATCGCGACATGGTGACCTAATTCGTTTCTCTATAGAGGTAAAGATCAGCCATATTTTAGAGCTGTTAGTAGAATAGAAATAAAGTCCTTGTTATCGTGAATGATGCAGGATAACCTCCTCGGTCTCAAAATGTTGTTTGAAATATAAAAGCCAAGGCTTTTATATTTCAAACAACATTTCTTGACCTCAGAGGTTATCCTGCAACATTAACGAAAACACAGACTTTATTTCTTAAGTAGAAAACTTTCACCCCAAGCAAATTGCCAAAATGCAACCATTTTTGGCATAAATTTTGTCTCAAATTCAGCAAACTTGTTTTCTAACATCACAGTTATGTGCCTTTAGCATGAGGGGAAGAAACACAGAAATTAAAATTGAAATGAATTGACAAGTGGAATACATTATACATTTAGCATTTTAGCTGTCTTCTTAAATGAGAACACCATATAAAAAATATGACAGCAATTCTCAGAGGCCCATGGGCCCATGGGCCACATCACTCACCTGAGCAAACTGGCAAGGAAAAGCACAAATCAGTTCAATATTGAAAAATTTACAATGGGGGGTGGGGGTTAAACTACCTGAGAATGCTTCCATATCAATATAACAAATGGCTTTGCTGTTCTTGAGCAAAAGATTTTTAAAGATTTCTTTCCTATAAATTCCTTTGTAAAAATTGGCCCCTCCTTACCCCTGAGGGTCATGATTTGAACAAACTTGAACCTACACTATCTGAGGATGCTTCCATATCAATATGACTGAACAAGGCTTGGCTGTTCTTGAGAAGAAGATATTTAAAGATTTTTTCCTATATATTTCTATGTAAAACTTTGATTGTCCATTGTGATCCCACCCTACCCCCAAGGGTCAGGATTTGAAAAAACTTGAATCTACACTACCTGAGAATGCTTTCATATCAATATGACAAATCATGTCTTTGCTGTTCTTGAGAAGATTTTTAAATTTTTTCCTATATAAGTTTCAACTTTTTTGGGCTTGTGGTTCTTGAGAAGAAGATTTTTAAAATATGCCACCAAATTTTCACTATTTCTGAATTATCTCCCCTTGAATGAAGGCATGGCCCTTTATTTGAACAAACTTGAATCCCCTTCACCCAAGGATGCTTTGTGGCAAGTTTGGTTGAAATTGGCCCAGTGGTTCTGGAGAAGAAGTCGAAAATGTGAAAAGTTTACAGACGGACTGACAGCTAGACAGACAGACAGACTACAGACAAAATGTGATCAGAAAAGCTCACTTGAGCTTTCAGCTCAGGTGAGCTAATGTAAAAAATGTATGTGAACCTTTCCTGAGCTGTGTGACCCAGTCCTGTCTTTGTTTGTCACTCTGTGCCACAATGTACAAAGTTAAAATGTCATTATTCTTTTGGGCACCATGTACAACCTGCAAAAAATATACATCCTGTTCTATGATTTAAAATAGTGCACAGAAATTGTCAACTTCCTGGATATTCTTAACCCTCTACATGGAAGCTTCCTATCTACTGAAACTTCAAGTTGTGTACTTTTAGTTAATACTTAAACATTTAGGACCACTGAGTGATAATTATATAATATATAAAAGTTAGGATTCATATAGGAAATTGATGTACCTTTTCACTAAATCATGGATTTAGACAAAGAAATAAAAGTCACTTATGTCATTGTGTGAACAAATGAAGGCCTTTCTAATGTGTATCAAAACCTTTTACAATGGAGTCTCATAACGACATTAATTATATCACAATAAAACATCATAAAACAATTCCAATGTAAGTTCCACATGTATTGCTATACTTAAACTGACTGTTCTGAAATGGGCCAATGATTTCTGATAATATTCTTTCCACTAACTTAGTTTTTGAGACATATACTCAGAGAAAAAAGGTTTGCAATTCATTTAGACATTTATTTGAGTACCTGAAAAACATTTGCTTTTTTGTCCAGCACATAGTCCTCAACAGTCTCTACTGCCTTTACTTTTCGTAATTCTATAACACCTTTTTGCCTTCCTTGCTTCTAAAAATGAAATATGAAAAATGAGGTTAACAAATATGTGTCTGCCCAATTATAAAATAAAAATTGGAAAAATAAGTGTGTTACTTTCATCCATGTCCATAATACAGACAAGAGGCCCATATTGGACCACAAAACTGAGACACCATTCTCTTCATGACTAGTGTATCATGTCACATAAATCTCTTATAATTATGGGCCCCCAATTAACATCCATCATTTTAACAATTCAAATTCACAGCATATTGAGGCTTGATGTTCACTTCACAAATTGTTCTCTTCTTAATATTGAAAATATCATTATTTCTGTATTAAAATTTGCCTCCCAATTATGGCCTCAACTACAGTAGTATATATACGCTTTGAACAATAAATGCATACATGCTAACCTACTGTGATGAAAAAGAGGGAGATTCAGACCTCAGATTCCAAACTTAAAGGCAAACTCAATGTTATGTCAGATGACGACATACCTGGTACTTTTGAAAACATAAGTTTAAACATTTACCCATGAACGAAAGCCTCTAAAATGTAAGTCTGTTTGACACAGTGGGGAAAAAGTATGTCCTTACTGGTACAATGAAAAATGAGCACTGTTTCTCAATAATATACTCTTCTCCTCTCATAGAATAGTTTTAAATTTTTTTCATAGTTACATACATTTACTGTAAGGAAAGCAATTATAAGGGAGATCAATTAATATAGATACATGTACATAGAAACCCTATATCCTTGTCTCCTTCACATTATTTAATACAAATATGAAACAGGAAAGACACTTTTTGTTATGGGAAAGACACATCATACAAAAAATAGAACTTTAAACCTATATCATCATAGAGTGCATAAATTGTATTATTGATAATTATGCAATTCATTGTACGTTTCATTGATAGAAGAGCCGCGTACTGCTCAAGAAATCTATACAGGTGGCTTCCTTACTTGTTGATAAATGGCCGTGATTTTTTTAAAAAATAAAGGAGAAATATTGAGTGTATGTAAATATATTCCTGGCCAATGAAAAATTGTGACCCATATTTATTATATAATGGCCCCACCCTAACTCTATGGGGTCTCTGATTCTACATAACATGGAGATGCTTCAATATCATTACACAATGCCCTGTAGTTACTGAGAGGAAAAAATCTTTTCCTGTATGCATGCATTATGTAAACATTGAACCTGCTTTTAGCCAACTCTAAACTGGGAACTAAATTTTATATATAAAAACAGCCTCTGTGATAATTATAAATAAAAAGACTTATCTATAAAATGATTTTCGGAATAACAGGAAGTGGAATGTTCATCATTTAAGCACACTTTCCCTCCTAAAATAAAATTCATTATCACTTCTTTTTTTATGCCCCTGTAATTGAAGATTTGGGATTATATAATTTTTATCCTGTTGGTCCATCCATCTGTCTGTCTGTCTGTTTGACTGCAAAATCTTTCACATTGTCCATAAATTTTGATTGGAAGGAGCTATGGCTTTAATATTTCATATGTGTATTCCTTGTGACAAGACCTTCCTTTCCGTACCAACATGATTGACCTCTTGACCTTGGAGTTTGACCCACTTTTGCAAAAATTTACCTAACTTCAACTTTCGAACAGTTGGTGCTAGGGCTTTCATATTTCACATATGTAATCCTTGTGAAAGGACCTTCTTTTGGATATTCATTCTGACAAGACCTTTACATGGGTGTAAATATTTTTGACCTTTTGACCTTAGAGTTTGATCCACTTTTATAAAACTTTAACCTTGGCCATAACTTTTGAACAGTTAAAACTAGGGCTTTCAAATTTCACAGGTATATTCCATGTGAAAAGACTTTCCTTTGGATACCAACAATTTTGACCTTTTGACCTTGGAGTTTGACATACTTTTGAAAAACTTTAACCTTTGCAATAGTTTTTGAACAGTTGGTGCTAGGCCTTTTATATTTTGCATGTGTACTTCTTATGACAAGGTCTTTCCCTGCATATCATTTATTTTGACCCTGGAGTTTGACCTACTTTTAGAAAACATTAACCTTGACTACAGCTTCTGAATGGTTAGTGTGTGGGCTTTCCTATTTACCATTGACACAAGTCCTTTCTTTGGGTAACAACATTTTTGATCTCTGGAACTTGATCTTGGAGTTTGACTTGCATTTGAGTAACTTTAACCTTCACCTTAAGCTGCCATATGGAGGCATTAGTATTTTCACAAACATCTTTTTTTCAACAAATGAATTACATTTAAGAAAAAGGATTAATTCTGAGGATCATCTTGAGGAGAAATACAAAAGACAGAAAAAGTTGAATACCAAGTAAATATAGTGATGTGAAAAAAGGGCAGTTAAATGTTTACTGTGGTTTCAAAAATGAATGAGAAAAGAAAAGAAAAGAAAAAGGACGCAAGGAGAATGTGTACAGTAGATTACATGTCATGGAAAAAAAGAAACAAGAAAAGAAATGAGGATAGAGGATCAAAAAGATACCATTTATATAGAAATAAAAAGAAATAATTAAGTAGAAGGAACCTGACCGTAACAAAATATAAAGATGATATTTATGGGACAAAATACAATGTATGACAGATAATGATGAATCAGTTGTGCAAGAAAACATAATTTTCTGATTGTTTACAGTTATCTGATTTTGAAAACTATGAATAAGTAAAACATTAGAAAGAACATGAAAAGGTCTGATTTAGGATATTTGGGATATCTCTGACTTGGTATGGAAGAAACCTAAGAATCATCTTCCAAAAATAAATTCCCACTTCTTTGGTTACTCCTTTACTCCATATTTTTTCTTATCTGTGTATTAATGTTTTTTAAAAAAATAAAAATACAGAATCTAAGATTTATGAACTGGAAAGGAGTACTATATAAAAATATGATCCTCAACATGCTCAGCTGGGGCCCCATCCTAGCTCTGACTTAAAGGAACATTAACTTGCAGTACAGTAAAACACACTTATAATAAAGTGCCGGGGATGGATGATTTGATTGATTTTACAGACAGATAGACACTCAGACACAGAAGTAGAAAGATGTATGGACACCTGACAATAGGTGGCCAGAAAAGCTCACCTGACCTTAGAGCCCTGATGAGTTAAAAAGAGAAACTAGACAGTTGTTTATCAAATAATAGATGCTTCAACCTAAATATATACCCTTACAAAGAAGTCAGCTTTTAGAAGAGTAATAGATGTATTTAATTTGTAACATATTTTTTAGAAGTTGATATCCACAAACTATATTCAGGTACATTGTATTCTCACTTTAAAAACATCAAGAAAATGCATAATTTTTGGTTGTATGTGTGCATGTTTGAAGAAGTTGCCAATTAAATTATAACACAATAAACAAGCTTCCTGGACTTCTTGCTTCCTGGTCTAAAAAAAAATGTGTCAACCTAAATTTTTTTACTACACACTCAAACTCTGTTATAAAATGTAAAGTGCATTTGTTGAATAGCTTGTTTATTCTAAGATTTTCATTCACATCTTTTCAACAGACAGCTTATGTCACTGTGGTTAAAAGATGGAGCTACAAAGATATGCTCATTGAGATCTCTACACAAGTATCTCTAAAAACGAGTAGTATGATAAATATGTCATTTTTTCTTTCTCTCTCTGTATCTATCTGTCATTCTCTTCTTAAAGGATAAAACTGACATATACATTGGCTGCTTTTGCCTTATATATTTTTACATTCATAACATCATGTACAAAGAAAGATAGAAAAATAAACTTTTTAAAATTATACATTCGCCATAATTTGCCTGAGTAATGTGTTTAATAAACATATGAAACTACAGGACACTACTACACTATTAGGCTTACCTATACAACATGTACAAGAGACTCATTAAAAAAAAAATCATACACATTTTAAGTGAGAAAATGACTGATAATTTTGTGGACATAAAAATATGGTTCACATTATGTCTGGGATCATGCAAGGTAGCAGTCATTACTTCCTAGATAAAGTGTGTTTATCTAAAGTACTTAAACAAATCCTAACCAAATATTACCTTACTACATGTAGAACCCTCTATAGTCTATACACCAATGAAAAGCATTTTTGGGACTTTGAAAAAAATTATATTGTATTTAGGTGAAGATATTGAGTTGATTAAATTCATTTTCAATATAGGGTGCTTGCTATTCTGTCCCGGAAAAAATGCTAAAAGAGAACAAAAATCACTGTTGCATTCTAAACGCAGAAAACACTTGCAAATGAAGTATTTGGCTGTTCCCTCGTGGTCCATAAAATGTTTAGAATATTTGAATTGATTACAAAATGTATATTATAACATAGAATTCAGTTTATTTATTCCATTTCAAATCAAAGGACAGATAACTCAAAATGCATAAAAATACCATGAAATAAGAACTCTTTAGTGTGCAGTGTATAGAGTGTTCTTAAGTCATAAGCAGATGTACTTGTAAATAAAATGGAACATCCACAGTTAATATAGGGTTATAACAGTCAGAATCAAACCCCCTTACACCAAGTATTATTTGTTATCATGATACAATTAGACCTGACTGTTAATAATGAAGATACTTGTAAAACAACAATGGTATTCTTTTCACAGTCACATATTAGGGATGTCATTGCATCCAATCATACAAATGTATGTGAGCATATAATATACTGTATACACGTTATTTTCACCCTTTCACACTTGCTAACAATTTTGCCCCATTTTAAATTTGCCCAGTCACGGTTCTGTTTAAGAAATGATACTGTTTTCTTTGAATTCGCCCCGTCTTAAATTCGCCCACTTGTGTCTAGGGCCAAAGGGGCAAAAATAAAAGGGAGGCAAAAATTTCCCTGCATACAGTAGTTAAAAGGGTACGTGACATCAGAGTGTTAAAATGTATTGTTGATGCCCAGTTCTACTGTTCATGTTGTATCAATTGATAAAAGAGGGTATATATTCATAACCTTCATTACTGTAACAGTGATTATAAACTAGGTAAAAGGTTTCTGGTGAGGAATATTCCTATGGCTTTATCATGTGTTTATTGTCAAATTTGTTGGTAGTCTTGATTTACTTACATCCAAGGTTCCATCATAATATGTCAAATAAGTGTCATCTAACACAAACCAACGACTCTTGTAGTTTGAGGCATTGATGAAGGTGCCTTTGTTCATGGCCCTTTTCATCATAAAATCTTTCTTTTCTCCCATTTTGCTGGTTGAATCTTTGTAAATCTTTATTTTTCCATTATCTTTGGAGTCTCTCCATTTCAAGAACTTGAAAATAAATCATGATCATATACAATGACGATTATAGATATTTAATAATCAGTTTTATTGTAAGTGCTTCATTATTTTTCTTTTCTTACAAAATTACTAGTACTACTTTCAGAACATTTATTTTCTTATTTAGAGCCCATAACAGACAAGTATGAAATTATTACAATAATAAACGAAAGATATGCCAATGGATAGTATAACAACTTGTAAATGACATTACTCATTTCAACAATAATATTGTACTATTTCAGTTAAAGGGAATACTATATATAAAAGTGTATGGCTACAACAACATGTTATCATTTATGAATTTGCCCACAGAATTAAGAGTTTCTTTGTCTTCAGTATTGAGTAACCAAAAAAGTTTTTGTTCATCATCTAATGCCAAGAAATTTGGAAATTTACTTTTGACTAGTAGATACACATCTTTGTTTTTTATCACTTTCCATCTCTCTACTACTGTCATTGCATAGTATATGTGTGTATCTGTTAAGATTGTCTGTTATAGGATATGAATACAGTACACCTGATTGCTAATCAATTGATAAAAGTTTTTTTATTATGTCTAACATACTTCTATAAATAATCTCTCAGTGTAAAAAGAACGTAAAAATAGTGAAAAAAAACATATCATTATTTTCTATTTTTTTACTACCTGTTTGCGTTTGGGGCAAACAGGGTATCGATTTTATATTGTGTAGGACTGTTCTAATAAACTTTGTCAAGTTAAACATATCCAGGAAGTGATTACTTTTGAAAGTCCAAAGTTAGGATTTGAACAACTACGACATTCGTCCATTGCAAAATCAAACCTTGCCTACCTTAAGTTTGCTTCTTCTTTTGAGGCGACGCTACCAAATAAGTAAGCGGAAACTGACAAACGAGGCCATTTGCTCACGGATGCCTTTTCTGTTATCGGAGCCAGCTAGTTAATCATAAACTTGTTAGAGTAATCTCCCTTTGATATATTCCTTAAAACTTCAAGGAAACGAAGAGGTAAAAAATGTCGATCCCGATTGTTTTTTGAATGTTTTTTTTAATTTATTTTTTATTCAACTGACGTAAAAAGTACTATAATATTGTATTGATTATAAATGTATATTTTCTAGAAATAATTCACGATAACGAAATCAGAAGAAACTGCATATAAACAGTTTCTTTAAAAAACGTTAAATATTTAATCGGACTCGACATTCTCATTAAAACATCAGTTGTACCAGGCTGAAAGAGAATACTTTTCCTTTAACTAGCTCGTAAGACTTAACAATCAGCCACAGTTAAGCATTATCGCTGTAACATCATTCAGAATTCCTGAACATGCTGAAATATATGATTGTGTTTAGATAGATCTATTGCCACACTATATCCACTTTTTTTTTGTTTTCCAGGCGGTTCAATATGGCAGAGAATCAAAATGTAAGTGCTTTTCCTCTGCCTCCTAGCAAATATGTCAACCTGTACACAGATGAAAACGTCAAGAGAGGCCGGGCACCACTCCCACCTCCCCCAATTCAAGTAAGCCCCTAGAAATAATGTAACTACAGCTTAAAAATCTGCATATTGAAATGAGTTATATTATTATATATACATTGGGTTATCTTCAAATTTTGAAACTCTTTAGACATCACAATCATGTTAAAAAAAAAATACACATTGGTTTTCACTTTTGATTCACAAAATATTTATTAATGTTGCAGGACACGTATACCATGTTTGGAGCACAGTTCAATGCAGAGGATGCCATTATTAGACCTTTGGAATCTCAGGGGTTTCGACGGCTTCATCCTCAGAATTACGATCACAAAAGAGAGCTTAAGAAGCTAAATCAATCCATTCTGGTGAATTTTCTGGATTTGATTGACATTCTTATAAAAGCCCCAGACTCAGCAAAACGTACAGAAAAGCTAGAGGACCTGAATCTATTGTTTATCCACATGCATCACCTAATTAATGAGTTTCGACCTCATCAGGCCCGAGAAACACTTCGCGTCATGATGGAGAGGCAGAAAAAAGAAAGAGCACAAATATCAAAGAACTTTGAGACTCATTTAAACAAAGTAAAAGAATTGATACAGACTAGTTTACAAAGTTTGCCAGAGGATTTTAGCTTTGATTCCAAAAGCTTAGTGAAAACAGAACTATTGCAAGCCTCCCAGCATCACAATGGTTATGATGCAGAGACTGAACCATGTGACCAGTTGGACAGAATGATGTGTGACATTGTAGATGGGATGGGATGAAGGGTTTATAAATTCAAATTAATGACAGGATTGATAAATTACATTTGTAATGAATAGCTGTTAATGGGTTTTGTCAATTCCAGTGTTGACACAGTTTTTGTATTTCCTTTACCCTGGTCATCAATCATGTTGTTAACATGTCCATGTATTATTGTAGTGTAAATGAATCAGAATTTGTAAAAAAAAAAAAAAAAAAAAAAAAAAAAATTAAAAAAAATTAATAATATTAATAATAATAATAAAATAAAATAAATAAATGAAATTAACAAATTTTGAAACAAAAGACCTGCAGTTTTTTGTGCACCCAGATGCTGCAAAATTGATAAAACTTAACTTCAGAGGATATACCTTGTAAGCAATTTGTGAGTTGATTAAACTAATGTGTATGTCCTACCCTGTGACATCAGTCCCTCCAACAAGGTTAATGGGGTTTTTTTATGAAACATCTAGCAGTTGCTCTCTGAAAAATTTGGGATCACTTCCAGACCAGTGACCTACAGATCTGCAGATATAAATGTAAAGGTACTTGGACAATCATCTAATTCTGGAGGGAAGATTGCAGTCTTTATTTTACCAGTACATGTATCCAAATAATAAACATTTTCACTATACATAAAGTTACCTCTTTTTTTGTTACAAATCTATCAAATTCTACTTGTATACCTCATTCAGTTATATGGTATTAACTTCAAAAAGTCTAAATGGGCATATCCACATTAAATCTTGTAGGAAGATGTATATCAAATCATATACTGATTATTAACAGGGAAAAAATCATGAATTACTAGTTGAAAATGATTTATGATGGTACAGTGTACAACCATGTACTTCTATGGTTCTCCAAAATCTTCTTTTCAAAGGAGATGGACAAAAAAGCCATTCAAAATGCCTATAGTTTTAAATGTATAAAAGTCAATATTCAATTTGTGAATTTAGTATTTAGAGTAAAGCTCTTATCATTTAATGGTATGAGATTATGAAAAAAGTTTTTCTGTGGAAAATTCTTTCTGCAGAAATCATTCAATGATTTACAAAAAGGTATTCTTGGGGTTCTAATGCAAGCAACAAAAAATCCTGAGTATCAATTTTCCCTTTGAGACTAACACAGTGTCCACTACATGTTGGCATTTAAATCATGTTTTTTTAATACCTTCACCAAACTTGCATGGATGGTGCATCTGGACCTACTTGTGAACTTAATAAACTTGGATGCTGAATCTGGGCCTTGAATTTCAGATGCTAATGGATGTTATGGTCTTTGGGGCACTGGTTAAAGTTTTTGGAGCAGGTGCCCTTTGATGACTATCTTACTTACTACTGGTCCTAACTTCACCAAACTTGCATGGCTGGTGCGTCTTATGATACTGATGCACTTGACTGGCTTGAATGCTGAATCTAAGTTGTACGTTTCGGATGCTGGATGAGGTTAAGGTTTTTGAAGCTGGTTAAAATTTTTGGAGCAGGTGCCCTTTGATGACTACATGTATATCTTACTTACTACTGGTCCAAACTTGCATGGCTGGTGCGTCTTATGATACTGATGCACTTGACCGGCTTGAATACTGAATCTAAGTTGTAAGCTTCGGATGCTTGATGAGGTTGGGGTTTTTGAAGCTGGTTAAAATTTTTGGAGCAGGTGCCCTTTGATGACTATATCTTATTACTACTGGTCCTAACTTCACCAAACTTGCATGGCTGGTGCGTCTTATGATACTAATGCACTTGACAGTCTTGAATGCTGAATCTGAGCCAAAGCTTTCGGATGCTGGATGAGGTTAAGGTTTTTGGAGGTGAGAAAGTTTTTCGAGCAGGTGCCCTTTGATAGACAAATCGTAGTTCTTATCAATCTTTATCAAATTTTGTTAGATGATGCATCTTGTGATACTGATGCACTCCACAGGCTTGGATGCTGAATCTGAGCCATAGGTTTTGGATGCTGGAGGAGGTCACATGTTTACATAAATTATAGTACTCATTTAAACTTGCATGATTGATTTAACTATATAAATGAATCACAGAGGTAGCTTCAGATACAGAGAGCGATCTTGATTATCTAGATCGATGCTTAGGCAGGTTGAAGACTTTGGAACAACTCAAATTGTGTTAGGCTCTTGGAGCTGTTTATAAAAGGAAATAAATTCTGCTCATACCTTGTCAGATGTAAACAGTTGATATAACTATGGATGTGTAAATAAAGGTAGCTTCAGATACAGAGCTTGATCTTGATTATCTTTGATGCTGGAGCAGGTGTAAGTTTCAAAGTAGTTTAATGCAGGTTTGACTGTTGGAAAAAAAGCTGTCCTGACTAACTTTTGTGGATCATCGATTTGAAACAAAGGTAAGCTTCAGACACAGAGCCTGATCTCCATTATCAAGGATGATTAAAAAGCCTTGTATAACCTCACTCAAATATGCTTGATAGATGGGTTTGTTGTTAAATGATATAACATGACTCCTATGATATTGTACTGTATGATGTGATACAGTATAACTTTTTATGATACAATATTGTATCATATAATATTGTATCATATATTGTAAAATATTATACGATACGATATGATATTGTATAAAAAAATTTGTGTATATGATATGATAGTGAATCATATGGTATTGTACTATATGATATTGTATCATCTGATACAATATATTTAAATATGATATTGCATCATAAGATACAATATTGTTTTATTTGATATTGTATCATATGATATGATATCATTGTTTTATTTGATATTGTATCATATAATATGATTCAACATTGTATCATATTTGAATTGTATCATATATGATAGAGTATTGTATAATACATCATATGATACAATATCATATGATATAATATTATATCATAAAATAAATTATATAATACGATATCATACAATACAATATCATAAAATATGTTACAATATTTTAATGTTTCATGTGATATGATGTTGTATTATATGATACTATATCATATCATATATTAAGATAATGTATCGTATGATACAATATTTATAATACAATATGATATCACATAATTTGATACAATGTCATATCATATTACACAATATTGTATATTATCATAGGATGCAGTATTGTATTTTTTGTAGTATATTGATAAATATTATCATACAATACAGTATGAAATTTACAAATAAATATGGGTATCATACAATTTTGAATTATATGATGTATGATATTGTGTCAAACCACACTTTAGTATCCAATACTAATAAAGATAATTAACTATGATTTTCTATAATATAATAAAGGTGGTCCCATTACAATGATGCCTTGTCTCGGTGAGCTTTGTAATCTATGATTACCTATGTTTGCCCTCTATGGTGTATGTATGCCATTTGATAGGTGAAATATTTCAATCTTTGTGAGATTTTGCAATTTGTGGAGACTTTACGTAGTATACTGAAATATCAATCAAAATTTTGTCATAAGATTTTATTTTCACTTTTTTGTCACATAACAGGCATTTTGCTCACCATGTTATATACTGAAACCACTGGTTTACAGTAGGAATATTAGATACGTTTTCTACAGTTTTTCACCACGCTTTAATTAATTGACTTATGTAAAATTGATTTATCATTTGGTTCATATAGTTTTACCTTTCCAATTAGCCAAATGTTGATCCAAAGTTTAATTATATCTTTAAAATAAAGTTTATCACAGGGGCAACACCACCTTGCCTGAAATAGGCCTATATCAACGAACAAGTTTTAATGATTCTAGATCTTGTACAAATGTACTGTGCATGATATGATCCACACTAGCCATCGTTTATTAATTTAATAAACATGTTCGTGTACATGGACGACCTGTTCCACTTTCATGCTGATAAGGACACTATTTCTGCCTCTATTGTTGAAGAGCTACAATCTCAAAATTTGTGTAATGAATCACTTAGTCTCATACAGGCTATAGAGAGTTTAAAGTAGGCTGGGTAATATCTCAACTAAAAACTGGGTTTAAAGTCTTCATCCTAGTATATAACTTCCTGAACTGTGATAGTGATATTTATGTCATACAACTATGATCCAAACCTTCATTCCAGGAAGTAAAGTATCACTCTGCAAATCTATATCTGTAAATACAGGTAACACTATATATCTTCCCTTTCAGATTAGGGTAAAAATACCAATAAAAAATGTTTATCTTTTTAAATTTACTGCAATACATGTACTTGCATGAAAAAAAAAATCAACATTTATAAATAAATATAAAATAAAATTGTATAAAATATTACATAATGCAATCAAACTGGAAAATGAACACAGCTGTGGCAACATATTGAAAATAAATTTCTGGGCAAATGGGAAATTATTAAAGTGAAAAATAATCTAGAATATTATTACAAAATGTAAGTGAAACTAATCAAATTATAAGGATAGTGTAATCTGAGTTTTCATTCTAACATTGTTAATGTTCATGAAACATCCAACTTGGATTGAGAATATGTACAATTATACATTAAAATCATTGAAAGAGTCAATGGAATCCACATTCTGATGAGTTTACATGCAGAGGAAAAAACTCCACTACACGGTTACATTGCTATTAAATTATGCACCACAACCAAATAAATAAAGTAATTTTTCCCTACCTACAAGACTGAAGTTTACTCAATTTATTAGCTCTTTTTCTAATTATTCATAATGTTTAATTTTGCAATAGTTTCACATGTATGGGAGAGTTTTTGATTAAACAGAGCTCTCTTTCCTTCAAAAAGTTTTTATACATCAGCAGTTTAGTGAAAATGAAGACCTCAATTATCAGCAATGTTAAAGAAATCCTACATAATAATTTCCTTTAAACTTCGTTCAATTTATTACTCAACTTATTTTGTAGTTTAAAGAGTACATTTTTTTTTTTGTATCAGATGATCGGGTAAAATTATGTGTGATATATGTTCTTGTAAATGTGATTTACAATATTAATGAGAAACTAGAAAACTGACCAGTCAGCAAGGGCCCCAAAGATGCATACACATCTAAAGGTGCAGATTAAGGGATGGATTTATGATAATTGGAGAAAGAAAAACAAGAGGCCTATGGGCCACGGCCTTCACCTGAGTAACTATGACCCTGCCATATTCTTCACTAGATTTTCTCCATTGTAATAATATCTTTTGTGGCCCCAACCTACCCCCCCGGGGTCATGATTTGAACAATTTAGAATCTACACTACCCCAGGATGCTTCCAGATAAGTTTCAGCTATTGTGGCCCAATGGCTCTTTAGGAGAAGATTTTTAAAGATTTTTTCTATGTATTTCAATGCAAAACTTGGATTCCCTAGTGTGGCCCCGCCCTACCCTTGGGGGTCATTATTTGTCTACAATATGAATACTTTCAGCAAAGACAAACTGAGGATATTATCCAATTACCTATAAAAATTATTAGTGTCCTTGACTTTACATAAGGCAGCAATAAGAATGTGATATTTTTACTTACATGTATACATTTTTTCAATTCCATAAAATATATTGCAACAAAATGTGTATTTGATCGAGATTAAAGTTCTGCACTTTAAAAAATGACAACCCTTCAGTGATTGCAAACTTAACCCAGACTTGACCTTAACTTCAGAATAACATCACCTGCAGACAGAGGTGTTAATTAATCTTAATGTGAAAGATTAGGTTCTAGATTTTCTGCAGCAGGCAAGATTATTAATAAAGGGGACTCCTTGCAGCTTTCACAGTTTACAAGATTGAATGGGCAAAGAGTTATAACTGATGAAAATGTTTCTACAAATTAAAAATCTACCCCACCACCCCAGCTCCCTTGATAAGACCCGACTCAAAATTGGTATCAAAATATGTCTTACTGCCAAATTCAACAAACACACCAAAACTGAACTTCATAGGAAAACTGTAAAATAAAAAATAAAAAAAAATAAAAAAAGTTACAAAAAAAATAAATTAAATTTTTTTTTAAAATGTGGATGGAAGAATGACAGATGAAGTCAGATTGACAGACAGAGTGATTACTATAGTCTCTAGGGCACCCACAAATTCTTGCAGGGCCCTAATTACACATCATCATTATACTTCCAAAATTGTTAATCCACAAACACAGAATGCAAATTTAAAATCTGTAATGCTGTTTAATGTACTGTCAATCAGCAGTTAAAACATTCCCTATGTAAACTTTAGATGAGTTTGATATCAGCAAGACTTAAGATTTTTCTTCAGTCATTTATGAACATGAAAAGTTTTATATACCTTTTTTTTATATTCAGTTTAAATTTCCTTATATTAATCTAAATTTCAATACTTCCCATAGATAATATACATGTATTTTTTTATTCCTCCTATTTAAATACATTTTTTTTTTTCATTTTTACTTTCAGGCATGAAGATTGCTATTTAAAAAAAAATCAAAGAAAAATAGCATAGAACTTAAAGAAGAAGATATTTTACAGCATTAAGTTTTCATATCACAACTTATCCGAGACAAAGTTTTTAATATTTAGAAATGACACCTCTACAAAGCAGAAATGAACTGGACAAATGTAAAAGAAAAATACTGTATTTCTTCATGTGCTTGACTGTTAAAAAATCTCTAAAGCAATAATCATGATGTTACAAACTTAATTAATTATATTTTGATTAACCCGACTGAATGTACTGTGTAACCTGATTCAACTTGATGCTACTCAGTCCATACACATACATTGTGTAGTTAAGAAAACAATAAAAATTCAATAACTAAAATATACTTTGACAATAAAAACTAAAACCTTATTCACTAAAAATGAAAAATATGAACATTCTCACTATTAACTAAGCTGTAGTGAAAAACAAGCAGTTCAAGCTATGATACAATGCTAAACAGTTTCTAAGCTCTGTACAAAGAATACAAAATATCAGTTCTGCACACAAATTCACAACATCTGAGAAAACAAAGTGTATGATAAGTTTGAAAGGTCTAAGAACCTAATTCTACCTAGTGTTTATTGAGTCTACTTATACATAAGCACACACATTATCACAGCAGGAAATGGAATCACACAAAATGCTCTCTACTAAAAAGTCCAACACTGAAGCTCAGTCTTCTTTTGAAGAATGTACCATAAAGACATTTGTTATCATATGTCCAATGAAAAATGACAAATTTAGTCTTTATTTATATATCCCCAAAAATGAAGGCTTTCATATTTTCTTCTTAATATTAATAATTACAAAGTTATTTAATCCAGTTTTCATCTTCTTTCTGCCATTGGTGACCTTGGAAATAACTGAGCCTTAATGTTAGGCATTGACCAGGTAGCAGACATTTTTTGTCGTGTTGGGGTCCCTCGAGGAATTGGACTTCTGTAAAACACAATAGGGCTCTCTGGGGCTTTGTTTGGAGTGGACACTTGTGGAAAACTGGCAGACAAATTGCCTTGGAAATGTGATCTTGCAGGACTTGGCCAACTATAAAAAAAAATAAATACACATGTATATATATATATATATATATATATATATATATATATATATATATATATATATATATATATATATATATATATATATATATATAATGGTACAGTGAAATCTCTCTAATCTGATATGCAGTGGGAGACAAAATTTGTGTCGAGATAGACAGGGTGTGGATTACATAGAAAACAAGAAAATGGGAATTTAATTAAGGGTCAGAACTCGCAGTGAAACGGATTGCACAGGTGTCAGATTAGACAGTTCTCACTGTACTATATTTTTTGACTTTTGAGTTCATCTGATTTCATATTGACTGTCAGAGTATTATACCTTTGGAATATCAGTTGTCGCAAATGTAAATTAAGACTTTTATAATACTCAATAATACAAAATATTTCCATTTCTATTTGTTTTCTCTGTGATAACTCTTTGAAAGTTAGGAGAGTTGATTTCTTGATCATTCTACCGGAATGCAAATTTCGCCAAGCGAAAGGTCAGGAGCTAAGAAGGCCTAATATCCATGTAATTCTCTTGCGGCCATCTTTGTGTTTGACGTCAGTGGGCGGGGACTATTGAAATTGACATGTGAGGCCTCGTGTAATTTAAATCTACTAGTCAACATTTTTAAAATCTAAATTTACAATTTTATTTCACAATGAAATGGAAATATAAGGAATGACTGTCTAGTTAGTATAGTATGCCAGGGACATCAACAATAGTTGGAAACGTGGGATAATTTATGCATAACGGGCTTCGCCCGTTATGCAAATTATCCCACGTTTCCAACTATCGTTGATGCCCTGGCATACTCTACTAACTAGACAGTGATTCCTTAAATAAATAAACTTTATTATTTTAAATGAGATAAGCTAAATGCTGACCTGCAGTTAGGATTGGCCATCCTGGAGGAAACTAAGGCTCTCCACCTGTGGATAAGTGGATAGTTCTCCTTCTCCACCTCCCTGCCTTGTATTGCTCTATACACATCCAAGTCTGTCTTACTGGGCTGGTAGCTACAAAATTCAAACTAAAGATTAAATACATTACTTTTGAACATCATTTTCTCAAAAATAAAATCATCAAATTTACAAACAGGTTTGATTTTTTAAAATGTTAAAAAAAAGTTTAAATTGGTGACATTTAATGAACTGCTTGTAAAAACTGGATGACACATGTACATATAATGTATATGTACCAAGTACATGCCTCTACTGGCTCTAAGTGTACAATATAGGTTATTTTCAAATAACTTTCCATATCAGAACTCTTCTGTTTAGGATAGCAGGAAAAGTAAGTAAAGCAATAATTACAAATTGCCCTTTTCAGTTTTAATAAAATATTTTTCAATAGTACACTCTACCTGTACACACAACAATAGTTCAAGTAATGTCCAATTCCTTCACAATGAACTAAATTTAAAATGACTTCTAACATGATTCATATACTTTTGTATATTAATAATTCAATTTGAAATTGTACTAACCCACTAATAAAATATATTTTCCCTCTAGATTTGTTGTTGACTGCCAACGCTGATGTTACAGAATCCTTCACGAAATTGAAGACAACATCCACCATCGCTGGTAATTTACTGGGAAAAGAGTCCCCTGGTTTATACTGGCTTCCTCGAATCACAAAGAATGGAATGTTAGAAAATATCGCCATTTCTGCAACTGTAGAATTAGGTGGGACAACAGCAACACTGAGACTTACACTATCTACATCCTCCAGATTCTGTCCAGCAAGATCTAAAATAATGTCTCGACTGTAAATCACTCGCCTTGTGTTTCCATCTTTTTGATTTTGTAAAGTCTTTTTCTCATTAAGCAGCTCAAACATGGACTGAAATTCAAAGCTAGGCACCCTATCCTTGTCTAACTGTAGGGTGATGTCTAGATGACAGGATTCCAGGTCCTCCTCTGTAGAACTCTCCATCTGCTCCTCAACTTTGTCCTCGGAGAATGTCAATCTTTTCCTTGGCATTGGAGTTTCTCTTTCTGATTGATTACTTAATGCGCTCTCTGAATTTACTGAGGTTCTGAAGTCTATTTTCTCGTTAAACTGATTCACAAGATCATCAATCTGATCTGTTGGCTGTCTTTGGGATTCTGTTATTGCACTGGCCCTTTGGAGGAGTTCCTCAATTGCTTGATGTTCCTCCCCCTGAGAGGATGAACTTGAAGTCTGTGATTTTTCTCTCCAATTTGTTTCTCCTCGAATATTTGTCTCACAACTTTGTACATTGTCTACTAGTACAGTAGACTCATCAGGCTCCTTAGCACTTATGATGGTTGTTTTATTCAGATTATCATCCACAACAAACAATTCAGTTGACTGAAACCCATCTGCTGTTTTCCTGTATTCTTCAGTGTTGCTATTTTTTAAATCTTCCTGATTATTATTATCTGCTGTCAGCCTCGCTTCCCTAATGTAGACACATCCACTACTTTGCATTTCTTTCACATTATCTGTATCATGTGGAACTGCCCCATTGCTTTGTAAACCTGATGTTTCTATTTTACCATGTTCACTCCTGGTAGATTTAACAAATCCTGGATATCCACTCCCCAAACATGAAATGCCTAAACATCCTTGTGATCCTGAAAGCCTTCTCTGTCTGCGTGACCTATCTAGTAGTGATAGTTTAGAGAACAAAGCCGATAAACAGGACATTGGGGTCAGGATACCAGAAAAACTCTCCTGTGACCAATCACTACTATCCATGGACCATTCCATGGATCGATTCATTCTTCCATAATCATAAATATTCTTTTTTGGCATTGTGAAAGATTCATCTATCCTTACCGACCTCTTCATGGTCTCTGAGTTTGGAAGAGCTCCATTGGAACTGTAATTTTTCACCTGATCCATGATGTTGCCATGGAGATACTTATCAATATCCACCATTTCCTGCTCGTGCAAGGATTCCTCAATGTCGGCTAGAGGGGACATCAACCAGGACACATTCATACTTCCTCCTCCGTCTTTGCTCTGACTGATAGACATATCCATCTGGTTATACTTAAAAGAGTGGAAGCTGTTAGAAAGGAGGTCTAGTTTTCCCAGTGCCTCCTCAATACAAAGAGCTAGGCTCTGCTTCTGTAGGTATTCCTCAAGGAGATCCAGACCATCATCAGTTGTCATGTCAGTGTATGTCTGTAAGAAATCCCAGTATTCCACCCAAGGAATCCCCATGTCATGTGCAAGTTGCCTTAAAAAACAAGAATGGATAAACTTACAACATAGCCCTTTATTATTATATGATCTGTGTGAAATCGATATACTTCTCTGTGAAGTAGATATGTCTAGGATTGACTGAATCAAAGGGCTACATTTGTTATATTATTTTCTTTAAAAGAAAAAAAGAGACAAATTCATTATTAGATTTTGGGAGTTTTCAAGACTTTTCAATATTACATGTATAAACACATCTTTTTTTCCCCTAAGTTATTTTTAGTAACTCAACTCATTATCATAAAATATAATTTTGCATGTGATATGAAGCAAACCAATCAGGTTTGTTGAATCACACAGTAAAAATAATATATAATTATATATTCAAACAGACTGTAAATTGAAACGTGCCAATCAAACTAAACAAGAGATGTTTGTGAAACACTTATGCCGCCCCCCCCCCCCCCCCCCCCCCCCCAAATAATTGGAATTTTCCTAAGTCCATGGGACATAACTCTGTCAAAAATTGCTTGATCGTACTCAAAACAGAACTTGACCTAGATATTTCTATGATAAATCTGTATACCATATTTCATTTCAAAAAATGAACGGAAACTGCAAATAATTGGAATTTTCCTAAGTTCAAGGGGCATAACTCTGTCAAAAATTGCTCTATCGTACCCAAAACAGAACTTAACCTAGATATTTTTATGATAAATCATTAAATCTGCATACCAAATTTCGTTTCTGTATGTGCAACCTCTGCAAAGAAAATGAATGGAAACTGCAAATAATTGGAATTTGTCTAAGTCTATGGGGCATAACTGTCAAAAATTGCTTGATCGTACCCAAAACACAACTTGATCTAGATATTCTTATGATAAGTCTGTATACCAAATTTTATTTCAGTATGTGCAACTTCTGTAAAGAAAATGAACGGAAACTGTTGGTGAACCAATAGACAGACAGACAGATAGACCGAGTGACAGACAGCAGCAAAGCAATATGCCCTCCCTTCTTTGAAGGGGGACATAAAAATAAATTGGGTGCAGAAAAAAAAATCTTTGAAATTGAATTGAATCAAGATGCATATGTGAAATATTTTAATTAAAGGTCTTATTATGATCATTTACACCTTTAAAACAAATCCACTCCCTGAAACATTAAAAAAAATTTTAAAACAGAGCAAGTCAGGTACTTAGGAAGATGTATCAATAGGGACAGGCAGTAAATCTAGTACTGTCAAATCTCTGGAAGTGATTTTTTTTTTTTTTGATATTCTCTAAATCGCTTAACAGATTCAGTTAAAACTTCACTGTGTTGAATTAAATTCACATAAAAATAAAAACATCAAAAATGATAAGACTAGTGGAATTTATGGACTAAATTGAGCAGTTCCATGAATCAGTATCCATTTTTGGTTTCTACATTTATAACGTAGTACTAAATTTTACCACTTTTGGACAGATAACATAATTAATGTAACAAATATGCCCAAGAAGTTGGAAGTGATTCTTTTTGATGAAATGAAGATCATTAATAAAATATAATCACAGTCTGGAACAACCGAGAGTCGGAAATCAAAAGTATGTTACTTGATTTGTCACATTATACATAACATTGTTGATATATTTATGTATGCTTGAAATTAATTATGTATATCAATGCAAACTAGAACTGTCCAAAAGGGACAAATACCCCCCGCTGGGTTTTTCAGAGAAGGTACCAAATTACTTATGTTTTCTAGATGTGAGAGGTGTTCACAATTTGTTTAAACATTTAGAGTGAAAATTTAATTACTCATTATATTTTTTTTAAATGAATGAAACTAAGGTGCAGCCTAATAAAACATCAATACTAATAATTACAGTGTTTTTATTACATTGAAAAAAAAAGTTTGCAACTATCTGTCATCTTTGTGAGACATGACACTCTGCAAATTGATTGTTGAAAAAAAAATCATAATTAATTATACAAAATCAAATTGAACTTAATACCTTTATCAAACTCATTGGCTGGTTCCAGTAACTATGTATTTTGACAGACATAAATTACAATTAAGAGACTTAGACAACAGAGATCTTTATTTCTTTCTGCCCAATTCCCAGGAGATATAGATAAGACCTGCTTGATCAGAGATGTCCTAACAGCTTCCCACAATGAACTCATTAATTAATCTTTAACTGCATGGATGCATGTCCACTCAATACTCCCTAGGGACAAATGGATTTACACTATCTGCTACGTAATGTAAAAACTGTTTTTAATACTTTGTGATTTTTTTTTAGTTCTAATGAGTAGTTTTAAGCTGTAGTTCACATTTTTGTACAGATGTTCTAGATTCTATGTCTCAAACCTTAGACATGAACCTGAAATGACTAAGTCAATAAAAATGAAAAAAAAAATCTGTAAAATGCAGAAAAATTATCAAATAATGTTGAAAATACCAGGTGCACATCTTCGTATGGTAAATAATAAGTGTACAAATTTTCAGACAAATCTGTGCAATAGTCTCTGGGAACAGATCCGAACAAAACCACATACTGTAGATTCCTTATTTTTCGCGAGTACTTATTATCGCGAAATGGCTCTTTCACGTCAAATCACGAGAACAATAATTCGCGAGTAGACGGTTGATCAAGGGATTTTACATTGATTTCAGCACCATAAAAATAAAAGCGAGAAATTTTATTTCGCGAGTGGTGCTTCTCGCGTAATTACGCGATAATTAATTCCTCGTGTATATTTAGGAATCTACAGTAATCAAAATGAAAAAAACACCTGTAAAATGCAAAAAAAATTATCCAATCATGATGAAAATACCAGGAGCACACCTTCATATGGCGAATAATAAGTGTACAAATTTTCAGACAAATCCTTGCAACAGTTTCCAAGAAATGGTCTGGACAAAATCTTGTCTACAGACAGATGGACAGACAGACGGACATGCTGATTCAAATATACCCCCCCCCCCTAAACTTCGTTTGTGGGGGTATAAAAAAGTGCCTGGCAAGTATGAAGCTATTCTGTACAGTAGTATGAAGAATACCAATAGAAAGCCGTGAGAGTCGGTTAGTACTAAATTTACTGCTTGCTCAATGTAGGTACAAAAGGATGACAAAAACTCATTTAACAGGCCATTTTCCCTTTTAAATTAATTCAAAATACTGTACTTAACCTGGTAATTTGGTATAAAGGCAAACATCAGAGAGGAAAGTTGCCTCATTGATACCATTTCTGTGGTGAGGTTTATGACCTACCTGCCGATTCTCTCAAGACCTTTCTCACTGTCTTCTCGTTTAGTCGAATAAAATTTTCGCTTTGCATAATCTGGACTGTTAGATGGAGGGGTGTTCCACCTCTTGTGGAACAAATTTGCCTGTAAAATCATACATAATACTTAGTGTTGGTAAATAGGTCAAACACTAACTGTTTAACTGACATATTTTTCTACGTGAACATTAAGTACTTGGATATAAATAAATTTGATTAAAAATTCACTCTAGAATTTGTATCTTTCTTACACATGTATCTTGCAATATTCAACATTTCCATTGCACACTTGTAAAAATCCCTCTAGTAGATACATATATACACTGTGTGAACTTATCTGTACATGCAAATACTAGAAATATTGTAATCCAACGTAACCTTGTACACCTAATGAATAAAATAAAACTATGTACTCTAGAGAAAAAGTCAATTAAATACCAGATGCCCTATTATTTTCTTATGCTTTCCTGTGTGGTTTTTGAATGCTAGTGGGGTCAGCCCATGAGATGGAAGAAAGTGAAATCAAACTACTTGTACATGAACAAACTGATGGCCTTTGGTTCTTTATTTTTTTTTAAACCAACAAATTATAACTACTGAAAATCATCAAATTTTCATGAGATCTTATTTTCGCGAGATAGATACTTGGTACTTATAAGCGTGACAAAATTTTCATGAATTCTGGTTATTGCTGTATATAAGCTATGCTCATAAAATTATACGCAAGAACTAAATTTTTGCGAGCAGACAATCTCAAATTCTCACGAATAAAAAGTGATCTACAGAACTGTATCTCTTTGGGAAAGGTTTGTGAATTTATTTTCATATACTGTAATCAATTTACCCATGAAGAACTTTTTTAAAAATCAAGATTTAGATATAAATTGTCCAATATGTTTTAATAATCCAACAAATTTAGCATGCAAAAATTCCACAATTGACAATGATTTATAGATAGACAATTTAATTTTAAGCCAAAAAAGAAATCTTTCATCTTGGCTTCAACTAGCTATCACTATGTCAAAGTTTACAGCCTGAGAGTAAGTACAGTACTTTATAAATTATATTAAGTACCTTGGAAGGAGTCATGGGTCCAGCACAAGCCTTGACGGCCATAAGAGGATCTTTGGGGCTCCAGGACAGAGGTGGCAGATTAACCGTGCTTCGGGAACTTTCTGGTGACCATGGAATACCAATGAAAGGCTGAGAAGAGTTGTCCTCAGACCGCAGCAATGGGACAAAAAACTGACCTGAAAACAGTAACACCCTTGATGCATATATAAAGTAAATTGAACAAAAAAAATTGTTTACTCCAATTTCAAAATCGTTCAACATGGTGATAAAGTATGCCAATTAATACAATGATCTAAAATTGTTTGAACAAATTTAAAAGTAAATTATTACATTTTGCCTTTTAATCTATATCATGTGTATACATGTACATGTGTATTTTTTTCCTCGTCTTTAACATCATATATTTGTGATAATGATGCACATTGTAAATGTACTGTCTATACCTTCCATTAACTCTTTAATTTCTTCTCTTTGAGCAGTTGTAGCATTATCTACTCTACTGCAGATAATCTGAAAATAGACCAGCATTCATAAAAAAAATTCTTGAAAGAACAAACCCCTTTCAAATACTGTCAACAAATGTAGTTACAGCATTGTACATTAATTATCTGAAAAATATGGGTTGGACAACTAAACTCACACTAAACCTGTAAACAAGGGCTTTAGATCCTACATTTTACCAGCATTATTATTCTATTAGTAGAAATCATTCTTTTAATACTTTTCCTGATTACAATACTGATGACTGAAGCATTATGCTAGTTTCTGAATTATATTTAATTCATCCAATATTTGTATATCTCACCTCTCTAGGAGTTTCATTAAATTTATTTCTCACAGATTTGTCTATTTTAGGATGAGATATCAAAACTGCCACAACTTCCGCAAATCCATGTTTACATGCAAAATGTAATGGGACCTCACAGGCCTGAAAAACATCAACATATTTATATATTTCCCGGTCATGCCCAAACTTAGAGAGCAGTAACATCATTTGCAAGAATATGGTCTTATTATGGGTGTTTTATTACTATTAGGTGTCACAGATGATGTTTCATTAATCAGGAATACTGTATACAGGGTTATTTTCGCCCCGCGTTATTTTCGCCCTTTCAACCATTCAAACAATTTTGCCTCATTTTAAATTCGCCCACTCACAGTTCTGTTTAAGAAAATATACCGTGTTCTTTGAATTCGCCCCGTTTTAAATTCGCCCACGTATGAGTAGGGTGAAAGGGGCGAAAATAAAACAGAGGCGAAAATTTCCCTGTATACAGTAATCATATATGTATACCGCTTTATCTGGAGTGTTGAGATACAGGTCTACAATGAAGTTAATTCTGTTTGTCCTTGTGCCCTCTGTTTCATTAGTATGGCCATATAACTTGTCAATAAAGCTGGGATCTTCTAACGTATCCAAAATAAGCTGACAAATTCCAGCTTGGTTGCTTCGAGCCGCTATGTGCAATGCATTGTATCTTGGACCTTCCTGTTATTATCAAGTTTAATATGAAGGTATTTCAAAATAAAAAAATATTCACATAGCACACACAGCAGAAATAAAATACTCTACAAATCTAAACATGTCCACATTTTTTTTCAAACTTGTAACTCTGCTTATCAAGGACATATGCAATGTAGTCTTGAACTTATTTTCTTATTCCCTGTATAATTTAAGAGTTCCAATAATAGAAGGACATTTTTTGTGATTTTATGATGACTGCTAATGATGTATACCTCCTCTGAATCAAATTTTAAGAAAATACCAACTAAAACTATACTTTTGTTAATTTTTCTTTTAAAAACACAGGGATTTTCAGTATTTCATATCTGTTCAAAACTTCTGGTAATGTATGCTGGTTTTTTGTGTAAGAACATCTAATGGTGATATGATTAACAAATTATCAGTGGGAAAGGTACATTGGAAAGTACATGTACATGTATGTTGCATATGACCTTCATCATTATTATCCTCATACAACATAATTTCTCCACCACATTGACAGAGGAAATGCAGTACGTGCATATTTACCTGAAGAATAACAGGTGTGTCTCCTCCACTGACCAGAAACCTAGGGTTTTCCCACACCAATGATTCTACAGTAACGACGTCTCCTTCCTCAATTGCCTTTCTTAGTTTGCTTAGCTCTTGTGGCTTTGGGCCTTTAAATGGACTGCTTTCCACTGAAACTCCTGTACTCAAAGTTGCAATTGCACCATTTCCATTCTGTAATACACATTTCTTGGATTTATCACATGTAATTAAAATTTATATAAAAATTAGACAAATCCAAAGACTGGCAGACTGACACAGGGCAAACTAATCCCTAGTTGTCATTTTGCTTCATTGGTGATTTTATAAAAATTAAGACTTTTAAAAACTATTTAGTTTGTAAATGCCACGTAAAGATGACAACCATATCATTACCACAATCATATATTGTCAACATGAAGGTTTGACAACATTTCTGCATTTTAATAATCTTAAAATAATTTTTAATTTTAACATATTATCTTCTCGCTTTTTTTTTCATGTGGTTGAATAAAAAATGTAATAACTTTTGTTGTTGGTTTCCATGGTGATGCAATGTCATCAGGAGACAACTTGGAAAACTTTTCTGCATCCTCTTTGCTTTTAAAACATTTGAACCTGGCTCCTGAAAACTTCTTTACAGACTGTAAAGCCAATTTTTTGTCGGTGAACACTAAAGTTTGACCTGCAACATAAAATACATCATTCCTAGATATTTCAAAAGTGCTATTATAGTAGTACATGTAGTAGTAATAGAGGTAATAGGGTTTCACCATTTCTTCTAACTAAAAATACATGATCATCTACACTTCTATGTCCCTTAGCCCGCAGTCTTTGGGGTAAAACCGATAGAGTTCTTACAGTAGACTTCATTACTAACTTTTTGGTTTGCAACTTTGTCATTTGACTTTAAAACATCTTTTACATCAAGTGTATTTTGATTGTCCATGGATGGGGCTACTCAAGCACTGGAAAAAATTTTAAAACAGTGAATTAATTACTTCAGTGACCATGCCCAAAAGTTTGGCAACAACGAACATAAAAGATTTTTTCCCTTCTGATTTTTGGGTTGAACCCCCAAAAGGGACTCAATTTACTTTTTGCAAAGTGTGGATTAACTATTTTAAAATGCATTTAATTCTTATATTTGTGAACCTGTTTCCGATTAATGGTTCAAATAGAATATGACACCATTATCAAACCTTCCAACCTTGTACAAGATATTATACATATATATTCATAATATAATAATCCTGAAGGGCAAGTGAATCTGAAAGTTCTGTCCCTGCACAGGCACTTGTGACATTACACCAACAACTGTCATTATGCCCACTGTTAAAGTGAATACTTCTACAAGATTCTTTAAATCAATGTTCTGAAGTTCTTTGAGTATAATTAAAAAAATTTTAAAGTATTACAAGTATTAGTGTTTGAAACTCACCATAAAATTAGCTAGACATGCAGGGCTTACTGCTAGTGAAAGTTGTCAGTCCTGCCAAAAATCTACTAGCCCATGATAATTGTCTTTTATAACTTTGTTTTTAGCGATAATATGAATGGGGCCAGATCACCATAACTTCGATGCCAATTCTATAGGATGGCGAATTCTACCCCCTTTGCTTTTTACACTTTACTACCGATACTAATGGTTAATTGAGAGAGATTTATCAAATATATGAATTTTAAATTTATGAGAAATTTTAACATGTCCAGCAGGGTGTCTTAATAATATGATAATGTGCAGATCTGAGTTCACCCGTGGCAAAATTTTTGCGTCTCGGGTGGTGGGACGCACGTTTATTTCAAACACTGTAAGTATAGGTAAATGAGTGCTCTATTAACTCAAATATTCAGTCACCTTGTTTTTCTTCCAATGAGACTCCAAGAGGAGGGCATACTCCATAATACACAGACACCTCTGGTTCTGTAGCAGGCGTCTCCTCTTTTACTTGTCCTGTCTCTGCATTCTGCTCGCAAATCTGAGTATCGCCACTCGTTTGAAATACTTGGTTATCACCTGTATTCCCATCCACTGCATCAGATATTGGATGCTGCTTTTCATAAAGTTTACTTGCTAGTTTCTTTTGAAAAATTAATTTTGTGCTCGGTAGAATTGGACCAACATTTACTCCATTATCCGATAACTGCTGTCTAAGATCATTGATACTCAGCTGTTTCACAGCTTCTAAAACCTGTTCCATGTTTTCAGAATCTTCATGATTCATCCTCCATCCTCTACCAACCCTACAGACAAACTAGCCCAAAATTATTTCACTTCTTACACGTTTTTTGATTGGATCGGTAATTAATTATTCCGCCAATCAAAGCTGATGTATAAAACAGGCACCTGTTGACTGGTTCTCTTGTGTTTTTAAATGACCAATTTACAGGAGAGTTCCGGTGGAAAATGAGACAGATGCACACAACAAACTAACAGAAGTCAGTGATTTTCCGATGATTAAACAGTTGAAAAATTCCAAGAAAAAAGCAATATACTCCCGCAAAACACTAACTTATGCTTGTTAGTACAAGACAAGGTAAGATGAAGTTGTAAACAAAAAAAATTAGGACAGTGAAAATAAGGAGCAGCAGACGACAAATTATGGGAACCACCCCCTTAGTATTAGGCCTAAATAATTTTATCAATTTCACATGTACGGATAAAAATTTTCAGGTATAAACAATGCATTTAATCTGCCACTTTGTTTTCAATATTTGATGATTTGAATATATGAATTTTTGTAGAAGCATGAATAATTATGAACAGTTTGGAAGTCATGTTGAATCAAAACCGCCTCCAGAACTTGCCGTTACATCTGAGACTGCTGGGGGACAGGATAATTCGGGTGATGTACAAATAAGAATGGATAACAATACATCAAATGATGGTACTCTTCAAATTTACAAATCAGATGCTAAAGAAGATGTAGAATATGTTGAGGATCCTGGAGCAAAAGAGATTCCAAGAAGAGGAATTGAGTAAGAGTCCTTTATGGTTTTCATGCATTTACTGGAAGCCATTTTATTGAATAATGATGCACCCCCCTCTCACACCTCTCTGTTCCTACAGGGTTTTTTTTTGTTTTTGTTTTAACTTTTTTTAAAATAAAGAAATGTTCATAGATGAATATAGTCCATCATCAAATTAGAGATTACAAAGGGTAAAACAAAAAATTAACGCCATTTCATTATTCTGGAGAATATTGGAGTGTGAATTAGTCATATTTTTTTTTAGAGAAATATTGATTTTGTTACAGTAAAATTGATTCATTTATACATTCTGTCTTTTTTAATTCAGGGGATTGCAGTGGATTGTAAAAAGCATCCTGGAGCACATAGTATTTAGACTCATTACTGTAGTGCTGATTATCATGGACTTTATTTTTGTCATAGTGGAACTTGCAGACAATGACTGTTCAAAAAACCGAGAAACATTGGAACTTCTGTCACATGTCTTGATCAGTTATTTCATGCTAGAGGTTTTCTTTCGAATTTTCTATCAAGGGTATGATCCTTTACTGAAAATGTTATAAAGTAAAATGAATTAGAGATTCTCATATAAATTAAAAAAAAAAATTTCTTGAATAAATGTCTCTCATTTCCCCTTAATGTATTAACATTTTAATATAACCGACTTGTGTTCATTGAAATTAAAGTTTTCAAGAAATCAAAATGGCTTTATAAATGTTTCAATGAATCTTGAAATGCTATATTGCACACAGACATTGATTATTTATTTCTTTTTCTCAATTTTGTGATCAACCATAATGCCCAGTGAAAAAAATACAGTGTGCATTATGTACCTATATTTATACACATTTTAAATCATTTTCAAATATGAATAATTTTTTATGTCAAAGAAATTATTTTGATATCCTATATCTTTCAGGAAACAGTTGTTAACAGAATGTCGAGTGTTGGAGATGGTGGATATAGGTGTGGTCACTGTCTCTTTTATTGTGGATGTAACATTTTTAATTATTGCAGAAGGGACTTCTTGTGCTAATAATTATGCAAAGTAAGTACTGTAGTACATGTTTCTGCATACAATATAGGAGGGTTGTTAGAAAAGTTCGCGGACAAGTTCTATGGTGAGCGCGCTATTTCCATGAAACCGTTTAAACTCTCCAGATAAAAACTTTACCTATTTTCCAATAAATATACAAAGATTTGGTGTTTTCCGGTGATCCTTAAAAAATATACAGCTATATTAGTTTGATAAAACATGCTTCATAGAGCATGCTACTTTTTTGCACGTTTACATTACATAGACTTTTTATTTAAATCAAAAATTGCACAGTTGTACCGCAGAAAGCATTATGATATTTTACCTGTCGCTACAGTATTCATAAAACGTCACTTGCCGAAATTTTGAATTAAATTGGAGGGTGTATGACTGTTTTATAGCCATTTATAAATAATCAAGGCGTAAAAACAAAGCCAAGAATGGGAACGTCATGGAGCACCGACGTACTAAAAATTTTATGTGTGCAGACAGGAAAATGTCTAAAATAAACTAAAATGCTTTTAGATGCTGCTGGAAATTGCCTACACGTACAAAGGACAAAAGTATTCAAAATGTAGTAGCTTTAAAAGAATGGAAGGATTAACATTTTTAATGATCAACTCCATCGATATCTCAATACCCCACTTATAGCATGGACGTTGCAGCTATGGATTTTGCATGGTTTCCATACCTGACCTCTTAATTGCGTAGACTATTATTTTAAGATCTCGCTAATGTCCGAAACAGCACAAAAGACATTATAGAAGAAAAGTAACATGTCTTGACATAGATATTTAACTTTTCAGTAGAAAAAAGACAAGAAAATTCGAAAGAAATGAAAGATATTTAGAACTATGAAAAAGCTGAACGGATTTGAAATCTGATTGTCACGTCACTTAACGTCAAGTTAATGCTCCGTGAATCCTATGACCGCATAGTAAAAATTGTTGTAAATTTTCAAAATTTTAGTAAATGGACCTGATTTTTTACATACTAATAAACAAAAGATAGGAATTTAATCAGACATAAGTCATACTTCACAGTACACAATAGATTTCCGTAAATCAATGTGTCCGCGAACTTTTCTAACAACCCTCGTACAATATGACACGTCATATTGCTGATCAATAACATTTACTATGTTCGTGCAAATCAAAAATTTTTTGAACAAAAAAAAAAAATATAGAGTCTTCATGCTAGATTGTGAAGTAATTTGATAAAGTGCCCTTTAGGGATTTTTTTGTCATATGATTACACATGTGTAACTTTATTTTTCATATTTCAAAAGTACTTATTTGAAATAAATTCATAATTTCTTCACTTTAATAGTTACACTGAATAGATGCAATACATGTAATACTACATAAGTATTATCATGATAATAGTTTTGTATTGTAAATCACTTAATATATTAAGACTATTATGAATTATATCATTGCAGTTGCAATTAAAGGCATTGTTTTATACAGGTTATTGATTATTGGTCGTGTAGTAAGGATATTACGAATCGCCAGGATAATATTTTTAATGGTTCAGCAAAAGAGGCACATAGCTACAGCTTCTAGGAGAATTGTTTCACAAAACAAACGGCGGTACCAGAGAGATGGATTTGATCTTGATCTTTGCTATATTACTGGTTTGTTGAAAAAAAAAATAACAGAAACCTGTTGGAACATGAAAACAAAACATATAATGGAAAATTTTCTTCAAATCTTTTGATATGATGATAAATGTATTTAATAATTATGACTGTCATTTTAAAATATTTTACCCTAACAAGAGAAAATTCTAATGAATAAAATATTATAGAAGGATTAGCACATACTTTATTTTTTTTCCTTTGCCTTCTTTTGTTTTTAGCTCACCTGAGCCAAAGGCTCAAGTGAGCTTTTCTGATCAAAATTTGTCCGTTGTCTGTCGTTGTTGTTGTTGTAAACTTTTCACATTTTCATCTTCTTCTCAAGAACCACTGGGCCTATTTCAACCAAACTTGCCACAAAGTATCCTTGGGTGAAGGGGATTCAAGTTTGTTCAAATGAAGGGCCAAGCCCTCTTTCAAGGGGAGATAATTAAGAATTAGTGAAAAAATAAATGCATCATTTAAAAATCTTCTTCTCAAGAACCATAGGGCCAGGAAAGATGAAACTCATGTGGAAGCATCTTCAGGTAGTGTACATTCAAGTTTGTTCAAATCATGACTCCCAGGGGTAGGGCGGGGCCACAATGGAGAATCAAAGTTTTACGTAGAAATATATAGGAAAAATCTTCTTCCCAGGAACAGCAAAGCCCAGATTGTTCATATTTATATGGAAGCATCCTCAGGTAGGGTAGATTCAATTTTATTCAGATCATGACCCCCGGGGGTAGGATGGGGCCACAATGGAGGATCAAAGTTTTACATAGAAATGTATAGGAAAAATTTTAAAAATCTTCTTCTCAGGAACAGCAAAGCCCTGATTGATCATATTTATGTGGAAGCATCCTTAGGTAGTGTAGATTCTATTTTGTTCAAATCATGACCCCCGTGGGTAGGATGGGGCCACAATGGAGGATCAAAGTCTTAAATAGAAATATATAGGAAAATATCTTCTTCTGAAGAACTGCAAACCATGATTAGTCATTTTGATATGGAAGCATCCTCAGGTAGTGTAGATAAAATTTTGTTCAAATGATGACCTCCAGGGGTTGGGTGGGGCCCATTGGGGGATCGAAAGTTTTACATAAGAACATATAGAAAAAATATTTTTTCTCAAGAACAGGAAAGCTATGTTTAGTCATATTGATATGGAAGCATCCTCAGGTAGTGTAGATTCAAGTTCAAATGATGACCCCTGGGATAGGGAGGAACCACAACGGGGGATCAAATTTTTACAAAGGAATATATGGGAAAATTTTTTTAAAATCTTCTCAAGTACAACAAAGCCATTTGTTATATTGACATGGAAGCATCATCAGGTAGTTTAAAATTCAAGCACCCCCCCCCCCCCCCCCCCCCCCCCGATAATCTTTTCATTACTGAACTGATTTGTGCTTTTGCCTAGCCAATGTGCTCAGGTGAGCGATGTGGCCCATGGGCCTCTTGTTGAATCTTGGTGGCAATCTCCATGTCTAGAAAATATGCCAAATTTGAACACTTAAAATTCTTTAATAAAAAAAATTTGCAATAGCATTTTTAAAGTTTTGTAAAACTTTTATTGACATGTTCATGTATTTGGCATAAAATGATTAAAATGCTTGAAGTCCATTAATGTTTTTGTAGAGCGTGTGATTGCTATGTCCTTCCCATCAAAGGGAATGATGGCCATGTATCGCAACAGTGTCAATGTAAGAAAATGCTATTTTATCCTTAAAAATAAAATCAGGAGTTCATTTGCTCAATCATGTTGCTGGTTTTTTACTGCTATTGTTTATCAATCTGATTAAAATATTAAGATCCTTTGATATGCTCACATAGATTGCTACACAAGGATCTGAAGAAAAAAACCCATTCAGGGTCACCTCCTCGTGACCTTTTAATTATTCAATCAAACTTTTGCTTCCGAGAATTAAGAATTATCTCGGGATTCAGTTACAGAAGTGAAAGACCTGATGATACACAACTGGAAAATCGTGACCTGGTTTCCGTAGCATGTCAAAAGAACAACCACAGTCTTTTCTGTACAGAAAATTGTTTTTGCCTTGTTTTTTTAAATTAGCTCTTTGTTTTGTACGAAACGGTAAGATCTTCTCCGCAGCTACTTTCACTTCTACATTCATTTTTTCCAAATGTCGCTTAAGTACGATCTCTCTGATCGGTCAAAATTTTAATGAATATTTTTATCAGAAAGGTCAACAGGAGATGACCCTAAATGGATCCTTGTATAGCGATCTATGTGAGCGGATCAAAGGATCTGATTTTAATCAGATTGTATTGTTTATGATACAAGAATCTGAAAACTATTTGCATGTAAATCGATACTTTTTATGGCTAGTTTAATTTATACTTTTTTTCAGGAAGTGGCAAGATTCTTTAATACCAAACACAAGGGACACTACAGAATTTACAATCTATGTAGTAAGAAAAAAATGATACGTTTTAAAATTTTTCTTATGACTATTTATACATGTGAACATGACTATTTATACATGTTCATATGTAGCTCAGTAATTTACTGGTACAGAATAAATTTTGCCATGGCAGTATCCTACATGTATAATAGTATTTTTTGTACATAAACATTGCAATGAAACTGTGAAATAATGGTTGGGGGATGTTTCTTGTTTCTTTTATAGGCTAACTATTTTAAAAGTTTTTTTTAAAGGGAAATTCTCTTGATTTAGTGGAATCTCATGTTGTGTTAAGTGTATTAAATTTATCAAATGTTTTTATGCCCCTGGTTCGAAAAATCCCGGGGTATATTGTTTTTGTCCTGTCTGTCTGTCTGTTGTCAACTTTAACCTTGCCCATAACTTTTGACTGGTTGGAGCTATGACTTTCATATTTCACAGGTGTATTCCTTTGACAAGATCTTTCTTTGGGTACCATCATATTTGACCTTGACCTTGGAGTTTGATCCACTTTTGCAAAATTTTATGAGACTTTTACCTTGGCCATAACTTCTGAACACTTGGTGCTTGGGGTTTCAAACTTCACATGTGTATTCTCTGTGACAAGGCCTTCCTTTGGATACCAACAACTTTGACCTTTTGACCTTGACCTTGGAGTTTGACCTACTTTTTGAAAAACTTTAACCTTGGCCATAACTTTTGAAAGTTGGAGCTAGGGCTTTCATACTTCACATATGTAATCCTTGCGACAAGACCTTCCTTTGGATACCAACCACTTTGACCTTGACCGAGGAGTTTGACCTACTTTTGAAAAACTTTAACCTTGGCCATAACTTTTAAATGGATGGTGCTAGGGCTTTCATACTTCACATATGTAATCCTTGTGACAAGACCTTCCTTTGGATACCAACAACTTTGACCTTGACCTTGTACTTTTAAAAAACTTTAATCTTCGCCATAACTTATGAACAGTTGCAGCTAGGCTTTCAAATTTCACAGGTATATTCCTTGAGACAAGACCTTTCTTTGGGTACCAATATTTTTTAATTTTTGTCCTTGATTTTGACTTGCATTTGAGAAACTTTAACCTTTGCCATAAGCTGCCATATGGTGGCATCAGTGTTTCACAAACACATCTTCTTTTTTTTTTTAGTTTGCTTGTATGATAATCTATGTAAGCTACATGTATCAACCTTTTTTCAGGTGAAAGGGATTATGATGAAACCCTTTTTAATAATTGTGTGGAGAGAGTCTATATTGATGACCACAATGTCCCAAGGCTAAGGTAAGGGTAAAGATTTTATATTTCCTAGAAGAAAGCCCAACAAATTTTGCAGAACATAAATCTTTTCATGATTTATCTATTCACTGTTATCATTTTGGTATTTCATTCAATTGTGTTTTTTTTTATAGAACTATATGTTTAAATACATGTACATTGATTTTTAATTTTACTGAAAACATTTTAAAAAGGATTCTTTTTTTTTTACCGGTACATCCATTTCTTGAAAATTTTAGTATTTCGGAAATAAATCTTGGTTAACAGTAATTTTGTTTAAATGAAGCCCATCTTTTTTGACAATGACAGTACAATAACTGTAATCAAGAGTTAATGTAATTTTTCTTTAATTGATAAACCTGAAACTTAGTTTATATATTTTTCATTTGGGTGACAGGGTGGTTAACAGGGTTGTGTGAATTTCTAAAGTAAAATATCCATATTATTAGTGCATGTTTATTTGGTAAAGGTAGTACTACATGTAGAACATGTATAGTTGAAAAGACCACCTAATAAGACACAGTATCTTGAGGACTGTAAAGTACAGTATTTGATTTTAATGTTTTGTATACTTACCGATAAGTAATGCAAGATCCAAGTGTGTGAAGATTAATTTGTTTTCGATCATTTTTGTTTACATATAGACATAATATCGTATCTTTCTTGAATACAGATGTGCCTCAATACCCATTGTAGGTATGCATGGTGATTGTTCTTGATCGAGTGTGGCATTTTTTGCCATTGTTTTGATATTTATTGAAGAACTCTTCTCTTTGCACACATTTCTTAAACATTTGTTTAATCTTTAATATCTGTTTAATGAAGCAGCACATTTGTTATAACTCATTATTTACTAGTAAATTTGTGTCCTCTCTAGTGTTTGCTTTAAATAACAATAAAACAGCTTTTAGACAACTTTTTCTCTTGATTGTTATCAACTGTATAGAGGAAAGAACTTCATAACTTAATTAGATTTTTGTAAATCTTTGGATTTTAACCTCCACTGGTAATATTCCTTCTTCTATTATTTAAGCTAGATACTTGGGTTAATTACCTAAATGTTGTTTAGTACAGCTTTAGTTATGTGTATGTGTTTTTTTTAACTTTTTATTTTCATTTTATTAGCAATTAATTTTTATAACTTTTTTATTTTCATTTTATTAGCAATTAATAAACTACATAACATGTATAAGCAATAATTTGAATTGAACATGTACATATATTACATTTATATATATATACTGGGGTGTAGTGTATACTTTAAAAAAATGATATATCATTCTATCTTAAAGATTTTCACTTATTTAACTTTTAGTTTTAATTAAAAAAGATTTTTAATGAAACTCAATTTGGAGAATTGACTCTGCATGGTTTGAAGAAGTTGAATTACTATGAATAATGCTTCGATCCACAATGCATTGTGTCAGACTATATTGAAATAAATGGGATAGAATTCTTGGAATATACTCTTAACCTCAGAAAAGAAAATTATGATTTAAGTACTGTTGATAACATGTACCACTTACATGTATCTCCATAAACAATATCATTGTTTTGGTGAAAATTTGTTAATTTAAAATTAATTTGCAAATGTTTTTTTTTTTTGGCCTGCATGCAGTCCCTTATGAGGTTAAGCCATTCCACTGTAAGGCCTTTTATTACATGCAATAATATAAAAGAAAAAAAATCTCCCAATTATTAAAACTTCAATTTGTGAATAAAATCAAAAAGCATTTTCACTCTGATGTAGATTCAAGATTCTTCAATCCTGGATATTGGCATAATGTTCAGGCTACAGTAAGCCAAAATTACACTTGCTAAGTGTTTTCAGCAATTTAAATTTACATGTAAAATACAATGAAACTTAATTAAATGAACACATGTATCTAATATATTTCTTGTCATAAAATTTATCACTTGACATTGTTTTTGATAACAGGGAGATGGTATCTTTTTGTGCCAATGTAGAAGAATGGATGGAACAAGATAAACGGAATGTTATTGCAATACACTGTAAAGGGGGCAAAGGACGAACAGGCACAATGATCTGTACATGGCTTGTACACTGTGGGATATTTGATGAAGCACAAGTATGTGATAATTGAAGAAAAGGATTTTCTTAAAGCAGCTTAGTTTTAAATATTTTGGAAATTTAACCATATAGTGTTATTCATGCTACATGTATCTATTATTACATACACAACAAACTTTTCCACAGGAATAATTCATTTCCATAATGTGAACTAGCTAGCTAACATGCATTTTTATTATTGTCTTGCAACAAAGTTGGAGGGATATAGTAACATACTGTATGTGAGTGGGTTAGTGCTTAATGGAAGTAGTAATTTACTTCAGGAAAGGATTAATATGCTCTTGCAAGAGGAAGCCCTGCTTCACAGTGCCCTTGTTATATATTCCACTGTGAAATTTGTAGGACAAACCCCCTCCCTCTCTAATGGAACTATGTTATTTAAAGATACATTGTAATTTCCATGCTTTCAAAATGGATACATATTCCAGCTTACATGTCTTTATTGTGGAAAAAGATGTGCTGAAAATTGAATTAGGGATTTTTACTTCGCAAATATTGGGATGTTTTGCGTATTAAATAAATCTTTTTATATCTACAGGAGAGTTTAGACTACTTTGGAGACAGAAGAACAGATCTCTCTGTTGGTAAAACTTTTCAGGGTGTGGAAACACCAAGTCAGGTACTTACATTTAAAGTTTTTTGCAATTTTCAAGAACCCCCCCCCCCCCCCCTCCAAAAACTTAAGTGACTTTCTTTGGTTTTTTTGGAAGAGATTGTTTCACTTTTTAGTTCATGTCCATTTTAAAAGAACTGTTATAAGAATTCTGTGAATGCATGTCTTAATTCTGAAAAAAGTGTCCTAATTTTGTATTGATTTTAGAGGTGGATTATATTTTCAGAGCAGATATGTAGGATATTTTGAGAAAGTTAAAAAAGAATTGGGGGGACAAGTGCCACCAGAGAAAAAGAAACGAATTACATCAGTCAAAATAGAAGGATTAGAAGGTCAGTTTGGCAAAAAATATTACAGGATGATTCGAATGAGTCTCATATTCTGTTTTATGTATTATTTTCATTAGATTCTGCTTGATTAGCTGCTGCAGAAGAAATTCAAGTTCCATTTTAAGAGCTCTCTATACACTGCACACTAAAGAGTTCTGATCTTTTGTTATTTTTATGCAGATACAGTAATCTGCCCTTGATCAAGAATAAAATAAATTGAAATGTACAATTTTAAATATTACTTAATTAGTTATAAAATCACACATGCATAAGATTTTAATAGGCCAATACAAATAGATTGAACACTTCATTTGTAGGTATTTTGCCCACTGTTTCATTGTCTTTGAACATTTTTTCTGGGGGTAAATGCAAGGTACCCTAGATATGTTGAAAATGTGATAGATAAGCTCAATACATGTATTTACACCTTTACATGCTATAATTTTCTCAATGTCCAAATAATCTTTTCCTCTAGCTAGTGTATAAAAGGTCCTTAACAGAGTTTAGAAGAGAATTTATTCATGCTCGCAAAAATTGAACATTTGCATAATTTAATGAATTTATTTTGGTAACAAAAACCTTGTTCTAAATTCTCTTTTCTTTACATACATACATAGTCTGTTTCTCCTTAAAAAACAAAAAGCTGTAATTCTACCAAAAATCATTGCAGAACGAAATGCAAACTTGATCTGTAACTCCTCAAGGTAGACTCGTGCTAAAACTAAGCACAATATCTGCAAGAATGAAGGAAAAGAATTTAAAAAAAAAGTGAGACAGACTTACTGTCAGACAGAGGACAGACAAACAGACAGAACAGCAGATGAAAAGGAAACCTACAGTCCTCTCTGGTTTCTCCATTAGGGAGTTAATAGCAAGCATTAAATTCTGAGAACATTACAAGAGCAATACTGAGTCCCCTACTGGAATACTGTAAAACACGCTTATAAAAATGTGCCAGGGACAGACGATTTTGTTTCCTTATATAAATATCCGTTAAGATCACAATATGTTTTAGAGGCACGGGGAATAAAAATAACTTTGCTGTAAGCATCAATTCATTATAAGCGTGTTCACTATAAGCATGTTTTACTGTACACCATAGTTTCATAAAATTAAAAAAAAATCATCAAACAGAACAAAATGAACTTTATCTGTAGCACATCAAGATAGACTTGCATACCAAACTCTATACATGCAATTGTGTAAAAATTAGTTTTAAAAACCAGGTGGGACAGTCTGACTGACAGACGTCCAGATGGAGAGGAAACCTATAATTCACTCTGGTTTCACCATTATGTATGGTAAATAAATAAAATCAATAAAGCTGTACACTGAACTATGCATTTACAGGTGTTGGAAATGGAGATGGGAGTGACCTATCCATGGAAATCAGAGTCGATGGATTACTGATTTATGAATGCAGATTTGGAGATAATATGAATTGCCAGGTTTGACAATGAGGGTGCACAAACAGAAATTGTAGCAATCAAAATTTAAGACATGTTAGTAATGAAGGTCTGAAATCACAGTATCGGTGTATATTTCTGATACCAAGAACTGTTGATATATTTTGTATGATACTTCTTTTCAGGTGACAAAATACACAGATACACACAGTGTGGTGGCCAATTTAGAGAACAGTCCTGTTATTGTGGATGATGTGAAAATTAGATTTTTTTCCACAAGTGTGAGTAGGCCATTTTCATTTTGATTCTGTATTTTACATCTGTTTTCATTTCCAGAGAGTTTTTGTTAAAATAGGTACTGGTTAGGTATGTGCTTCTTTATACGAAGCATTCTGAGAGTATTGCAAAAGCAATACCAGTCCCCTAGTACATAAATTCAGCACAATGTCTGCAAGCATTTAGTAAAAAAAAGTGCAGAAAACCAAGTTGGACAAGCTGACATACAGAAAAACAGATGGATAGACTAGGTGGAAACTTATAGTCCCCTCTGGTTCCAGGTGTAATAACAAGCATTCTTATGAGAGCATTTCTTAAGGAGGTTGGATCCTGCCATCAAAAGTAATGAGAATTTTTTATCAAGTATATTTTTAGAATTTATACACATAGCTGAATTAAAAATCAAAACAAAAAATGGGGGTCAATGCGCGTCTTTTGGCGCTACAAAGCATTTAGTTTGACCTTTTTGCACTGTAAATATGTCTTACACATAAATCAATTTTTAAAGTTTTTCCTCCAGTTTTTTTATTCAAATAAATTATGGGAACAAACACAGTCTTATTTCATCTTGAATAGACACATTAAAATTTGTGACAACGAAATTTTTTTTTCAAATTACTCCGCATGTTCAATTATTTGACCTTTCTGCACTCAAAAATTTCATTTTTCTGGCATTAAAAATTTAACAAGCAAAAATATCATTTGAAAATAATGACATTTTACTGAATTTAAGAAGAATGGTTAAAAGTATCTTATATATTCAGAAAATGAAATAAAAAGTGAGGGTCTGTGATGTAAATTTTTAGATATTACTAAAATAGTGCTAATTTTAAGCTTAAAATAGGGATATTTTTTTCTTGATTTTCACAATATATTTGCTATATTTATCATATATAATGATAGAATTCATGACAGTTTATTTAATATATAATTTAGGACCAGTATAAAACAGTTCACTGCACAAAATAACTCCGTGTGCAGACTGCATGTAAAAATAGGAATCCAAACTTAACATACTTTAAATACTTCGAAAGAGAAAAAAAATGATCATTTTCTTCTAAAAAACCTTCCGCCACAAAATATAGTTCCTCAATTAATTCTTTTGGTATGGAATTTAATAATGGAGTTTTGACTGAATATAGTTTAATTGGCATTGTAGAATCCAAAATTATTGTAAGAATTAAAACTTTATGCAGAATTTTTGAAATATAGGTTAAGATATAAATCTGCTCGAAAGCTCAGGAGCGAACCTCGTTAAGCAATACTAGTCACCTACCAGCAAGTGTAATCTGGTTCCCCTTAAGAAATAAAAAGGTCATAATTTCATTAAAAAAATCATCAAAGTGGAACGAAGTGCAAACTTGATCTATAACTTATTAAGGTAGACTTACATACCAAAAAATCAGCTCAATATCTGCATGCATGTAGAAAAAAGTGTGGAAAACCAAGTGGGACAGACTGACAGACAGATGGACAGACAAGGAGGAAACCTATAGTCCCCCTCTGGTTTCACCAGTAGGGGAATAATAATCACCGAATTATAAATGTAAAGAATGCTTGACTAAAACTTGCTCTGAATTTTTAATATGATGAGTATACACATATAGTATAGATTCTGAATTAAATGATTAACCAGATACACTCCAACTGGGAGTTTAGTGGTACTTATATCACAAACTTCAATGGAAATGACTAAGTTTTGAGATATTCAAGGATTTGAAATGGCAATGTTGAGTCTTAAACAGTGCAGCTATTATAAAAAAAAACATTATGAGGTATGAATGTTGTTTGAATTTTATACCAGCACTATAAAGTACATGCAATGTTAATTTTTTTTTGCAGAAAAACATTCCCCAGGTGTATGACCATTGTGCCTTCTTCTTCTGGTTTCACACCTTCTTCATTGAGGACAATAGGTAAATTCAGTGTTCCACCTAACAGATACAACAATGAAAATTATTAACCCAATGGCACATTTAAAAATCATATAGAACAGGATAGAGATGTCAAATGTATCCTTTAAATAGTTAGACGATCCACCACACATATAAGATAAATATATTTATCTTATACATATGGTGGATACTATTCGTAAGATAAATCTATGCTTAATCAAAAGTTTGTAAAAAACGATTCTTCAACAGATTGTCAGTATTATTTAAAAGACACAGCAGTATCATGTCCAGTGTCCATCTGTCTTGTGTTGTTCACATTTTCGATTTCTTAAGAACCACTGGGCCAATTTTCAATCAATCTTTCGACAAAGCATCCTTGGGTGAAGGGGATTTAAGTTTGTTCAAATAAAGGGCCACACCCTATTTCAAGGGGAGGTAGCTAAGAATAAGTGGAATTATTTAACTTTTAAAAATAAAAATTAATTTATATGGAAGCATCCTCAGGAAGTGTAGATTCAATTTTGTTCAAATGATGAACCCCTCTCCTGCCCTTGGGGTGGAGGGGGGGGGGGGGGGGGGTCACATCACTTGCATGAATATAGGTATGAATATAGGTATTTAAACTTTTCAATACTGAAATGATTTTTCCTTTTTTTCTAGCCAAAGTGCTCAGGTGATTGATGTGGCCCATGAGCCTCTTGTTTAGAATATTTCCCTTAAATATGCAAGCAATTCAAGTGGATAAAAATTTATTTAAACTCCATAAATATATGTATTTTCAAATAACAACGTGTGATAAATCTTGTAGGCTCTGTCTAAGCAGGGATGAAATTGACAACCCTCACAAGAAAAAGGCAAAAGCTGTGTATAAGGAGAACTTTGCTGTTGAACTTAAGTTTGAGGATGTCAAAGAATGACCATGACATGTTGGGACATTTAATCAGTTAAGGAAACCTGCTAAATAATAAGTTTGTAATGAAAAATATGTGAGTAAGATTTGATGGACTTTTTTACAACGTACACTGACAAGAAATGTCAACACTTTTGACATTCATCTTCTAAGTGCAGTTTTGTGTAGATAAAACTTGGTTGTACTCGACTTTGTCAGCTGATACACAGGTACTTTGTAGCTAGTTATATACTTTAATGATATTATTTATATTTAACTCATTTTAAAGATAGTTTAAAATACTCGAAAAAGATACTCTTTTCAATGCATAACACTGAATTTGACTCAAATGTATCTTCCTGGACCAGTATTAAACTGTGATATCAAAATTCACCCATCATGCATTATTACACTTTCAACATTGTAGCAGTAGCGTAATGGGAATGAAATTTGAATTTCAGAGCCTGATTGTATGGTGGTGATTGTAAAACTGAGAGTATGTTTATCTTTGACAGAGAGAATCCTGATTCTATCAGACCTTATTTTCATTAACTCCTGTAATGATAGAATTTAACTGTTTTATTTAATCCATATGGAAGTCATACATGTATGATCCTCAGGTTCTGAAAATCATGCATTGAGTAATTGAAAATGCTCACAAAAATGGCTCTGAATTCCCAAAGTAATGCGAATTTACCCACGGTAATTGTTCAAACTTCATCATTAAAGTTAATCATGTTATATAGGAAAAATGAGTAAATCTTGACTAAAGGACTATATTCGGTAATGACCAATATTTGCCCCCAAAATCAAACTTTGACGGAGAAATATATAATTATGTTCTAAAACAGGGGAATATCTGCAGACTTCAAAGATGTGAATATTTTCATAAGCCATGACGCCATATGTTAGATATGACGTCAGAAAGATGACGTAAATTCAAAATTTCAATGATTTATACAGAAAAAGTGTATATTACGTCGATAATTTGAGTAAAAGTCACCGAGCGCAGGTCTGCTCCAACTCAATATTTTGATATAATGTGTAGAATGATAATATCAATGAAATATGTAAATATTGTTCTTGAGCAGGACTGCGCTCTGTAAATTTTATAGTAAAAATTGAACAAATTTTGTCCATTTTTTCCTTTTTCTGAAAAATAACACAAAATCCAAATAATTTGTGACGTCATAGAAGCAAAAGTTGCCAATAATCTACTTCGAAACTATAATATTTTTTGTTAATTTAGATTTCTCTTACAATATATACAATTCAGCACATTTCAAGAAATTTTAAAAATATGACTTTTGTGGGGGCAAAAATGTGCATATACCGCATATAGTTCTTTTCAGGAAATGCAAATAAAGACACCTACTATGCATTTTCTAATTGGAAATTGATCAACAAAAACATTTTAGGATAAAAAAACTATAGGTATCTAGGCATTTGAAGAAAGTTGCATGATTTTTGTACTTAAACAGTATATATACTTTCATTTCTTCTGTGTACTTCAATTATTTTATAATGCATAGTTTATAAAGTGTTTCCTATCATTGCAAAACACCATAAATCGTTTCTAATTTCATATCATGCTAATTACGGTAGCATTTGTATCTAAGGCTAAATTAAAGGAAAAGTCGATTTCTTTAAATCTGTCTTTATAGGGTAAAAATATCAACGTTTTAAAAGACTGTTTCTAAAACTTTAAAGAACCTTGAATCACACTGAGATGCATAAAATGAAAATTGTTGCATGAAAAGAATTCTTATTTAAGCTTCATTTTGAGACTTTTTGAATTAAATAATAAAGAGTTATCCTTCCTGGCTGAGGATCGGATATCCTTAAAATGTTTTCATTAATATTCTATCTTTTGGATAAAAGTGAAAAATGTAACTTTTTATTGACAAGTGTTATGAAGAAAAGGTCATTCAAGGAACTAGATAGGGCATAAAAGTTTTTAAAGGTTTTCTTGCAAAAAGCAATACTTGGGCAAAATTTGTATTGTAAATTGATACTAGTAAACATGTAACTTAAACATTAATTCTACAATGTACGTATTATGTAGTAGTCATGTATTATGATTAGTTTATTTTAATTGTTTTGTTTATATAAAATTGTAGTGTCGTATTTCTGATATTGTTACATATTGGAAAAAGTTAATTGTGTGATATTTCCTGTTTAATATATTATGTAAGACAAGATGGGAAGTATAATATAATATAATGAAGTACCCTTTGATTAAAAATAAAAAAAAAAACATGAACAAGTCATTTTTGGCTATGCCATCTTTCCAAAAAAGAGATACCTAAAGTCATTTTTTGCATGTTCGTAGTTTTCTTATTGTATAGGTACAACAACACCTATTGTTCATGTATTATACATGTAATTACTAGTATATCAGATGTTGATGGTTATATTTATATGGAAAAACTTATCAATGGCATTCTGATAAAAGGAGAGAGTTGTGTTAGACAACAGAGGATTTTGTTTGGAATCTTAAGTTTTCTCTGTTAAGAAATCAGCATTTTTGAAGTTGAATGCTTAACTCACCCATTTATTCCCTTGCTGCATGTTTTGAAGTTGACAAATTGTAGCATTGTTTTTCTTTATGAAGTATTAACCTGTTTGTGATTACTGGAATAGTAAATAATATGTAGTAAAGAAGCTTGGTTTTTAATAAAGAGGCTTATTTCAATTTTTCTTTTATAGTCTACTTCTTCTTTATATCTTGATTGGCCTTACCTCAGCTAAAAGATCCAAATTTGGAACAAAGTATCTTCAAAAATTGGAATTAAGTCAGCAATTAATCAAAGGAAGATGTAAAAATAGTATGGGGTATTTCAAATACCAATATATCAGAACTGATGACAATTTTTAATACACATGGACAGTACCGGACCATGTTAGTCATAATTTTATTTTCACAGGTTTCAAACTAACATGCATATATTTGTTATAAATTCGTGACATTTAAGTAATAAGGTATAATTTTTAAAGTTGGAAAAACCAAGATTAAAGTTGGAAAAACCAACTTTAAAGTTGGAATTACCAACTTTAATGTTGGAATTTCCAACTTTAAAAAAATATTACGTGGCACTAATACGCTTCCCTAGGTTCTAAAGTTACGGGTCTAGCACAATTTACATATTATTTGACAGACAGACAGATACCATATGTCAAAAGACAGAGAAATTGCCTTTGTTATTTTGAACATCTCTATAGTATTTAAGAGAACAAGATGTGTTTGTGAAACACTGATGCCCCCGTATGGCAACTGATTTAGGTTAAAATTTCTCAAATGCAAATCAAATATGTTGGTACCCAATATAAGGTCTTGTTCCAGGAATATACCTGTGAAATATGAAAGCCCTAGCAGCAACCATTGAAAAGATATGGAAAAGGTTAAAGTTTTTCAAAAGTAAGTCAAACTTAAAGGCTAAATGGTCAAAATTAATGGTACCCAAAGAAAGGCCTTCTCACAAGATACACATGTGAAATATGAAAGCCCTAGCACCAACCATTCAAAAGATATGACCAAGGTTAAAGTTTTTCAAAAATAGGTCAAGGTTAAAGGGTCAAAGTTGTTGGTATCCAAAGTAAGGTCTTGGCACAAGGATTAAATTTGTGAAGTATGAAAGCCGTAGCACCAACTGTTCAAAAGTTATGACCAAGGTTAAAGTTTTTCAAAAGTAGATCAAGGTCAATGGGCCACGATTATTGGTATCCAAATTAAGGTCTTGTCACAAGAATTACACATGTGAGGTATGAAAGTCCTAGCACCAATTTTTCAAAAGTTATTGCCAAGTTTAAAGTTGGGTAAAATTTTGTAAAACTGGGTCAAACTCCAAGGTCAAGGTCAAATATGATGGTACCCAAAGAAAGGTCTGGTCATAAGGAATATACATGTGAAATATGACAGCCATAGATCCAACCAATCAAAAGTTATGAGCAATGTTAAAGTCAATCGCAACTTCTCGGGCCTTTCCGACTAGCGGAAAAACAACCTCGAATGTATTAGACGCCATGACACCCCCCGCCCCCCCCCCCCTTTTTCACAAACTTTGAAATAAATGTGGGAAGACCTCTTATCTGTGGAGTATAGAGTTTAACTTTATTGAATGTAAAGATATTACCTAAAATATACTATAGAAGGGACTTTCAACTCCGTCTATCCTATATTTAAATAAATAGGACGTTGTATAAAATTTTAACATCCGGTGATGTTAATGCATTCGAGGTTGTTTTTCCGACCTCTTACGGAAAGACCCGAGATGATGCGATTGTGTTAAAGTTTTTGCAGACAAACAGACAGACGGACAGACAGGGCAAAAACTACCGGGATATATACCCCCGAATTTTCGATACGGGGGCATAAAACGGATAACTTGACACAGATGTATTTTTTTTACATTCAGTCAAAGTTGTATTGATTCAGCTAATATAAAATCTCATTTCAAAATGATTTGATTTGGAGAAATTAAGTTTTTATTTAAAAAAAAAACTTTGTGGACCTCGTTGACTCCGGAGTTGGACATTTTAGCGGATTGACAGGACGTTTAAAAATGGGAGAAAAGTTTAAGAGGAAAATTTGTGGACATTTTAATGGAAGATTTATGAGACATTTCAGCGGAATTCTTAATAGATCGAAGATATAGTTAAGTAAAAAATAATCGTATATACCACTTCTGTGAGCAGACTAGTCCCTCCTCTCCACCAGGATTTTCACCAGAAAATACATCTAGTTCATTTTTATACAGTACGAGCTTTGCAGTGTTTTGCAGAGGCATCTGCTTGAAACTACATCAGATTTTAGTAAACCATAAACTCTATTGAAAATCGTCAAAAATAGAGCTGAAGACTTAGTCATTAATCTGCAATTTTTGATGACTTTACATTGATTAATTGTTTTTAAGAATTAGATTTATCTCTGAAAAGAAATTTCATTATAATGTCCATTGAATTTTTACAGGTAAAAAATATTTCTTCCACTAAAATATCCACTAAAGTTCTTGCTAAAATGTCCATTCAAGCTTTAGAAACTCCACTCGGCATTTCTCCACTCAAGCCAGATACGAGTACATGCATGGGACCATAATTTTTGCAGAAATAATTTCCGGTATCAATAACATTAAAAGAAAAAAGGCCGGTTTAAGGTATCATTTGTGATCATTCGAGTACTTTCATGAAAACTTTGTCTACAGATTGGAGTGGGGGGCCCAGCCCCCGAAAGCTTTCAGTTTTTAAAGAAGTTTTTTAACAGTTTTTGACTTATTTTTCAGCAATATTTTAGGTATAATTAATGCAATATTGCACACCAAAAATTGATTTATTAATCTTATGTATATTTTTGGTTACAAAAGGAAGCGAGTCCCCTCTTCTAAATCCGCCAGTTCATCTCGATGTGAAGAATTTATTATGAATTTTCCCGAAAAATCTTTTTTATAATGTTGCTAAATCAAAACCATGTCGCTTTTCCAGAGACTTTCTTGGCCTTGACGAACTATGTAACCTATGGTACCCCCTTCATAACAGAGAAACTTCTAAAATGAAATTTTCTAGTAGCTGCAGAACTGTAGCTCTGCAAAAAAAAATTGTCAGACCGGACGATGCCATCCATATAGAGAAAAAAAAATGTATATTTATTGCGCACAAAAAGTTGTGCTCGGTTCAGGATTCTTACCTCAACTGCACAAAAGCTTGATTTCAAAAAAATTCCTCTGACCTTTATTACAGGCACTTGGGGGCTGGACCCCCTTCCATTTTTTTTTTCTTTTTAAATCTTGGTGCACACCAAGAAAATTTACTCTAGATACCAGTGATTTAATTAAAATATTTACAAATCAGTGGCATTTAAAAATAAAATGGAAATATGAAAAGGAAGAAGAATGTTATGCTTTCGATCAATAATCACGCGAAGTTTAAGCAAGGTGAGGCGTAGGATGACGAGAAAAGAGTTGCAAGCTTCTCTCTTTTTATGTCAGTCGAAAGTGATACATATTTAAAAACAGCTTATTGAGGCAAAAGGATTACATTATCGATATCATATAGTGCATATTAGAATACAAAAATAGGAAAAATATGTATCGATCCCAGATTGAAAAAGAAAAAAATGGAAAGGGGGGTTCAAGTCCCCAAGTGCCCGTGACCTCTATCAACTACTCTTGTAGCTGACTTCTGCATGCAAGAAGCGCGCTGGACCGAATGATCTTGCCACCCAAAATTCCAGTATAAATAGGCGAAATTTTCGATAGTCTCAATTCAAGCCCAGGAGGACTATTAACTACGATTATGGGAAATGTTTTGTTCTAGAAATAGTAAAGGAATATGTTAGAAACACACGGTTAGTAATATTTGTAGATGACAGTTTAAATATACGGATAAAAAAAAACGAGAAAGTGTATTTTTGTGCGCAATGAATATTTTTTCAGCGGGTAGCACTGTAGCTCTTTGGTCGTCCATCCTAATTTTTTTAGTACAGCAAGCTACAGATCTGCAGTTACATGTAAGTCTATAGCATTTTACTGTATAAACCGATGCTTTCTGTATTACCATGCATTATGTATATGTGTGTTATCAAATAACATATATGGATATGGTTATTTGTTTTTATTCTGTCATATTGTATAAAAACAGTAGCATACACAGCCATACAGTATGGATAAATAATAAAAGAGTTTTTTGTTTCATAATAAGTTATATATATCATGTACATCAAATAAACCTTTAAATATAACAAAGGTAAAAAAAAAAACAACAAACAAACAAACAAATCAATACAGTAGAGGAATGCTGAAGAAGCTGCAATACTGCAATAAGTGTTAAATTTCCCCTTAAATTCCTTAGCCTGCAAATCCATGTATTGAAGAATTTGAATTCTTTTACATTTTTCAGGTATCACCGTCATCCAATCTTTTGGAGTGAAGAACATTACAGCCAAGGACATCTCCAACAGATGACGGGTTCTCAAATGGCCGTGCCCGTCACGATAGCCTCCTCGTTGTTTTCGTAGGTATCCACTATTATCAGCTTGCCCGGTGACGTCGTCTGATACTGAAGGGAGCAAATTATATAGCGTGTAAACAAAATACAGGTAGAAAGTGTAGTCCTGTTCTGAGTAACGTGAAATAGGGGGAAAGTGGTACTATGTAATAGTTTCATTAAATTTTATTCAGTGGTATAGGAGGACTTGCGGATAAAAGATGGCCATGGGTACCCACAACATTAAATTATCTAGAGGTCCTGTGAGCACTGAGATCACAGTGTGATGTCCTATTTACATTCACTGAACATTATTTCCTTTATTTATTATAAAAATCATAATCGTTTATCAGTCAGTAAACGCCACTTAGCAAGCCGCCTGCATAGATTTCTTGAGCAACGGCTCTTCCATCAATTATACATACAATGACATACATTCACTATAATACAATATTTAGCATATTCATTTTTACTCTAAATGTTTTTTTTATACAGATAAAAATATAAACAATAAAATGCTTTCTTTGGTTTTTAGTATGGAAATTAAACGTCGCATCTATTGCAGAAAAATTTACACAACCCGCTTACACGGGTTATGTATTTTTTCTGCAACAGCTGCGACATTAATTTATTCTCGTACTTACAACCAAAAAAAAGAGCATTTTATTGTTTAAATAATGTCAAAGTGTATTTCTTGGCAGTATTAAATGCGATTCTGTGAAAGTTCCAGTGAATTTATTCAGAGGTTTAGGAGGCGCTGCATTAAGGATTGCCATAAAGTAGGAGATGCACAATGCCACTACATGTACGTTTCATTAAATTGCAATCAATGTTGTAAGAGGAGTTGCGGATAAGGGATGGCTACCCTAAAGTAAAACAGATGACTGATGGACATCCCCATTATTGTATACCCCCAATTTTCAAGTGGAGGGGTACTGTATAATTAAAAAAGCATACATACGCCCTTATTTTCTTGTGGTCCCGATTGCTGATTGGGACGCAATGGCGTGTCTTCCCCGGAGTAAATGTTGTCGACAGCATGTGTTTCTTTCTTACCATTTATTTTCTTTCCAAGTTCCTCCAATAATGTTTTCGCCTTTTATCAAAATAAATTATATTTCAACTTAAGAGGTTGAGTGGTATTTAATGATATCTTTATATATATATATATATATATATATATATATATATATATATATATATATATATATATATATATATATATATATATGAAAGTCATTGAATGGTTTCTTCCCTTTTGACCGCGACCACGGAATTCGGTGATCAACGAACTTTTATTTATGATAGAACAGAATGAATTAGATATCAACATATCAATAATGCTATATCTTTTGTCAAAAGTTTGATCCTTATGAAAATTGATGAAAACCCAATTAGTAATCTAAATAACCATTTTTTAAAATTTATCTGAGATTCAAAGCTCAAAGAAAAAACAAGTTCAAATGGTCTAAATCTTCCAATCAAGAAAAGAAATTAAGTTAATGAAAATATTTTTCTGAGCCATAAGTATTAGTATAATCCAATTAACTCAAACTGAAAGAAACCTTTTTCATGCACCACAGCAGATTAGCCTATCAACAGAATGACATCAAATGTGTTCAAATAGTTTTTTTCGAAAGTAGTAACGTTATTTCTTGCCAATTGATGATGCATCTTTGCAATATTTTTTTTTAATAATATGTCTGCGACGAAATCTTATTGCTCCATTTTTGTTTTAATTGGAAATCAGCTCTTCAGAACCGTAAACATAGCTTAAAACTCTATTATTCCCGTCAATGAAATATTCAAAAATTCATTCAAAGTAAATTCTAATTCTTAATGTTCGCAGAACATAAAGCTTAATTATTTATAATGAATTTTGTCTTTTATATTGAAAAAGATACGGTAAATTAAAAAATACTTTATATTCCACACAAATATACTATATCGAATTTGACTATACCTTTACTTTGTAGCACTGCTTTCTGATTCGATTGTGAATAAGGTACTCAATGACTGTCGTCATCATTGCTATAATTAAACCACCAATCAGAATGTGAAACATCCCCGACACGTTACTGAGGGTCAGTGATCTCTTTTTCCCTCCATCCTAAAATCAAACACTGTGAACATTTTATCTTTTTTCTATCTCCAATTTGCAAGTTGCATTTTTTTGGTAACTCTCCTTTCAAACAAAATAAATTGTTAATTTTATATCCAATTTGTATAATTGCATTGATTTCAAATATCTTTTCGAAAGAAGTAACTTATTAGAACCAACATATCATAAAAAATTAGAAATAGAAAAAAAATCTCCGCTTAATTTTTTACCGCTGTTCCTGTTCCACATCGCCCTTTCTCTACCCACCACCTGGTCTCTAGCTTCAGAAGCTGACCAAGCTCCCCCAGCCTCAGAACCTCCAAATTTAATCTCCTTCTACATAAAACACGATACTGATATTTGAAGACTGATGGTCAGAGAATAATCTACCAATTCTCAACTAGACTAAAATTAGTTTTAATTATCAAAATAGTGTAGACTAACTGGCATTGCCAATAAACTTTAACGAACCCTAATCCTTTTCTGTGCTTTTTGTTGAATGCGATTCCATAGTTGATGCTATTTATGAGTCCCCCGGTCGGCATAGTTTTACACGGTTTTTGCTGACTAAGATAATCATTAAATACTCCTTCTAAAATGAAGGCAAACTTCCCCTTTTCCTCGATTACCTTCCTCCATCCTTCCTCATTATCATTGATATCCTTAGTGTAAAGAGACATTACAGTCCACATGTTTTGATATGTTAAAACTCTTGAATCCTGAAATAAAAAGAACCACGTATGCTAATCCTCGATTCCCAAGTAAAACTTGATTGAATGCAAAGAAGAGTTCATAATTAATTGATTAATAATTTTAAAACCAGTGTCAAAAACTTAATTATCCTTATTTACGACTCTTTTCCAAAGGGGGGTTGAAAAATTTATCAACCTAAATCAGGCTTTAAAAATCGCTAGATTTTCAAAAACGCATGGAAATGGAAATCTGACCATTTAAACTTTCCGTATGTTTAACTTATGTAAAATTCAATATAAAATATTGATAAAAGATCTTATTTTATGTGTAATCTCATTTGAAATTGATTAATTGTTTGATCAATAAATGACCAGTTTCGCAGTTTTTCTTTTTGTCTGTAAACATATCCCCCCCCCCCACAACAAAATCTTTGGTATGAATTTGTGAAATAACAATTCAAAAAACACCTATAAACAGAATTTTTTGTTTCACGGGGGGGGGGGGGGGAGGGGGGTATGTTTAAACATAAATTCCGTTTTCCGTTGATTTCTATAGTGAAAAACACAATTTTTACCAAAATTAATGTTATCTCTCTTAGTTTTCCCAAATAAGTTATAATTTATAAAAATTCATATAAATATCTATATAGATATGAAAAATCATTCAAATATATTAACTTCTGAAATTTGACTTGGAGGTAGGCGGCAGAACAATACTATCGTTCGCAGTTCTTTGAATTAACACTGTAATTTCAAATGTATACTACGAAATAATGCTTTTTATTCATTCATGAATGAGTAAATTTTTAAAAAGCGAAACTATACCAAAGAAAAAAACAAAAATAGTGCATTTTTGTAACGAATACGTGTTATGTGTATGCCATTTATGCTTATAATATTAATAATATTAATATAATATTAATATCATGGTTGAATATTTATAGTTTACTTGGATTTACTGAAGTTTTACAATACACATATTTCTTTGGGGATCTTATTAATAACCATTTCCATAGGAACCACCTACTCACACTCTAAACCGCTATTTATTTTGTCATAGTAGTTAAGCAACATCAAAACACTCTCAATTTACCTCGAAAAATTCTTGAGAAGAACCCCCTCTAACAGTTCCGTATTTAACCTTAGTTTGTTTCACGAGGTCATCAACGCTTCTTATTTTAAAATCCATGCTTTCTACGGTAAGGAAGGCTGCCAGATTTGCCGTGTAGGATGCCACTAAAATCAGAGTAAAAAACCACCAAGCACTTTCGGCACACCGTCCAGAAAAAGACCTGTAATGATCAGTCAGATCTCACACCAGAATCAGGAAAATACCACAGGATAGAATCAAAAACAAGAATAAAGACAAATTTCGTATATTCCTTCACCCTGTTGCAAGAAAGTATATTTTCCTTTTATTCAACAAGGTGGGAGTCATATATTTTGATATTTAAGAGAAAGTATGCTTCTTATATAACAGAGAAGTAGTAAAATATGATTTGTTCACCTTGGTGATATATCCGATCCCTGTTGCATAAGGGCTCCAAGTGAGCTCCAAAGAGAATTCGCCAGGTTGAAATCACTGGATGGTCCCTCCTCAGAATTTTGGGACCATTCAAATGGACTAAATCGTCCAATCAGGAAGAGAATCACACTGGTCGTGAGGAAACCAATGGCGATACACAGCCAAACATTTTTGTGGAGGGGTTCTTTAAAGGAGAACATTCCAGGTTTTCTTTTTTCTGGCTTATAGATCATTAGACTCAAACCTGTTCGCATAAAAGGTTTGGTAAAATCAACAACCTTCTGTCTTTCCTTTGTTATTGTTATTGGAGCAAACGCTAGATCCGCCTCCTATAAGAAAAACATTTTTTATTTTCATTACAAAACCTTATTGGGTGCTATAAAGATGATTCATTTCATGTTATTACTTACGTTATCAACAAGCTTTTTAATTAGATTGCTGAACGATTTGTTTGTCTGTGTCTGGATTACAAACGGTTTTCTGAACACATTCGACTCGTTCAGAAGTCTTATAAGATCAACAATATATCCTTCTGTTGTACCATTGGGAGTTTTGTAGAAAAATGGTTTTCCCTTTTCAAAGAAAGTTATTCAAATATTATTTTTCTTTTCAAGTAAAACCTAAATGCGCTATTATTAATGTTATTTTAGTCTAATTACTTATATTTATTAGAAGCACATTAAATTATATGAGGCTTGCTTTTGCTCTAACCCTCTTGTATATTTTGCTACCTTCCATCCGTTAAGACACTATATTTAAGAAGTAAATCGGGACATTAGTCAATTTAACATTTTCTTGAATTTTTCTCTGCATGTCTTTGTTATTAAGGATAAAAACACAAACGAACTTTTTTTTCAGATATCAGCTTTTAAAACGTCCAATAGATTTATGTTCGTACAGATAATTTGAATAATGTTTACCAGAGTAAATTTAGAAATTTTGTAATAAAACGTGTGCAAAAATTTGTATAGATTTATACAGAAAATGGCACACAATCTCAAATTTGAACACCAAAGAATACTTATGATTTCTTAATATTTTATTTGTGTCATTTCTAATCAAAATTAGTCAAACATATACTAACCCATGCATCGATTTTTCGTTTGTGTTATTTATCTTTAAGCACCAGATCTTATTTTCTTACTGAGTCAGTATGAGAAATAAATTCAAATAATGTGTCATTCATGAAAAAATTTCCAAATTCTGAAATCTGAGTCAAAGACAAGACAACATTAGTTAATACTTTTTTTCTCATTTTGCAATATGCTATCAAAAAAGCTTCACTCGACATTTCGATCCAATTTCCATTACCTAAGGAATATACATACTATAACCGTGGCAATGACCAATGGACGCTCCTCTCCAAGACTTGAGTGATTATTTTCGAGATGAATTCCTGTTTCCGTCGTCCATTTTCCAATCTGATTTCAAAATAAAATCATATCAAAAAATATATAAATGCTGAATGTTTAACCAAAATAATAATAATGAAAAATAAATAAAACAAAACAAAGTAAATTTAAAAAAAAAAAGGAAAGGAAGACAGACTTGTTTTTCAAATATAGATATTTTTTATGGTGATAATCAATAAGCATTTCCAGAAGAGGAACCTTTTAAGATTGAGCAACAAAGTCATAAATATTTTAAGAGTGTTAAAGGAAATAAGTAGCTAAATCATTCTGCAAACAATACACAGGAAAGTTTTGTAAAAATTAAGTTTATTACTTTTCAGCATGTAGTTATTATAAATCTGACACGCCCTCTTCCCCTTAGCCCTTGATCTGCTGTCAAAGTATTATATATTATATGTAGTCGATAATGCGTACATTTAAGCATTGAATCATTATTTTTTTGAAAGATGTAGTCTCATAACTGCAACGGTGTATGCAAACAAATTGAGTAACGCGCATTGCCTTGTCCGCAAATGTGATTTATTTTTCAAAACCCCTGTATTATCCTTCGTGTAAGTTACAATTAATGGAAGAGACATATATTGCAACAGCTGTTCAATGTGAGCGTGAATTTTGATTTTTCCCTTATGATGTTGCACTTGCACTGCGTTCAATGTTTGTGATGTCAAAATAAAACGCATCCTTTAACCTTTTGAACTCCCCGTCTGTGTTGTGGTGTTTTGAATGTCGTACAATATACGTGTAGCTTTCCACACGCTTTATAAGCAAAATACACGTGAAATGTAAATATATTAGATATATACACAAGAACTGTACATACCTCTTTTAAATGTGATCTAAAACTAAAACCGAAAAGTCGGAGTCCATAATTCGTTCTATATCCCCTCTTATTAAAACGAATGCGGCCAGAAAGTCCTTCCAATTTTGTCTGCAAAATACAGGATGGATTTTTTTAAAACTTTTTAAAACAAATAGTTAACTGCAAAACATTTTCCATTTCAGAAAAAAAGTCCAATGTTATTAAGAAATTATTTACTTCAGTGATTTTAGTCAGAAAACAGAATTTCGATGGACCTTTTTAAGTTGCTGAAGAAGCAGATGACTAGTATTGTCGGCGCAGGGATTTCCAGAAAGCGCTGTATCACAATATTTACATCTTCTGATGGTTCCACGCCTTGTTTTTAAATAATCCCCAATGCTATGAAGGGCCGACGACAACAGGGCCACGCTATCTATGAATAAGGCCGCCTCCACCTGGTAGGTACAAAATCTTTTACCATGTTCTTTGTTATTATGGGAATTTATTGCTCAGATAAGACAAATAAGGCAGATTAATGTAAACAAGTTAATTTACAGTGTATGAGTACATTGCTATGCCACATCAACTTTGCAACTGTTAAGGATGTTCATTTGGTAAGTTTTCTCTAAACCATGCATGAATTTGAAAGGGGTATTTATGGAACGCCGGGACTGTCTTATATGAGGATTAAACATTATATGCAGTGTTCTCTTCATTATATGTGGTATTATTTTAATTATATGAAGTAGTTTTTACAGTTTATCGTGTGCAACTTCCATTATATACAGTACTTCTTTCATTATATGATGTAGATGTGTCATTATATTATGTACATCTATCATTATATGAGGTGTTTTTATCATTATATGAAGTGCTTTTAACATTATATGCGGTAGATCTACCATTATATGCAGTGAACACAACAATATATTATGTACTTCTCACATTTTATACAGTATATTCATCATTATATGTAGTATTTCTGTTATTATGATGATGCTGATCGTTAAATATTATGTCCGGTCCTGTTAGCATTCCGTGCGGTAGATTTTGCATTTCGTTATGATGTAGACACAGTATTATATGCGGTGCTTTCTTCTTTATGTGTATGATCTTTCGGAAGCTACCTTTCGGAACTCTCTGTTAAAAATTCAGTACCTTGAGAACTCCGACCTTTCCTGTTGAATTCAGTACAATAAAAGCCTGCGTATATAACAATTAATGCTCCGTGAACAGGTTAAAATGTTTTTTTAAAGATATGAAGTAGGGTAATAGAGTAAAATAAAATCCATTCTATTACATGGTATGAAGTAAAGAGAGAGAGGGGGGTTGTTGATAGAAATATTTTCGGAGTGGAAAAAAATTTGAGGCATTTTCTATCTTTTTTGTGAACATTATGACTTTCAAAAAGATTCATATCATATATAGGACAATCAATGTCAAAAAAGATAATAAAAACAGGGGCATCGGCAAGAATTTGACATTGGGGAGGCGAACTGGATCGAAAAGGGGGGAGGGGTCCTAACCAACTAAAATAAGACTTCAGCCAAAATCTTGATATTTTTATTTTCTGATTAATAAAGAACAATTAAACATGCAACCAAAATAAAATGTTTTATGTGATTTAAGTTATATTTACTATAGATTTAAAAAACCGGAATATTTTTAATTAGCTAGGAGCTGGTGTTTTTTTTTTTTTTTTTTTTTTTTTTTTTTTTTTTTTTCGAAACGGCATAGAAAGAACTTTGAAGGGTTTATGAGGTAAAGATTAAAATACATATAATTTTCTATTATTGTATAATATTTTTTGTTACTCGCCGAAAGAATGCATAGTTATGAAATTTAAAATGAACAGGGTGATTAATCCTTCATAATCCCCCCATTTTTGAAATGCAGAAATGTGTATGACATTAAAAAAAATCATCTGAAGTTGTTTTAAATAGTATTTGTTACCCAGTATTTTATTATATTGCTTTAATTTTAATAGCTTACAACTTAGATTCATCAAAGATTTCCAAACATCGATAGACCAATTCATTAGACAATGAACAGGCCTGTTATACGCGGGGGGAAGGTGTCAGGAAGGGGTGCTCTAATTTTTTACCTATTTCTCCACTTTTTCTGAGAATAGTTTTTTTTTTTTTTTTTTTTTTTTTTTTTTTTGCTTAAGTTTCGATATGTAAAAATTCATTAACTTAGACGCTGCTGCTCCCCCCTTTTCATCTTTCATACACACTTTCTGTTGCTGTCAGGTCGAAATCGGGTAAATTCGAAAAGAAAAAAATACCGACAACTTAGAGAGCCCCCCCCCCCCCAAAAAAAATAGAATTTCCAAAAACGTTGCTAGCTGTGGGCCTGATGAAGAATTTGTAGCAAACTTGCACGTAGAGCGATGGATACCATGCTTATTGTTTACAAACGCCAGGTACAGGTATATACTAGTAATTATACACGTACATGTACATCCCAATTTGCGTCTGTGTAAACAATAATATATAAATATATATATATATATATATATATATATATATATATATATATATATATATACATATATATATATATATATATATATATATATATATATATATATATATATATATATATATAAATATACGGTATAACTGGGTAATTTTACCACATATCATTTTAGAAATAAAATCTTGAAGTACAACCCACGACTCAATACATTTTCTGTTCTGAAAATCGTTTATCTTTTCCTGATACATTACATAACATTCACACAGTATTTAACTAAAGACAATTTCAGCAATTTTTTTATACGCCATAGTTTAACAATTAATACTATGGAACAATAAAATTATTTCAGTAATAAGTGCATCTCTCTCTCTCTCGTTGTAAACTACAGAAGTATTGATATGACTTCGAAATTCCTTTAATTAAGGAATAACTGTCTTATTTTTTGGATTCATGATGTGATCAATCGAGTGGCTTGCGTGATAATTTGCATAAACGCCGAAGGCGTTTATGCATAAAATTATCACGCAAGCCAATCGATTGATCATCGTCATGAATCCAAAAAATCTGACAGTTATTCCTTATATTTACATGCTCCTGCAAATTCCCGTGCTAATAGCCCCGCTTCTGTCTCTATTTGTCCCGCCCCGCACGTGATTTTTTTTTAACCGCGCCTATCGATGAACCAGTAGATTTATGTAGAAATAAAGTATTTTTACAAGTTGTAATTTTATCTCGGACAAAGACATTGGAAATGTAAATATTATAGGGATAAATATTGTGTGGTATGTGATTATTCCGCGATGCTTTGGCTGACGTGTGGTTGATTACCAATTATTAAAGATAACCCAAAATCATTAAGAATTTTTATATCTATAAGAACGAAAAAAGGTAGAACTTTCTAAATCTAACAAAGGGGGTTCCGAAAGGTAACTTCCGAAAGATCATACACATAAAGAAGAAAGCACCGCATATAATACTGTGTCTACATCATAACGAAATGCAAAATCTACCGCACGGAATGCTAACAGGACCGGACATAATATTTAACGATCAGCATCATCATAATAACAGAAATACTACATATCATGATGAATATACTGTATATAATGTGAGAAGTACATAATATATTGTTGTGTTTACTGCATATAATGTTAGATCTACCGCATATAATGTTAAAAGCACCTCATATAATGATAAAAACACCTCATATAATGATAGATGTACATAATATAATGACACATCTACATCATATAATGAAAGAAGTACTGTATATAATGGAAGTTGCACACGATAAACTGTAAAAACTACTTCATATAATTAAAATAATACCACATATAATGAAGAGAACACTGCATATAATGTTTAATCCTCATATAAGACAGTCCCGGCGTTCCATAGGTATTGCTTTGGTCCACTTGTGATTATGAATATTAGGTATTTCAAATGATGCAATCTTACATCGACAGCAAAGTGGTTTGATTTTACATGCACTTTTCTAGTGTAATCTAAAGAACTACTTTTTCCAAGATAAAATTGATTTTAGGCCACTACCAGCGTTGTCATATTGTAAATGTTGAATTTACCGACTGACAGTAAATAAATTTGCATATAACTCCGTCAATTCAAAACCTAAAATATGTTTATTTTCAAATTGCTTGTATCAATAATTGTTCTCTTTACTGTTTACATGAGTTCTCACAATCTTTCCAAAGAGAAGTTATCGATATTGTGTAATTGTTTTGTATGTATTACAAAGAGAAGTTATCGATAGTGTAATTGTTTGGTATGTATTACAAAGAGAAGTTATCGATATTGTGTAATTGTTTGGTATGTATTGCAAAGAGAAATTATCGATATTGTGCGATTGTTTGGTACGTTTTACAAAGACAAGTTATCGATATTGTGTAAATGCTACATGTGTCGGTATGTTTTACAAAGAGAGGTTATCGATATTGTGTAATTGTTTGGTATGTATTACAAAGAGAAGTTATCGATATTGTGTAATTGCTAGGTATGTTTTACAAAGAGATTTGATCGATATGGTGCAATTGCTACGTATGCATTACAAAGAGAAATCGATACTGTGTAATTGCTAGGTGTGTTTTACTAAGATAAGTTACCGATATGTTGTAATTGCTACATGTAGATATGTTTTACAAAGAAAAGTTACCATTATGGTGTAATTGCTAGGGTTGTTTTACAAAGAGAAGTTACTGATATGGTGTAATTGCTAGATATGTTTTACAAAGAGATGTTAACGATATGGTGTAATTGCTACACATGTTTTACAAACAGAAGTTACCGATATGTGTAATTGCTACATGTAGAAATGTTTTACAAAGAAAAGTTACCATTATGGTGTAAATGCTAGGGTTGTTTTACAAAGAGAAATTACCGATATGGTGTAATTGCTAGATATGTTTTACAAAGAGATGTTAACGATATGGTGTGATTGCTAGGTATGTTTTACAAAGAGAAGTTACTGGTATGGTGTTTTGCTACACGTTTTACAAAGAGAAGTTACCGATATGGTGTAATTGCTAGGCTTGTTTTACAAAGAGAAGTTACCGATATGGTGTAATTGTTAGGCATGTTTTACAAAGAGAAGTTACCGAAATGGTGTAATTGCTAGGGTTGTTTTACCAAGAGAAGTTACCGATATGGTGTAATTGCTAGATATGTTTTACAAAGAGATGTTAGAGATGTTACCGATATGGTGTAATTGCTAGGTATGTTTTACAAAGAGAAGTTACCGATATGGTGTAATTGCTACACATGTTTTACAAAGAGAAGTTACCGATATGGTGTAATATTGTAGATATGTTTTACAAAGAGAAGTTACCGATATGGTGTAATTGCTAGATATGTTTTTATTCTTGCCCCCAAGCTCTTCGATAAACGCCTCTTCATCAATAGGCGTCTCTGCTAAGAACTTGAACCCGGTTATATTAACACCGCCATGCAGAAACCGTTCTTTTAGGAAATCCCCATACTCTTCAATGTTCTGCAATTTAGATTATGTTACATTAGAGTTAGTAAATTTGTATATGATACAAGTATGGTTTCATAAGAATTAAATTGTTAATCAAATAATTATCATAGCATACATTTTTTTTGAAAAAACATAGTGTACAAAAGTGTATCTCTTTATAGTGTGAAAAGAGAGATAAATCAATGATTTGTAAAATTGACTGTTCATATTTTTACATTTCATTTGGCTCAATTTTTCTTTTCGCAATTTTACTGAAGATTTATTAACTGGTTAGTCTCTATATATATCCACTAAATGGTAAGTCTTTATATCCTCTAAACTGGTAAGTCTCTATATTCTCTAAACTGGTAAGTCTCTATATCCCCTAAACTGGTAAGTCGATCTCTGTATCCTCTAAACTGGTAAGTCTCTATATTCTCTAAACTGGTAAGTCTCTATATTCTCTAAACTGGTAAGTCTCCGTATCTTCTAAACTGGTAAGTCTCTAGAAAACAAATGTTTGAGTTGATACTTACAAAGCCCCCAATAATGATATGGTATCCATTTCTGTTCATTCCAGAATCGATCATCTGCAAAACATGTGAAAATCTGAATATAAAATATCGATGTACAAAAAGCTGTTCAGAAGATTAAAGCATATCATTGATCGCTAATGAACTTCCTTATGTAAACTTATGCCCTGTTCACACGGAGAGTTTAATTCGAATTAAACGTAAGTTACTGCGAATTAAATTTGATCCGCGTTCACACGGAGAATTTAATGCGAATTAGTTTAATTCGAATTAGTTTACTGCGCATTAAATTACTTCGCATCAGCTCCGTGTGAACGCTAATCGAGGCTAATTCGAATTAAATTTTGACGCATGCGTAAGGGCAGAATTAAGTCACAGGTCACATGCCGGTGGTCAAATATAGGTACTTGAGCTATTTTTGAGTGGAAAACATAGGAAAATTATGTTAATCACTAAAATGTGTACAGACACTATGACATTATGTCAAATGTATCTGTTCTGCACAATATGACGTGATTTGTAAATGACGTCATAATAGCCTCACTGAATAGCCTTGTTGTAGAAATAAAATTATAATTCGCATTAGTTTACTTCGCATTGGCTGTCGTATGAACGCAATTTAATTCGCATTAGTTTAATTCGAATCATTTTATGCCCTGTTCACACGGAGAGTTTAATTCGAATTAAACGTAAGTTATTGCGAATTAAATTTGAACCGCGTTCACACGGAGAATTTAATGCGAATTAGTTTAATTCGAATTAATTTACTGCGCATTAAATTACTTCGCATTATAGCTCCGTGTGAACGCTAATCGAGGCTAATTCGAATTAAATTTTGACGCATGCGTACATGTAAAAGCAGAATTAAGTCACAGGCCACATGTCGGTAGTCAGATATAGGTACTTGTGCTATTTTAGAGTGGAAAAGAAAGGAAAACTATGTTAATCACTAAAATGTGTACAGACACTATGACATTATGTCAAATCAGTGGTCAAATGTATAGATCTGCTAGGCACAATGTGACGTGTTTCACAAATGACGTCATAATAGCCTTACTGAATAGCCTTATTATAGAAATAAAAATTTAATTCGCATTAGTTTAATTCGCATTAGCTGTCGTGTGAACGCAATTTAATTCGCATTAGTTAAAGTCGCATTAGTTTACTTCGCATTAATTTACTGCGAATTAAACTCTCCGTGTGAACAGGGCATTACGTTTAATTCGAATTAAACTCTCCGTGTGAACAAGGCATAAGTTTCAGCAATACGCTAAACCTGCTACTGAGTTTGACTCTGAACTTTGATATTTCACCAAAGAAAACTTGCAAAGTCATAGGGGATCTTTTATTTTGCTTATGTTAATGATCATGAGGAACTAATAATCAGTAAATAAATATATCAAAGTAACAATAAATACTGTTAAAAAATTTTAAAAATAAAAAATAAACGCATAGTAAAACTTTAGTGACATATTGAATATTAGGTTTTTTTTAGTAGAATGATGTATTGATAGTAAAGAAATGTGGGAAAAAAGGTCTACAATCTAATTGTCATAATTGCTCAAGACTTTTACAATCAGAGTCAGTTCAAGGTCATTATTGATCAATATCTGGTATGCCCCCTCACCCCTCAGACACCAGTGATGGCTAAAACGGCATCCAAGGTGACGCAAATGAGTGTATTACAAACTGTATGGGAATAATGTAGAGCTTTGGATATCTGCTACATATTCTGGGGTTGCAGTTGTCTTTGGCGGATATGCCTATCCAGTTTATTTTGTCCAATGCGTAATCTATAGGGTTTAAATTTGGCGAGTAAGTCCTAGGCAGAACAGGATTTTGTGACTTTGCACAAGAATGCGTTTGTCAAACGAGCCGTACAAGTATGTGGCTGCGTATTGTCAGATTGAAATACAACTCCAGAATGCTGCATTATTGGAAAGATGTGTGCAGATAGGACATCGTTTCGAGTTCCGTTTTGCCGTCAAAGTTCTTTATATACATGTATGATCCAGATCAGTCCTACTTGTATATAATACCGTTTTCCACATCATTGCACTACCACCATCAAATCTTTAAACCTTCCGGAGGCAGTGTTCTAACATTATGCACTCTGACTCTTACATCAGGCTTTTGAAATAAACATTTTGGACTAGTAGCTGAACAAAACTGTTCAGCAGTGTTTTCTGCGGCCTTACTCTTTTGAAGTCAACATTTCCGTTGTTATGGAGTCAGAACAGTGGCTTAAACATAATTTCAGAATCCCGTAGTCAATATCAAACAGTCTTTTTTATATTCTGTGACGTGCAGGTATGGTAAATGCTGTAGATGACGTCATTCTGGAACGTTGGTGAAAATAAGCTATCATGTGCTGCTGATGTAACGCATGGTCTGCCATATTTTTGGTGATCATTTGTACCATGCTGTTGGTATCTGTTTTATAGGTTAGATACAGGGCTCTGTGCAACATTAAAATGACCAAATTTTAGCGTTTTGCAAAAATCAGTCCGTGAGTTTTGTAGAATGGCTGTGAAGTTAGTAATAGCGTTAAATACAATGCATTTTACTCGAAGAATGAATCACATCCATCAATTTTAAATTATTCTCAGGATAGTATTCCTATTATGCGTTTCTTTTTTTAACAGTATATTTATTTAAAAATAAGAGGTAAATCAATCCTTCTTTGAACAACTAAGTTTTGGTTTGCGAAACAGCGAAGAAAAGTATTCTCATGTCTGACCCATGAGTCTAAATACTAGAGTTAGTTTGCCAAAGTAAGAGGTAAATAAGCAATTGGGATGAGAACAGAAACTCGTACTGAAACGCAACAGGAACGTATCTAAAACACGAGAGAGAGAGAGAGAGGACACATTCAAGGGTGTAAGAATTCAAGAAATACATTCAATGTATTTCGCTCTTTGTTTGCCCTTTGTTCCCTTAGCAATACATTCTGTGCTTTTATTCTCCATTTATCTTTCGCTCAGCGTTCGCTCTGTTCACTCAATTTCGTTCTGCTTTTGCCTCCGTCCGCTTAGAGTAAAAAGTTTCCAGACTGAATCTTAATTCATTTGGAAACCAAAGCATTAACTGTTTTCGTGTGCATACACATTAATATTTAGAAAACACCCGGACACCTTTGTTGCGGGAAAAAGATAAAATAAAAAATTAAGCATTGTAAACAAAGGCTTTTCACCATTCTCATCAGCCGTGTGGTGGCAGCTTTTGATCCCAAATCCAGAATGAACACTTTCTGACTAATCGTGGGGTCCATTCTGTCCATGTGGTATAGCTCAGAATATACGTTATGGTCGTTAGTTGAGATTCTATGGTAGGAAACCTGAAAACTTCCGTTCTGTTTCCATTGTAGCGTGGCCAATTCTTCCATCCTCCAAAGACCTATATTAAGAATTATGAAAATATCATCATTATATGACTTTTTTCTGGGGCTTTAAGGCTGATAAACAGTTAAATTAAGAAATGTTCGGGATATGTTAAAATCTGCATAAAAATATAAATGACATACAAATAAGTATTTTTCAAGTTGCTATAAGATTTCAAAAATACGAAACATCTGTCAAATATTTCTTTCTTAAGGAAGAGATTGCAAGGGTCCATGAAAAATATCCGCTCTATGAATTTTTCTCATTTTTACATATAATTTGCCTTACGTTAATGGTATCATAATACGAAAATGTCAACCAAGGTCATCAGGGTTATAAGAAAGATATGGTTGCCATGGAAACCACCGTTTTTCAATATTTTGATATTTATGTAGAGAAATTTTAAGTATGCCATACAGGTATCAAAATTAAAACAAATTAAATAATTTTCACCTGATATTAAATAATATGCTTTATATTCATTGAAAATAAAAACTGTATCGGAAACTATTGATAGTTGCAGTAATACCAAAGTTGCTTTGGGGAGTAGTCATTGTAAATTTGCAGTAATATTTTCACCCCAAGAGCAGTTTTCAACGTCTTGAATAAAAATTGCCCAATGAATATTCCTAAAATTAATATATTTTGTAACAATTATTATAAGTGACTTATGGTTAAAATATGAAGTGGGGTCATCACATTCTTTTTTAAGCTACATGCATTTCAATACCCCCCCCCCTTCCTAAAATATTTAAAGATTTCATAAATTCTAATCTGATGGTTTGTTTCTGAACCTTTAATATGCATAATCTGTTTAAAAAACTATAGAAAATACGTATAGATTAATAAATAATTTTTTCGGAAAATCTTGTGGTGGTTGCTCATTTTATACGTAGAGCAGAATGATAAAAGTATCATGTACCACCTGATACGAACAGAGTGTACACAAAAAACAACAATATGCATTATATTTTTTTTTTATTTTCCCATCTCCAAAATATTCATTCCGATATTATATCAATATAGGTATATACATTCTAAACCAGTGCACAGTGGTCCAAGGGCCAAATCGTTCATGCTTTGAACACTCATCGAATTCTCTGCACAGTGACTTGGAATCGGAAAAGGGGGGGGGGGGGGGTAGAGTCACTTGAACACATTGAATGAATAGGTTATTTCAGAGAACTTGTACCTGCAATATATACTGTATATAAAAATCCTAGCTATTATCTTATTTGACAAATTTTAGTGATTTGCTATTTAAATATTTACATTTGCAAATATTTTTACTTCAGATTCATTTTCTCATGAACTAGGTAAGCCTACATATATCTCCATTGTGACGTCATAATATCACACTTGACGTCAAAACTATAGTGCAAATTGTTTTGTTTCAAAAATAATCGGTGAATGACATTTATAAATTTGCGCTTCATGCTCACGCGGTTCGTAAAATTTGCTGAGGTGAAGCGTCTTTGTTCATGTCCTCGTGAATTTTAAAAAAAGTTAATTCATTTTTCAAATATATTCCTGTGAGCATGATGAGTTTAAATGTTTTTTTTTAATGTAACGTTATATGCTCAAAATAATTTTCTCTCTCTGGTATACCTGGTACCTCCGTAGTACTGTCAGAGTTAACCTCTCTTAGTTTCGTCTGTCATTCTTACACGCGTATTTTTTGCTAGATTTGTGAAAACTTGCAAAAAGAAACTTTTCTTTTCTGCCAGAAGAAGTGTGTTTAAGTTTCGATTTTTTACCAAATACGACGCATAAAACATTTTACCACAACAAATGCTTACGCAATATATGTGCCGACGATTCAATGTTTACATGGTCGATGTAAGAATTGAAAATGCTAGAGAAGATCTTACAAATGAAAACAATTTCCTCTGCAATATTTTTAAAAATACGTTCATGTCAAGCATGCGACATAATTCCTATAGTAAAGAAACCGATCTCAAATAAAATTCTAATATTTTAAATAAAACTAGAGGACATAAAGATCCAGATATGAATTAAATTATTCATGAAATAGATTTCAGTGTTCAGAACTACGACAAAAGGTAGACGTGTCAAAAGGAAAAAAACACAGGGATAAAAAAATAATCTGCGTCGACGCTCACCAACACTCTGCAAAATCACATCTTTATCTTATTCTTTCTCTGTTTTAAAAATATTGCCACGAAGACCTTTTGTCATGGGCGTAATCATAATCACGCTCTTTATTCACCTGTTATTCCGGAAATGGTTACCGTAAATCTTCTTTTTTTAAACATCACATGAGTCGATCACGTGACGCCTTGCAATCGCTTCCTTAAAGCAGATTCATATTGAAATAAAAAATTTTAAAAAATCTTCCCAAAAGCAATATCTATTCAGTCACATGCAAGAAATATCTTTGAAATGAATAGGGACCATTATGAATATTTTTTACATATAAGTGCATGATATCTCATTTTCAAACATTGACTCCATGTGTAAAAAAAATCCTCTGTACCAAAAAAAAAAAAAAAAAAAAAAGGAAAAAATCGTATCCTGATTATGAATGCATAAGGCCAAATAAAAAAATATGTGTGGTTCCGGTTACCCGACCTTCCCTATTTTATACCACCGACCCTAAACTTTTTTTTTGCAATTTCCATATTTTTTCCGGAATTTTCCCTGATTTCCATCAATGGCTCCAGTTTAAGTTTTAGTTTCAGCAATGACGGCCTCCTTGCAAAACATAGTGCAAGTGTTTAATAGTATTAAGTCCAAAGCAAGCTAGCATGTAGGTGTCCCCTACCAATATTGACTAGTATATTATCACATCACATCTAAATGCCATTTGCAAAGCAGTGATAGGTATTATTTAGAAAAATTAAGAAAATCATTTTGTTAAAAAAAAAAAAAAAAAAAAAAAAAAAAAAAAATTCCTACCTACCTACCCTAATTTTTTTGGAAGTGTAACCGGAACCACACATATTTTTTTTGTTTGGCCTAAGGAAAAACAGACATCAATTTTAGAAATATTTAAGCAAGGACATTGTGTCTGGAATGCATTGTTGTGTATGAATACAATTTTAGACATATGATATTTTCTTTTTAAAATCAGGAAATAAAAATCAAAAAGACAGGGTATAATTTAATCAGAAAGAGATATTTCATTCAACAGCAGATATTTCTTTTTTTTAAATTGAGATATATATCATCTCTTGCAATGAACATAGATCTATTTTCTTTGTATTTAATTATAAAATATGATGTAAGAAAAAAGATACATATTATTTTGAATCCATATCTTTTTTTGCAGGAAAGATAGCTCATATTTTGAGATATACATCTCTTTGCAAATAGTAATAGTAACAGAAATGATATAGGGAGATAACGAACAGTATTCAAGTTCAAAGTCCATTTCAACAATACAATTCGGGAGCAGAGCGAACACGGACCTCCGAAAACATCAGAGGTAGGATCAGGTGCCATGGAGGAGTGAGCATTCCCTGCCGACCGATCACACCCGCCGTGTGCTCCATGAAAAATCCGTAGATAATTCACTATGTAAATACTGTAATGGCCTAACAATACGTATGAAAAACATCTGTAATCATTTAACTTAATCATACGTTGTATTTGCTGACAAGGTCATTGTATCGACCATAAAACCTGCGAAATGATGACTTCAAACGAGACTGTTGATATCCTTGTTTCATCAACTTGTTTGTCAATATCTTGCCTCGTTTTAGAAATTGTTTTAATAATTGGGAGACAAAAACCCTATAAGCAGGCGATAGGGTATATTGCTACATAAGAAAGGGAAGTTGACGATTGAAAAATTGAAGTCATCATGTTTATCATAAAGCTTTGTTGTTGGGTTACCATTAAGTCTTATCATTAAAGAGAGTTCTTTTTTGTAAAGAGAAATTAATCTTTAATAAAATAAGCATATCTGTTAATTTTAGACATTTCTTAAAGTTGTGAGATACCTCTTAAGACATATCCTTCAGATAGATAGATCGCTATACCGTAAAATGTATATTTCGTTTTACAGAATATCTGCCTTTAAGAAATATATTTCTTATACACATAATATCTAGTTCTGCAATTTTGCGCAATTTCTAACTATGTTATTTTGTGTTCAGAAATGATTTTTTTTTTCAAGAACGTTTTTCTCACTAGTTTCGATGCTGATATCGTGATGTACATTACATGTCGATTGAGAATGTTGGTAAGAAAATAATTCTTGAATATTCATTACCAAAGATCACGAAAAGTTCTCTTGATTAACAGATTTGTATTATTCCAGTGGACTTTTGAGTTTGATTACTGTTCGTTAACCTTCATTTTTCACGTAAGAGATATCGGAGATTTAAAATTCAATTTCTTAAAGGTGTCTTGCAGAAATAAAACTTTGGTGTATAAAAATATAATTATTAACAGAAAGACCTATCGTATAAGCTGAAGATAAAGGTACTACTGATAGAGTATAAACCTTTATGTCATACCTTCATCGCTGTCATACATATAGTAGACCTTATGCCAGTTGTTGTATTGTATATAAGCTACCACCGCTGGAATATATGATGGAGTCATAAACACACTGTAATTGTCTCCACGATGATGAATGCGAGGTCCAGTAGACACAATAAATGGTAACTCAAGGGTACGACCGAAACTGTTCACAACCTCCATTGAGTCCTTCGTTGCCATGGATACAATAGCCAGCGACTCTCTGAGTTGGTCACAAACTGCAAAATGGCAAAATCTACTAAATAAAACCGTAACAAATATGGTAGACAGGTATTTGGTTGATTGGCACAAAGCAGTAACTGTTCAACTTACCCGCTCGCTTCACTTCAAAGTTATTACTGATGTTTGTCCGAATAATGGAATCGGAGAGGTATATCTTTCTACTATTGTTGGTAAGGGTAATAACGTCCCCCACAAGACAACAACTGCAGCTGGTGTTCGAAATTTTCAGAGCAATCTTAATACACGCATCGATATCACTGGGGACAGCAGTGTCTAGAATGAATCCTATAAATCAAAACATATCTATTCATAAATAAAAATTTGTTCTTGTGTGTTTTTCAAAAATAAATAATTTTTTGATTTCCCTATAGATATAACTCGCAAACCAACCATTATTTTTCAATGAATGCATATGTTCCTTAGCTAAACTTTTACAATGCTGATTTATTAACCTTTTTTTATTCAAAAAATGCAAAGAATCCCTGCATTAGTGCACATAATTTATACACCACATGTATTTAACGATGAGACACTAGTATTTAGTTTTAAACGATACTCACTCTGTTTGTTGAACGTCCCTCTCGATAATTTTTCACTCATATGGGGACGCCACCACTTGTCGGTGGAGGGCTGCAAAGTTAGACCTATACTCGGCACTCAGGGCCATTGAACAGTGAGGGATCTTTTTTGTGCCAGTACTGCGACACGGGACCTCGGTTTATACGGTCTCATCCGAAGGACCGGTCTCCACGACCCGCAGTGGGATTCGAACCCGCGACGTAAGGATCAACTCCTTACACCGCAACTCTAGAGCAAACGCACTAACCACTGCGCAACGCGGGCGACTATACTAATTTTTAATACTTCATAAAATGAAAAAGGTGAAGACAAAAAAGATTGATCGATCTCAAAAAATCTATAAACAATACAATTCTGTGAAGAAGGCATAAAACACGGTCCCCAGGAAAATTCCAGATGTGGGATCAGGAAGTTAGGAGGAGTAAGCATCCCCTGTTGATCGGTCACACCCGCCGTGAGCCCTTTATATTGATAAGGTAGACAGAACATTCCGTAGACAAATTCAGTATAAAAACAAAGGCCTAACAATTGGTATTATGAAATAAGCCTGCCAGAATACGACCCAATGATAGGTTATATTTGCTAACAAGGTCTCATTTACCGACCGTAATGTTCAAAAACAGGTACCAGTATTTAATTTACAGAGAAATACGAAGACATTTTTTTAAAATTAGTAACATTCAGCTCATTACCAGAGAGACAACTTCGCCTGAGTCATATAAAAGGTTACATTTTCTTACTTGAAATGCTTTTTCCTTATACTACATTTTAAAATGATTATTTAAGTAATGATACGTTTTGGATTTTAGTTGCTCGAAACTTTGCAGAAGTTGTTCAAAATTTTAAGATAATGTCAAAGGCACTTGATATATAAAGTGTACTTGTGTATCTTTTATAAACGTTGCATAACATGAAACTCTTCCATGTTGAGAAGGAATTTGTCATAAGCCTCTGCTCACTCATACAAAATTTTGCTTTAATTTTTATGATTTTCCGAAAAAATGTATTTTATAAGTAAAATACAAAGAATTATATCATACCTCGCCGGGCATACTAGTACATATGTAATTAACAAAAAAGACATTTCAACTTGGCAAATTTATAAAGGAATAATAGACTTTTATGTCATAAATAATCCTCTCTTTTATCAGAGTATCAATGAACATTAATCTTGATCCAAGAAGTAAGACAAAGTGGCTGTCTATATCGTAGTAACATATACGTTACCGAACTTCTTAAGAATGTAAATACATACATGTATTCTGATCATTTGATCAATATAAAATCTCACTCGCGGGACTTCTGTGTTGTAGCTGACCTCGGTGAACAAGTTCGGGTTACTTGCCCTTTTTACGCATTAATATATACATTATTTATCTAAAGTGGCTATGAAGGCAGATCTTTCCTAACATTCTGGACCTAGGGTGATTAAGACCATAAGGACTGGACAATGATTACTCACAAAGTACGAACTGTTTTATGCTTTCTGCTGAATTAAGAATCACTGCTTTTGATCAGGGTTGACATCATGCAATCTAACATTGATTCAGTAAAGTTCTTAAAATTCAAATCAAAATTTGAACAACGTATTACACTGGGATTACACTTCATTTTTTTTTTTTTGTTTCCTAAAATGTTTTTTCCAGATCTATAAGAGATCGTGAAAATTAATCAAACATTTCTCCAAAGGAAGAATTTTTTACTTAAATAATTTTAGGCACATATATTTCACATTATTGACATAAATTAAATTTACTTTAAAAATGCATAGTTAATGGCTAACGATTGCATTTCTGTTTTTCAAACACAAAGTACTCATGGGAAGGGATACTGCATACTGATGCATTTATGCCATTAGCCGATAAAATAAAATATAGTACATTAATTTTATCATATGACAGAGGGAACATTTTTTTTTATTTGGAACAAGATGAGTATGTCATTAAACAGACGGAATCAGTTGTGTCACTCTTCCATTAGCACTTAAACTTGCAGTGTCAAAGATTCGTCGGATTTTGATATTGTCATAGATAGTCGGTGTACAATTTATCTTAAACTGCAATAACACATTTCAAACATAAGGCCCAAAATCAGATAAATATTGTAATCTTTTGAAGAATTACGAAATAAATTACAGAAGGCTCGTGGCTAAAAGCAATACTGCAGATTTTTAGATTACACACATAATACAGAAGGAAAAAGTAGAACCACACGCTTCTGCTCATGCTTAAATACTGACAATTTTTCATTTAAATAGCATAACCCTTTTTTTCCTGATTTCCTGATTGATTGATCCATTTTTAATAAGAAAAACTTTTTCATTTCAGGACAACATGATACAAATACGAAAGTTTTGTTTTGTTAATGGATTTTTCTTCATGAATCCTGAACGTAAACTCAACCGAATTAGAATGAATAAAATAGGAAAAGTTATTTACAATTGCTTAACAAATTAAAAAAAAAATCTTTGACTTATTAGCTATTATGAATGGTGAAGCATTCAAGCTCTTTCTGCTTACCCACTTGCACCGTCATGTTGTAGGGAGTAGTTTGACTGGTAACAAAGGTGTGCAAATTTTCCCAAACCATCAGGTATATTCCAAGAAAACATATTTTAGGCGGTAGATACATTCTTGTTCAAGTCCGTGAAAAAGTATCCGGATTTCAATCGTCAATTCCATAGTCACGCATGCCCATAATATCCCGAAAAATTAGATTACAAAAAGTGTGATACACTGAAGAGGCCAAGTTCTCATTTATATTTCATAATGACAAACTCGATATTCTCCTAATATCAAAGTTTGGTTTTCTGGTTTTAATTGAATCATCAGATGGTGTCTGAATGGTTGGGAGTATTGAGAAGAGAGTGAGGTGATATAATTGTAGAAACAGACCGACGCTACGGTTCCAATGGGAGAAGTCGAAATCAGGAAGGGAGCGATGGGATTCCGTGTCAATACAGCGGTCTCTGTAACAAAACTAAAATCGAATTGTCTGACGATAGAAGTAATGACTTGTAAAATCAAAAAGTTTATAAATAAAAGTTAGCTTTTTATGTTTGTCATTTATTATAATTATTATAAGCTAGATAGTTTTTTTTTTGTTAGAAAGTATTGAAAAAAATGGCGTCATTGCCTTAATAAGACTGCTGTTCTGATAAGTAACGAATCTAGGAATATTGCTATAAAACCTGTATTTTGTCGCGCGAGTGGCGCAGTGGTTAGAGCCTCTGCTCTGAAGTCGTGGAGTAAGGTGCCGATCATTGAATGCACTGTGGGACGTGGAGACCGGTCCTTCGGATGAGACCATATAAAACGAGGTCCCGTGTCGCAGTAGGTGTTGGCTCAATGGTCCTAAGTGCCGAGTATAGGTATAACTTTGCAGCCCTCCACAGGCAAGTGGTGGCGACTCAATATGAGTGAAAAATTCTCGTGAGGGACATTAAACAACAAACAAAAAACAATAAAACCTGTATTTTACGTCACGCACATGTGATTCTTTAATATTGTTTTGATTTACATTACAAAGTGAGTTGAAGGCTTTTTAATATTGTGAACAAATAAGGAAGTTTTTTAAAATGCATACAAGAATATAAAGGCAAAATGAAGGGCGAAGGCAATTGTACATTTTCTATATCACTTGAGTGTCGTAACTGTTATTTCGATCTTGATTTTAATTGTTGCTTTATCTGCCCCCTGATTTTATATACACATGAAAACCACCATCGACTACCATTGTTCATCAATCATGGACATTTACATCTGTTCTTCTGTCCCCAGAAGACATCGTAATTACGGAAAAGATCGCCAATCATTGATCATAGGAAAGTGTATAATTTCAGTATATCAGAAGACACTGCGAATTTCTGCGGTGTGAAGGCGTTCTTTCTAGAAATCTGCGACACCAACCTCTATTATGACCGAACTTTACCATCGATCGACAATATTCACAGCGGAAATACGTAACAATTTTTCCTTATATCTCTGTAGCACAGGCACCTGTTTCTGTAATAATTTTTTGACCCATAGTATAATAATAACGCAAGGTATCCAACTCCGTATTACACGGAGTACCCCCCTCCCTCAGAATCGCACGCATTTACAATTTCAGAGGACATGCACTGGCAAACTGTTTATACCTATGTCTTGTACGATAATTTATCTACACAACCATATATGACATGCGTGTCTTTATTTTCTTTTATCGCCGTCAACGGCGTCAAAACTCAGATCGCCGAGTGGAAAAGTCGAACTAAACCATGAAATGGTATGTGCTAATCCCGGGCAGAGAGCAAAATTCAAAAATGAGTGAGTTTAAAAATTCAACTCCAGTGTTTAAATATTGCAGTGAATAAATGAAATTTGTTTACCTCTCATTTTCCATTAAAGCACTACGATATTTTTACGATGTAATTTTAAAAACAGATTTTTAGCCAATTAAAATCTCTGCCCGGGATTAGCACATACAATTTCATGTCGACTTTTCCACTCGGCGAGCAGAGTTTTGACGCTGTTTACGGGGATAAAAGAAAATAAAGACACGCATGCCATATATGGTTGTGTAGATAAGTTATCGTAGAAGACATAGGTATAAACAGTTTGCCAGTGCATGTCCTCTGAAATTGTAAGTGAGTGCGATTCTGAGGGAGGGGGTACTTCGTGTAATACGGAGTTGGATACCTTGTGTTATTATTATACTATGGGTCAAAAATTTATTACAGAAACAAGTGCCTGTGCTCTGTAGCAGTGTTTACAGGAATACCGTCTGTAGAGGATTAAAATAATAAGAACTTAATATTTATGTGAAACATTGGATTTTCTCGTCTGTTCTTTACTACATCTTATGCGAGTCACCAGGTGATTTTACTTGAAACAAATAACTGCGTGCATTTTTAAATTAAGTTTTACAAATAGGCACACAATGGTTATTCAAAATATTCATAATTTTTCCATCAAACAAGTTTACACCATAATGAGTAAGAAAAAAAAGAACATTTCACGGGGTTTGGAAAGTACAACTTAAACCTATAAGGTAGATTCTTTTCCATATTTCTATTGATAATACTATTCAAAACTAGGAGCACCCTAAGTAGTGTGTTCCATTACAAAGGTATGTTTACATCATATTCTAAGGGATGGAGACCCTTAGAATATTCTAGAGGATGACTTTTCACTGTCTTTGTAAAACGAGGACACAAAAGTTAAACATTTGCAAGCAAAGCGAAAAAGATCTGGAATGATTCAGTTCTCAGGAAGTTCCATAATAAAGGGTCGTAATGTAAGAATGCAGATATAACAGTCGATCCATAAGTCGCCATGAGACATTGTACAACAGAATTCAACTCCATATCTGTACTGTTAATTTCAACCTGTCTATTTTTATTAAACGACCATTCCAAAATTCTTCTAAACTTCTGCTTGAAAAATCCGGACAACTATAGTCCTGCTGGACACGTTATTACTGGTGACGTAAATATAGTTAATAATGAGGACCTTAAATCACTTATTTGAAAAGGGCCAAAATTTAGGGAACCCCGATCTTTCCACTGAAATCATAATTTCATAAATATTATGAATTCTATGGAAGATTACGCCAGACAATGGGCCAGACATGAAAAAGAAGACCTTGACACTTTGTCAGAATGGATTAAATGTATCAGATTCATGTTAAAATCTCGCATTAAGCGATTTAGGGGCAATATGAAAACCATCTAACCTTCTGTGTTCAATAATTCAGAAGTGAAAAAAGAATTAGATAGGCTACACGATCAGTATGTACTGGTCCCAGTTGACAAAGCAGATAACATCATTGTCTTTGTTTCTAAGGCTCATTATTTTATTTGTATTTTAGAAGAAGTGGGATTTGATTCTACAAGTGGCAATCCAACTTATACCCATAACTCCCTTTCTAAGGAGGAACTTCTTCAAAATCATATGTCAATTTTGAATATTTTTAATATTCCCAACAACCAAAATGAATTTGAATTACAATATTCATATTGGAATCCGAAACTTCATAAAATCCTTACAAACAAAGATACATGTACATAACAGGTTCCAGTCAATGTTTTACCAAGCCTCTTTCTTTTCTCCTCACTAAAATGTTAACGTTCAGCAGTGAAGGAGAAACTTCAGGAGTACTGTGTAACAATATATTCGAGAAGTGGTGTAAATCAGATGAGGATACTTAAAAATCCCAAGGAACTTTTGGAAAATTTGAAATCACAAAATTTTATCAAAATTAATATTATCAAAAACTTACGACTTTTCCAGCTCTGTATACAACCATTCCCCACGATAAATTAAAGTCCAGGGCCGGGATTCATAAAACTTTTTAGTATATTCCTCTTAAGTTTAAAAAATCACTTAAGTTATATATTTTTTAAGTAAGTTCTCTAAATATTACTTAAATTTGGTAGAAATACTTAAGTTTAATTTACAAACATACTTAGTGCTTAAGTATTGACTTAAAGACAAGTGTCCTCAGGAGGTGTCATAAGTAGATAAGAAATACTTAAATGTTCTTCATCAAAATAAAAATAATGGTGCACAGAAGAAATAATCTTAATCTTTCATTAAGAAACCATGCTATTACATCCAACTAGAAACTCTTTTTGACTTCGGGATATTTATCAACTGGTAAGATGCATTTTGTGCAATGTTGATGACGTAGCTATACATATCAGTTGTGATGTAATACACATGGAACTAAATACTTCCTCCTCAAAAGAGTGCGCTTTTTGTTTGGGAATCTCCATGCGTTGCTAGGGTGACTTAACTTAAACGCTCTAGATAATTTTCTCAGAATTATACTTAGCCAAAAATTGCACTTAGAATTTATATGAATATGACTTAGAAATTTTTTCTTAACTAAGAATTTATTTTATACTTAAATGTGAATCTTAGCACAAATCTAAAGTATGTTTATGAATCCCAGCCCAGGCTGACATCATTGACCGGTGCTTTTTCAATTCAAATGGAACTCGTAAATTTACTTACCTTGTAATTGGTCATTTGCAAAATTATTTTGATAAAAAAATTCTGATTGTACACATAAGTACTCTGAAGTTGATATTAAAAAGATGCTTGAGTTTCTGATTGACAATATCTATGTGGTTTTTGGAGACCAGGTCTTCCAACAATCTGTTGGAATTCCCATGGGTACTATGTTTGTATTCAAATGAAGCAGAATTTATTCAAAATCTTATACTTGAGAAAAAAAATCTCTTGCTGTGGTCTTCAACTCGATATTTAGATATCAATTAACGATAGTTATTTCCATACATATGTCGACACGATATATCTCAGTGAGCTTGAAATAAAAGATACCACAGAGTCTGGTAATCTGACAACAAAGCTTTATGATAAACGTGATGGCTTTAACTTTTCAATCGTCAACTTCCCTTACTTATGCAGCAATATACCATTTTCCCCTGCATATGGGGTGTATATCTCTCAGTTGATTCGATACGCAAGAGCATGCTCTACGTATGAACAAATTTCTAAAACGAGGTAAGTTATTGACAAACAAGTTGATGAAATAAGAATATCAACAGTCTCGTTTAAAGTCATTATTTCGTAAGTTCTATGGTCGATACAATGTCCCTGTCAGCAAATACAATCTATCATTAAGACATATTCTCACTGACGTTTTTCATACTAATTGTAAGCCCATTGTTTACATACTGAATTGTCGACGGATTTTTTCGTAATTTCCCGATCATGACAAGGAGCAAACGGCGGGTGTGACCGGTTCTCATCGGATGCTCACTCCTCCGTGGCACCTGATCCCACATCTGATGTTTTTTGAGGTCCGTGTTTGCTCTGCTCCCAATTTGTATCGTTGAAATGGACTTTGAGCTTGACTACTGTTCGTTATCTCCATATTTGATTTTGTTACTATTACTATTTGTTAAGAGATGTATATCTCAAAATATGAGCTATCTTTCCTTAAAAAAAAAGATATGGATTCAAAAAAATATGCATTTTTTTCCTTACATTATCTTTCATAAATAAATGCAAAGAAAATAGATATATGTTCATTGCAAGAGTTGATATCTCAATTGAAAAAAAGAAATATCTCCTGTTGAATGAAATATCTCTTTCTGATTAAATTTTTAAAAATTATATTAATTAATTTGGAGGAGTTTGCTCTGCTCCCGATTTGTATTGTTTTAATGGATTTTGAGCTTGAATACTGTTCGTTATCTCCATATTTCATATACTGTTTTAATTTCGAAAATATCATTTTTTATTGAAAATTTTACCTTGTGAAGAAATTCAAACTTGTTTAAGTTACACATCATACAGCTACACGAACATTCAGAACAAGGTATGCAATTATAGTTCGAGTGACAGTTGAATTCGAGAAAAGATCAATTTTAATACATCAGTTAATTTTGAAATATCGCTAAAAACTACAGGAAATTTTTAAAGTATCAATGATACCTTTTCCTACGGAAAATTCTCTTTATTCTTTAACTAACTTGAAGTTGTGTTTGTTCAATTTCTTATTTCAAACTCTTGTAAAGAAACACTTCTACGTGATACTAGTATACAGTACGAAGCCTTACTAGCATAAATTTTAGAGTTAGTATGGATTTCTGAATTTGTAATCAAAACTTTCTTGCGACCAATGTTCTTAATGCTAAAGCATTTGACTTAATTTACCCGATTAATATAGCAAGACACAATTTTTTTGTCAAATAAAGGATAATTTCAGTTTTTTTCCTAGTCAAGATGTACTTACGGTCTGGCCTGTATCAGAAAAAAAAATTCAGTCGGTACGAGCACCACTGCTGTCACAAGAAAGAAGAAGACGAGAAAGAAATCAACAATTTTCTCTATTTTCACACACTTTATCAGATTCATTTGATACTGAAAATCCAATGAAGATATTTGGTATGAATACAATTTTTCAATCATGCAGTGATATCGCTTTTTATACAATAAATATAAACAGATAATATTTTAATTATTTTCTTTTATAAGGCAGTGAACAAATATGACTACCATTTTAAATTATAAACAGATTATCATTTCTTTGTGTTTCGTACTATTATAAATATACACCTTATTCATCACGTTGAAACACACAATAATAGAAAAAAATCAAAATGAACATAGAAAACAAATCTTTTTCCTTTATGGTAAAAAGTCTACCACAAATTGTCTTTTTGTCTATACTAGTATTCCAGAGAGAGCACTGGCTGACATTGCGAGACGTGCGACGTTCTACACCTGAGTGTGTGTATTATTTTCAGGATATGGTTCGTACTCCGGAACTTGTACAGGGCCAGTATAGGTGTACTAAAAAATCCATATCAAAACTATTAAATACAGTGTATACATAAAAAGAATGCAAACTTTTTTTTCAAAAATGTAAAACCTTTGGGAAGAATAATATGCATCATTTGTGTTTGAAAGAAAAAGAGAATATTCAGAAAATGCCTTTGTATACAGATCGTCACTATTGTATTTGAAATATTTGTTTCGTAGTCATAAAGAAGAAGGCTAGAATAAAAATATCTTTTCACTTGATTTTATTTACTCTGGAACATAGAGAGCCTGTATAAAAATACTTTAACATATGCTGCATTTCATATCATAAGGGTAAAGTAACTCAGTTCATATATACACTAAGTAAAATTCATTATTAAATACATAGAGGATATTCAATGTTTTGTAGTTCGATATGGAATTTATTTCACGAGTGGGACAGGGATTTTTGATATTTTCACAAATGTATAAAATTTGAATTGAATTGATTTGAATTTTAGAAAATGCTGATCTCCGTAAATATTTTTTTTTGTGTGTGAATAAAAATCTCATTTAACCACGTTGAAAAAGTTTAATGGCATTCCATTGCTTTCAGGAGGTGTTTATCAGTATTACAAATGAAGTATAGATACCGTGGCAGTTGGTTTCTTTTGTGGTGAGTTAGGTAGAGAACTATCATCCAGCGACCCTCGGAATGATAATCTAGCCTTACATCGCACCATAGAACCAAAGGACGTCTATAGTAAAAATATACTTTTATTTTGATTTAGAATAATTTCCAGATTAAAACTCAACAACCTTAATTCTACTTTTTCTAGAAGTAGCTGACGAGAAACCTCAGCTTTTTTCATAATCACCTTAGCTTTTTTAGAATCAACAACAGATTTATACAAGAACTCAATGGCAGCGATAACGACAGAAAGTGTAAGTCCACAGGACAGGATGTAGAAAATTCCTGCCACATTCTCTAACGTCAGTTCCGCTTGTGATGCATCCTAATAAAAGATATTGATTTAAAATGATTTAGCATTCATTTGGAATTTATACTTTATTATTTTGTGAATATTTCTTAATTTTTTTTTTTTTTTTTTTTTTTTGTATAAAACATTTTGTCATTTACTTAAATGTTCATGAATAGACATGATAGAAGTAATTTATCTTTTTCCCCCACAATTTTTCATGAAACAAAAAAGCTTTTCTCGATTTTATCTTGCAAATAAGAATGCTTATTTCGAACACCAACCTTTTCAGTATCCTGGTCACACTGAGATTTCTCATACCACCACTTCTTTTTAAGGCGATCTAATTCTCCATTTTCTCGGAGTTGCAGTACAGCCAATGTCAGTGGGTCTCTGCCAAAAAAAAATTTCACATAAAGCAACGACAATGTAATCACAAATAGTTTATCCTCATTGCGTGGACCCTGAGGTCCACGCAGAAAATATATAAGTGGTGTTAAACCGGATGCCATGGGCTTACGTCAGGCTACGCATGCGCGAGAATGCTAGAGAGTTCGCCTCTAAGACAACTTGCCCTTAGAACAATTCGCCCTTTTCGAATTAGAATATGCCAATCATTGGCATACCTCGCTCTAAAATCTGCTCATCGTTTATTCTTTGGCGTAACCAAGATCTGAATTTCTCTTTAATACATATATCCTTATATACAAACTAAATTCTATGGTACAAGCATTTTAAATAAGTAGGAAAAACTTATATAGATAGCTTAACAGCTTGAACATATTTAATTACAAACTTAATTCAACTACTAGGTTTTAAAAGATTTACCGGCAGTAGTTTTGTGCATCAAGGTTCGCAAAATAATTTGATTGACAGCAATCCAAATATAGCTTGATAGAGGCCTTTAGTGCTCAACGTTTTTCCATGTGGGGGAGAGGGAGAAACATAGAAAAAATCTGCGTACTACAGATCTGTGCTACATGTGTACCATCTATCTTTCCAATGATAGAATATCTTCCGTATAAATCTAGTGCAGATGTCAAGTCCCTTACATGTATCGACATAGACCGATTTTTTAAAATGACAAAACTATAGGCCAATCGGGAATAAAATTTAACAACTTTGCTATGAAAGTACAATCACTCAAAGTAGGCAGTTCATTGTAGAAAATGTTAACGAAAGGTTGACCTGTGGTCACCTTTCAGAGTAACCAATGAACTCGTCCATGGATGCATGGACGGTTGTTGTAACAAGAATAGATATGGGTTACCCCATATCCAAGATATTCGACTTTTAATTTACTCCAATTTTCACTAGAAAAAAAACTGCACATGTTATGAAACTGGTGTATAGTTCTTCATGTCCGTAGCAAATACCGTTACCAGTCTAAGCGTCACTAGCAAACAGTGCACACAACTGTGCTTGCAAGACCAAATAGCCTATAGGTCTACACACGTGCGATGAGATTGTCAATTGCATCTTCTCAGACCTTCTGGCGAGTTCGGAAAAACACGTTGTTTTGCCGAGAAGTTACGATTGCAGGTGTTGTATATTAACCATTCCGTTATTTAAAAGAGACAGGGAAAAAACACACACACACACACAAAATCAAATGTTTTTTTGTTTTTAAATTGATCGAGCTAATCGATAACCTAGCATCGTTTTAGATAACTCGAGACCCTCTAATGCTCCAGTACAGGGTCGGATTCAACAGTTTTGAAAAGGGGGGTGGGTTCTAGGTCACATTGCAGGCACTTATATTCAAGTCCGTAGCAACGGTTTTCAAAGGGGGCAACCTCCAAAAAGAGTTGACAAGCAACAATAAATAAATAAATTAAAATAACAACCTGTGCACCACACTGTAAAATCCTATTTCGGGGAAAGGGGGCTTCGTCTAAACTTTTCGGTACATTTTGATTTCTTTTAAATGTTTGATTACCCGTATTTTGAACCTTCCCGCAACAAAAAGTGCGGGGAAGCTTCCAATGCAAATCAAAACTTATTCAAATTATAACAAAAGATTATTTTTTAAAGAAACAGTGAGCCCCCCTCCCCAACATACTACGGGGACATTTTGAACCTTTCTCTTTATTGATTAAAATATCCCCATAATATAAGGAGAAAAATATTCTCTTATGCATACTCCCTATCATGACCTTTTATGCATACTTCTTAAAGTTAGTTACTTCAGAAGATGGTCCAAAAATAGCTATGTACGTTCGCCGGAATCTTCCGATGATATCGAAGTGAAATCTTTCATGTTACGTGTGCATGGGTGGTCGAGGCCCGGGACCGGGGTTGTGAAAGTACAAGGAAAAAAGCAATAAGCAAAACTCTATCTAGAGAGCAGAAAGGGCAGAGATTGAAGTACTTATTCTATTGAAAATACTCGACGTAAAAATATCTATATTACAGGGGAAAAAACACACACACTCTCTTCCTCTTTCTGCAAAAATAAATAGGGTTACAACATCCGACCCCCCCCCCTTTCCTGGATCCGCCAACGTGTTACAATTCAACCATTACGACACCGGCACGCTTAGGCCTCTTTTAATTCTGTTGTTAATTTTAAAGGCTACTTTACCAGTGTTTACACTTGTGATAGATGCCTAGATCAACATTTCACAATCTAACTAAAATTAGATGTTCCGAATCCGCTACCGCTTCATTTGAGAAGCGGTAGCGGATTCAGAACATCTAATTTTAATTAGATTGAACATTTCATATTCACATAATTTCAAGTTCATGGTTTTTTATCATTACAGCCTCATTAAGCAGACTTAAATAGCGATGAAAATTACTAGATACATGTAAAAAAAAAAATGAATTTAATTACACCTAAGTTTGTAAAATCACTAAATCTAGAAATTTTCTTTGAATTTCGTGTAGAAACACATGCATATGGTCCACGTATTGCAGTCCTTTTTTAAAGGACAGCAACTTGTCTTTTATTATTGATAATACTGTTAATAAAATGAAGTTCCAGCTGTAGTTGCACATCAATAAAACAGTTTGGCAAAATACTCACCTGAGTTCTGAATCGACTGGTGTAGCTATTCCATATCCTTTGGAATCTAGATTAGAACCCACCTTCATGGTATTACAAGGTTTTTGATTGTTGATATATTCATTTGTTGTGGATTCTACAAGGAACGCGTACTTCTTTCCATTGGAATTCCTAACTTTTTCAAACCCTTGACTATTCTTTTCTACAAACACGTTTTCTGCTGACGTCATGTAGGCATACATTCTCTCGTACAAAGCAAACTTTGATTTCTGCCAAGAAAATTAATAATTTGAAAATATTGTACTTAATCTCATACAGCAATCCTAAAATATATGTACAAGTTTACCTATTTCACGTATTCTGTATCATATAGACTTACTTTAAAAAATTCGTATGTAGCGCCCTCTTTGAGACATCCATATTGGATTTTTGTTTGTTTCGCAAGGTCCTCTACAGAACTAATGGGTGTATTCATTCTGTCCACAGTGAGAAAGGCAGCGAGGTTTGCAGTATATGAGGATATAATAATTAAAGTAAAAAACCACCATACACTTCCAACAATCCTTCCCGAAATAGCTCTGTGAAGATTTAATATAACAGAAAATTGTTTGATTAAAAAGGAATTGATGTACTATTAAACATTTGAACACAACACAGGAAAGAAAAACTAAAATGAATTTGTAATTGAATTTGATTCAAACTTGATGGAAAAACTTTTTCAATGATCTATAATTGTACTTACTTTGGAGATATATCACATCCTTGTTGCATGAAGGCACCAAGTGAGTACCAAAGACTGTTCGATATTGTAAAGTCGTTAGTAATGTTTTTTTCATCAATATGCCATTCAGAAGGACTGAATCTACTAACTAGAAACAGAACTACACTCACTCCTACATATGCGAACAAGATACACATCCAAATCTCAGAGGATAACGGATCCATGAAGGAAAATATGTGTGCGCCTTCATCGGCAGGCTTCTTGATCATTATGCTGATTCCCAGACTCATGTAAGGTTTTGTAAAATCAACAACTCTTTCCCGTGTAGAAGATATTGTTATTGGTGCAACAGCCATGTCAGCTTTCTGTGAAATGTCATAATAAGAATTGAACCCATGAAGTATAATGTAAAGTGATAGGACTTGATTGAAATTAATTACTAGTACATTCGTCTCCCCAAAATAAATTGTGATCTACCAATCGGCGTTCAAACTCATTTGAACATCGAGATAATGGTAACTTTTGTTTGACATTAAATCTTTCAAAACTACTCTTTAATGTAAGACTGTTGTTTCATGTGCAAAATATATACTACAGCCCAAGGTGTTTCTCCTCAATATGCTTGAATCTGAGTTGTTTTCAAGGCCTTTAAGGTTATTATATTTAATATTTTTGGTGGATATAACTATATCCTTGCATGTCGTATTTTCGACTTACTTTGACGTTATCTTTGATTTAAAGCAAACTTAAAATTTTGAAATAAAATCATTACGGCTTTGATTCATAAACAGGTAAAATAAGCAATACTAAAAAGATGACAATATCTGACATCAGACGAAAATTAAAAAAAAAACAAACGTTATGTACCCATAACATTTGTATGTGTTAAGTGTTTTTCAAAGTTAAGGAACCAAAACTCAGGCCTTAGCTCGCAGTATCTGCGAAGGAAGCAAACAAAACGGGTCGAAAACAGGATACGAGACGATGCATTCAGGACGGATTCTTTTCATATTTACTGTAACCCCCTCCCCCCCCCCCCAAAAAAAAAAAAAGAAAAAAAAAGAAAATTTCTCATATTCAGACTTTAATTGCTAAAAAATGTGAAATGAATTTATGATATATATTATTATGTACTTAGTTTAAAAAACCAAAGATGTGATATTTTCCTATGCCGTTGTTCCACCAAAAATATAGTAACCGGTACACAAAAAGTCAGTTTAGGCCATCATTAAAAATATCTTTGTTTCCCCTAACCCGACCCCAAAATCTCAGGTTGGGTCGGTAGGTAGGTTTTGAAAATACATTCTGAAAAATTGAATAATATCTTTATAAATAAGAAAGAACAAAAGAAACCGATTTTTAAAACGAATATCATACAAATGAAGCAACATGTATGGTAAATTATTTCACAAATATTATTCATTTGAACTTGTGAAATATCTCAGGCCAGCGTAAATTTATTGAAATCGAATATTTACAAAAAACACAAGATTCGCAAATAGAGAACCATCGGACATTCGAGTACATTTTTCAAACCTACTATGATTTTCGAGTACTTACACAGACAAAATGTCAAGGACCTAGCGTGGCGCAGTAATTCTAGTGTTTCGTTTTGGAGTCACGACGTAATTCAGGAGCTTATTCTAAGTCACAGGTCCCGACTTGGGACGTGGAGACCGGTCAGTCGAATAAGACCGTAAAAAACGTAGGTCCAGTGTCGGAGTATACATGTAGATGGCACGTAAAAGATCCCTTACTGATGCTTAATGATCAATGGCCATAAGTGCCGAGTAAAAGTCTAAATTAGGAGCCCTCCACCGGCTCAACAATTTCTAAAAGTATTTTAAAGCAAAAAAATAACCTGTTTTCAAGGGCCTAACTAAAGAAAAATAAACTGGACGTTTCAGGAAGCCGTACCATAAGCAAATTTTAAAGATTTCAACACTATTTGGAAATGGTGTACATGTATAAACAATGTATAATTCAACCAAACCATATCTAAAATGATTAAAGTTTCATATATCTAATTTTATAGTCACGGAGTTAATACCCCATAGATGAAAGGAATAAAGAAACGACATCTGAATTTTATTTATCAAGATGAAGTAATCATACAAAGACATATTTACAACTCCTATGGTCCTATATAGTAAAATGGGATCATACATGAACTGTTTATTAGATCGAAACGAATCAAATGCAGTGAAATTTTGATATGTATTCACAAGGAGCGCCCCTCATCTGCTCATGAGGCAAGCTTTGCAATGCGTACTACGTACGTTAATTTCCATCTTAACACTCCTTAGTCATTGTACATTAATTCACGAGATGTCTCAAGAGTGTAGGATTCTAATAAGTTAAAGATGTATAATAAGATTAATACGTCACCATTGTTTTATAACACTAAATAACCCTCTGTGGCCACATGTTGTTGGCACCAAACAAAAGCCGCCGTTCTGATAAAAAACGGATTTTGATAAAATTGTATTTTATAAAGTTGATTAACAATAAAAAAAATATTTAAATAATCTGATTAAAAAAACTTTTCAGTCGGCACGATTTAAGTGGGTCGGGCGCGTTAGGGGAAACAAAGGTAATTTTTATTTTGGCCTTATCAACTCTTGATATTATATAAGGGAGAGGTCCGTAATTTTTCAAGGATTGTGAAAAATTGCAACACGCAGTTCAAAGCGTTTCAGAGATTTGTAAAACTTTTTTTTTTAAAAATAAATTCACTTATTTTCTTTCCTTTACCTTCTGCATAACCTCCCCAATCATTCCATTCCAAGTCTGGTTTGGCTGTATGGATCCATATTGACCGTCTTGAACTATACATATAGTATAGTTTGTAATATTGAGAATTTCAGTCACCTTCTCTGCTAAGTCAATACAAAATCCCTCGAAGAATGAGTTACCACACACTCTTTCCCCCTTAGCTTTCATTAGTTTGACTTCGTCTTCATATTCTTTTTTGATGAAAACATAGGGTGGGTCCTACAAAACTAGCAATAATTAAGTAATTTCCCTTTCTTTTTCTTGGTTTTCTTTTTTACATATCAAAGCCTACGAAATAGCCCATTCCCTCTAACAAGATACTGGCATCCATTGTTGAATTTTATTTTATTTATGTGTATGGAAGAGATTGAATTTTCTCTACTCACATCTATAGTGGTAATGATCCGCTCTTGATTGGTTGAAACTTTAATATAATCTTTCTTTGTTGTTGGATGTTTCTGCACCTTTATCTGGGAAGTGTTCAGCATTTCTAAACGTGCACCAATTTCTTTGCTGGACATCCACATCCCAATCTATAAAAAAGGAGTAGAAATTGTGTTCAAATCAAGTTATTATTGTTAATTGATAATAACTTTGGAATGATACTATATGTACATTAATAAGCTACAACCATTTTACTTTTCTTTAATTCTTTAAGCAATAAATAAATATAAAATAAAATAAAATCATTTAATGCGTTAGTATACTTGGCAAATCTAAGTATACAAATACACTTGCTTCATAAAACAAGTGTATGTTGTGTAATTGTGAGGGGAAAAGTATATATTTAAAGATAATAATAACGATTGGGGTGTTATAAAAATAGGTCATTGCTTAAATTTAAGTAATTCAAAGGTCTGGCAAAATTTAATCATCCAGGTTTGTGATGTTCAATATTTTCTTTAGAACTCTTCGTGACCCTTGATTTCTGTTAATTTTAAATAACTTATTAAGTGGCTAAAATCATATACTAAAATTATTCGTAAGAAATTACTTACCTTTGCGATATGCCTTGTAACCAATGTCTCAAAAAGACGTAGTGTAAAGTTTTTTCTAATTCCATCATCGTCAAATATGATTGGTCCACTATCACCGTTATATCCCGTCTTTGAATACTGTTTGAATAAATGAGAATCAAATATGGAGATAAAGTCTCATGAAGCATAATAAACTACTGAAAAATCACATATTTTCGTGAGGTCAAATTTTCGAGGATTGAAGAAAAAATATAGGTTTGCATGTGGGGATTTGATTTCGTAGTTGAAGAATGATTAGTAGTAATGCACATGAAATTTTACCTTTCGTGATGATCATAAATACTTGGTCTCTCCCTACCTCGAAAACAACGAAAATAAACTACCACGAAAATTAGTGATTTCACAGTATTATTATAAGCATACATTCTTCAAAAGAAGAAACGTTTTACGTGATGTTTTAAAAATATTTGAATTTTATGGATTTAACTTGTAGGTATTTTTATTTTTTTGTCTTTGCCTTAATAACACAACTTGCAAAGAATTCCATTTAAAGCTGAACACGATTTGTAAAAGGCAGGTAGTTATCTTTGTACGCTACATTCCTCCCCTCTAGCTATACCTCTCCAGCCCCTATAAAAGGCTCAGTTTTGTTCACGGTTCAGAGTATTTCTCTTCACAGAATTAATCTGAATGGACGTCTCTGAATTGTCATTTTTACATACTTGTCAATCAAAAATCAAAATCAAAAATGATTTCTGTAATAGGAAAACTTATACGACGTATGCCTATCTACGAGTCCTGTTCTGAATTAAGAGGTATTGCAACTAACATTTTTTCCAAATGAGACACATGTAGCTAGACTGCATCTATTATATATAACGGGTTCAAATCTAGTCTTCAATTTTTATAACAGATTTCACTTCATTGTGCATTATCATTCATACTTTGAATTTGCCCCTCAAAATAAATTTATTGAAGTAAAACCTTTAGATGAAATATATGGAGATAACGAACAGTATTCAAGCTCAAAAATCCATCAAACAATACAAAATAGGAGCAGAGCAAACGTGTACCTCCAAAACGTCAGAGGTGGGATCAGGTGCCATGGAGGAGTGAGCATCCCCTGCCGACCGGTCACACCCGCCGTGTGCTCCTTGTCATGATCGGGAAATAACGGAAAAATCCGTCGACAATTCAGTGTGTAAATAATGGCCTAACAATTAGTAAGAAAAACGTCAGTCAGCATTTGACTCAATGATAAATTGTATTTGCTGACAAGGTCATTGTATCGACCATAGAACTTACAAAATGATGACTTTAAACGAGACTGCTGATATTTTTGTTTAATCAACTTGTTTGTCAATAATTTACCTCGTTTTAGAAATTGTACATACGTAGAGCATGCTCTTGCGTATCGAATCAACTGAGAGATATAAACCCCGTATGCAGGTGGTGAAGATATATTGCTGCATAAGTACTAGTAATGGAAGTTGACGATTGCAAAGTTATAGTCATCACGTTTATCATAAAGCTTGGTTGTTAGATTACCATTAACGTGTTTTTCAAGTAAAATATCCAAATATGAAACAGATGTGTCAGACTCTGTGATATCTTTTATCTCAAGCTCACCAGGATATATCGTATCGACATAAGAATGGAAATAACCATTGTTAATACCTTTTGGAGTGCCCCCTTGAGTTCTTTTCTTTTTTTAAGCGTATCATCTCGATTTGTTACGTATAGGTCTGTTCTACGTAAAACTTCTCTCACAAATTCCACAGTATCAGTCACTAACACCTGGTAATCCTATCAACATGATAATGAAATTCCTTCAAATAAGTGATTTTTTTTTAAATTTCCACTTCAGATAAAATCAGAAGAAAAAAAGTATAGCAAGGTCATTCATTTCAATTCGCATTTTATTTATTTTTTTATTTATTTACATTTTATTTAAATAAAGTACTCTAATCATTGAACCATACTGTATTATTAAGATCAGCATCCAGTCTGAATCCAGTTATGTTGAGGCCTGGTGAATGAATGGTTGAGTTCATATTGTACAATCCCTAAAACATGCAACATATTTAATAATTTAATATGTCCTTAACAAAGAATATATTCACTATGTCCTAATTCTACGAGAAGAAAAATCACTGGCAAAAATAATGTTCAAAAAATAATTTCATTAGTTGATATTTTGTATTTTCGAGTTTTGCTGATGTTGTCGTGGATTGCTACATGTATATAAGAATTCTCAAAATTTTTAACATGTTGAGTAATGAGGAATAACTCGAAAATGAAGGAGATATGCAACTTAGATATAAAGGTTTTGTCTTGTATTATCTACCTATAAATATATGAAGTGCACAGCGGTTGCTAAATCATTAAAAATCATAGAAATGGTGAAATACTCATAGAAATACATGTTGGTACTTACCAAATTAGACAAAAGAAAATGAAATCGAAAATTATTTATCTTTGGATCTTCTTTCTAAAATTAATAATGTTCATGGTGAAATGAGTACATTTATTACATACACATGATTCAAAATCTTAAAATATATGAGATTAAATAAAGAGGCGTATGCGTCAGATTGAAAGTTGAGTGTAAAACGTTGCAATATTAAACTTTTTTGTTATTCTTATTCAAAGGATTTATTATTCTTATTCTAAAATATATCATCCCCATTCGATATGATTCCTATTCGATAAGTTGTTAAATGTATTCGAAAAAAATGCGATTCCTATTCGATAATTTGTCATTTCTATTCGATAAATTGTTATTCCTATTGGAAGAAATATGATTCCTATTCCAAAATATATCATTCATATTCAACAACATATGTTTCCTATTCGATAACGTATCATTCATATGCGAAATCATGTGATTCTCATTCGATAATTTTGTCATTCTTCGATAATGATGTGATTTATATGTAATAAACTTGTTATTCCTATTCGAAAACATATTCATATTCGAAAACAAGATTATCGAATAGGAATTGTCAAACAAATGGCAGGTGCGAGGAATGACGACAAAGTCTATAAAACTATAGCTAGAAAACACACACCTCGTTGGATACAATACTAATGGTGTCAATTATCAAATATGGGGGATTTCGTATTTATGAAGTGTCCTTAGAATATCACTTATAAACTGTACTTTAACTTTGAAAGTCTAGCATTTTCCCAATTTGTTTAAATCATTACTAACCAATCTTGACATAACAGCTTGGCTGTCCTTTGGTTTTAAATGCAGTAGAACCCGAATGCTTCCCGTTTCCTCGTTGTATACCTTTTTCAGTTTTCTGTAACAGCTATCCAAATCGTGAACGCGCAATACAATCAGATCGAACCTCAATTCCTGAATGTGAATTTCGTTTAACAGTTGTTCAAATTCCAACAAGCCTATAATTCACATTTGTTCAATAAGTTAAATATATATATACATATGTATGTATGTATGTATGTATGTATGTATGTATGTATGTATGTATGTATTTGCATGTTGTGACAAATTCTCATTGTTCATATGTGACAGCTTCTCAGAAATCTTCATTATACATAGAAAATGGAAGTTACACTTATATATTTTAATATACTTGTATCTGATTCGGAAATCTGAAAATTCTTAAAGTAACCATTTTGTAAAAGCAGTCTTGGAATACACTTGCCTTCATCGGAATCGTAAAAATAGTAAACCTTTTCCCACTGCTTGTGAAACATTACATCCACAAGACCCCCAACAAATGCTGGCCTCATAAACAAATGGAATGATCCTGTTAATTCGGACTTCAAGCTGCACGAAGGACCAACGAACAGAAACGCCAAATCGTAGTAATCAGCATACGACTGAAGAGTCGGCAAATGGCAGGTGCGAGTTACAGCTATGATGCCCAATAGCCAATTTCTCTTTGCAACTTCATCATCGACTAGAAAAGACAACATAAATGCTGTAATTTCCAGTTTAATCAACGATGATTCAATGGCTGCAATTTTTTTGTATCAAAGTGAGAAGGATTTATTGGGAAAGAAATATACATGTCTTTGGTAAATTTAAAATAAAAATGTTGATTTTTACGTAAATTTTGACAATTTAGAAGTCTATCAAATTACATCACCTGAGATTTGAATTGGAAAAAAATGAAATTGTTTAATGTCCACATTTCATTTATCCCAATGAGGAAGCAATATTTAACTCCATATTTGGGTAAATTCAAATATAATGATTATCAAATTGATTTTTTAAGCTTGATTGAGTTTCTCCTCTTTTATATGTGAAAAACAGGCTTTTTGATTATCTTAATTATTTTTTTTTCAATTTTGGTTTGAAAAGTTGTAATATGAAATCTGATATGTATTTAAAAAACAAAACAAAACAAAACAAAAAACATTGTTCTAAAAAATTATAATTATAACACAAAATAACCCATTCTTAGTTTGTATATATATATATATATATATATATATATATATATATATATATATATATATATATATATATATATATATATATATATATATATATATATATATATATATATATGTGTATATATAACTTCATTCTATTGACCTACAATACCTGCTTTTCCCACTGCTAGACTGTCATTGAAGTCGACCTCCAAGTAGTAAAAATCCCCTTCTTTGATGCTTTGTCTGAATATTCTCAATTCTTCCTCTGTATTCTTATCAAAAAAAGCAACTGAAAGGACATGTATTCCGATTTAGTTTTGGACCTGTTCTAAGACTCGTCGTTCTAAAATGTGTAAACTTAAATACTTATTTTATCATATTTCACTCTTTTTTTCCGTATTTCACGTCCACAGTAAGTATTAATGTTGTTCCACTGGAAATTATGAGTAGTTCCTTATTATGGTGAGATTAATATGGTTTTAATAGAATGCAATATTTTTTACATAAATGTATTATAGATAAATTGCATATTTGTATATTGCATTTAGAAAACATTTTGACATAATCATGAAACATGACTGGTACACGTACTGAACATACTCAAGTTTAACAGTAAATAATACAAAGTTCATAATTTGGTGTTAATGCGAAGATTCTATCTTTTTGGGAAAGACAGTAATATTTCGATCGATGCAAAATTCAATTGAGACATCGGGAACCGCAACTAATGGCTGTAGGAATGTGTGGATCAATAGAATTCCTTCTATCTATTGCTCGACACGGGTTTTATAAACAGTAGTTAATACACAGATTGAACCAGTCTTTTGACCATTTATTCTTGGAGATGAAAGCCTCAACAGAGCACAGAAAGACAAGCACTAACTGTAAACGCTATGATATGGTTCATGTTACAATTACAGTTGAAATAAACGTCTAATTTTTTAAATTCTTTTTTTTTTTGCAAAAATACTGATAAAAATGCAGATAAAATCATTTTCGATCAACAGTTCATTTTTTTTTCATTTAGATGCAATGAAAATCCTTTTTGTGCCAAAAGTAATATAAAAGGTATGTGAAGTATTCTTACCTATTCTATTACTCAGTGACACAACATCTTCTACATTGGTACACGTTAGGAGGAATAAGAAGAGAAACAGTCCTTCCATTTTCCCCATATGATGTAATTTTGTGTGTAAGGGAATGCAATCGTATCACAACCCGTCTACACATCCGGTCTCCTTGATTACAGTATCCACAAAATCGGTCGATGACATCGAAACACGTGGTCCAACTTACATGTATATCGGAGATTAAAAAACTGAATCTAATTTCTGTTTTTTATTGAAAATTAAAAATATAATGTACAAGATGTGGTAACCCTTGAAATATATCAATTCTGCTGGTATTGAGCGTTTTTGCGGTTTGATCGTAGGATCAGTAATTTAATTATAAACGTGAATCATAATATTTAATCATTTGATTTGGCTCCAGTCTTTGCCCTCCCCCCCTTCTGCTCTTCAAAGTTTTTTTTTTATTTAAATATTTCGGATTTCCAACGTTTCGGCATGAGCATCACTGAAGAGACATAAAATGCCGAAATGTGCATATGGTGCATCAAATTGGTACCGTATAAGATTTACATTTTTGTAATGTATTTTGGCTAACGTTCTTTATGTTTCCTTTCATTATACATATACAGTTGTAAAGCAAATAATTATAGCATTGAAATACAAGTTGAAATGGTAATCATATATTTTTGATATTCAATTATTTTCTATTGCTCAGAACACTCATAAATAATTGATGCATTTTATCGGATCACAGAGACCAGCATTAGGAGTTGCCAAAATGTTGCAAGATTTTGTCATCAGAATCGGTTTTCAAATACTTACAGGTTCATGTATCCCCGTGTGGATTAAAAAAACTCCCTCTCATTATTTTCCGTTTACTTTACTTAACAAATACAGAATCAAATTAACATATGAGCAGGAGTAGGCTAGGAGTACATGTATTGTCAAAAAGATAATCTAGGCTTGATTTAAAAATTCATTCAAACATTTCGAACATTTTGAATACTGAAAACATACGAACTTGAATTTCTAGATCAATGTTGAAATTGATATGTGTGTTTTATGTCTGTTGTTAGAGGTTTGCTAAATTTTCTTATTTCCAATGTTTTTAAAATCAAGCTTAAGACTATTTTTTTCACGACCTGTTTTTACATTCCTATGAAGTAGAATTTATACCAAAACTTCTTGCGAAGAAGAAAACTCTTGCTGTGGATTTCAACGTTACATTTAGATATATAAACGACGTTTAATCAATTAACAACAGTTATTTTTATTCATATGTCGACTTTATATATTCCAGTGAACTCGAATAAAAAGACACTCTAGAGTCTGCCACATCAGTTTCATATTTGGATGCTTCACTGACTATAGACGGTAATGACCACCTAATAACTCCAAGTAAAATGTAAAACAAACAGTATGACCTCAGCTTTTCCATCGTCAACTTCCTTTACTTATTGTAGCAATATTCCAACATCACCTGCATATGGTGTTCTTGTCTCCCAACTTTTTTGCAAATTCTATTGTCGTTATAATGTCCTTGTTTGTAAATACCACCTATTGTCGGGTCGTATTTTATCTGACGTGTTTCATACCATGTGTTAGGTTATTGCTTTTACACTAAATTTGACTACGAAGTACTCTGTCTACCTGATCAATAAAGCTCACGGCGGGTGTGACCGGTCGACAGAGGATGCTTACTCCTCCTAGGCACCTGATCCCACCTCTGGTGTTTCCCAGGGGTCAAGCTTCCCTATACAGTACTAAATTTGACTACAAAGTACTCTGTCTACCTGATCAATAAAGCTCACGGCGGGTGTGACCGGTCGACAGAGGATGCTAACTCCTCCTAGGCACCTGATCCCACCTCTGGTGTTTCCAGGGCTATGTGTTTTGCCCTGTTCACGATTAGTTTTGTTTACTTGATTTATGAGATTGATCACGGTTCGTTATCTTCACATTTTACAAAGCATCCTTAAAAGGGATACGGTTAATCCAATAAAGGATTGGGCTTTCTTCGGAAGGTAACCAGTCATAAAAATTTTATAAGTGATATTTATGATAAAAGTAAGTTGGGCTTATATGTTAAAGTACTTTATACTAGAAGCAATGGATCTGATTTCCTCGATCTTAAATGAAAGCTTCTTTTAAACAGCGACAACTTAAATTCGTATTATTTTGTATGGCCTTTCAAGCTAAGGCTACAATAGACGTCCAGAATTTTTATAGAAATAAATAAATACAGAATCACACGATGTTATTTTGTCAACGTAATATGCAAGTATTTTTTGAGGATTTAAAAAACTTTTTTATTCATTTGTGGCCCATGGTTACAATGGAGGTTCAAATTTTATGAAGGATACATAGAAATAAATGAAAAGGGCCATGAACCCCAACGCTCACATGAGTCACTATGACCCTACTGTTCTTCATCATTAGATGTTTTAAAAATCCCCTCTTCAATTTCTAAAAAAAAAAATTGCTCCATATTTTGGACCAAAATCTACTCCGGAAGGAGCGGGGATGATATATTCAATGTTTAATCGCACAACATTGGTATGCATCAATATGAATAACATGGCCCTGCTGTTCTGGAAAATATTTTCCCTATATATAGATATTATATAGAAATTGGATCTCGAGGTATTATACAGAAATTGGATCTCTGAATTTAGCCCTACAACCCAGTATTCATAATTAAAAAAGGACCAACACAACTTACCAATGTTTCGCTTATTGATATAAAATTTAGAGGCATTGTCAATCTTGAAAAGATTTCTTCCTACATACTGTGAACTCACTAATTTTCGGGGGGGGGGGGGTAATTTTGGTTGTTCTCGAGGTATGAAGATACCCACGAATTCATATCCACCACGAAATGCAAAATGTCATATACGTACATGTAACTACTAATCATTCTTCATTCAAGAAGTCAAATCCCTACGAACCCATAGTTTTTTCTCAAACCACGAAAATTTGACCCCACGAAAATATGTGATTTTACGGTACTCCGTTATAGAACGTTGATCTTTTATTGTGGCCCCCGCCCTACCCCTAATCTGAACAAACTTGAATCTACACTACCTGATGATGCTTCAATATTAATATGACTAATCATGGCTTTGCTGTCCTAGGAAGATTTTAAAGATTTTTTCTATATATTACTATGTAAAACTTTGAACGCCTTTTGTGGCTCAATCCTACCCTTGGAGTCATGATTTGAACAGCTTGAATCTACACTTCTTGAGGATGCTTCTATATTTAAATGACTAATCATGGTTTTGCTGTTCCTGAGAAGATCTTCAAAAAAAAAATTACCTATAAATTCATATGTAGAACTTTGATCGCCAATTGTAACCCAGCCATATTCCTGGAGGTCATGATTTGAACAAATTTGAATCTATACACAATGTCAGGAAGCTTACTTATAAAGTTTCATCTTTTCTGGCCCTGTGCTTATTGAGCAGAAGATTCTTAAAAGATGTTATTAAATTTTTACTAATCCTTAATTATCTCCCTTTGAACAAGAGTGTGGTCTTTTATTTAAACATGAATTCCCTTTACCCAAGTATACTTTTTGGCAAGTTTGGTTGAAATTGGCCCCAAGATTCTAGAGAAAATGAAATTGTAAAAAGTTTACAATTACAACGGACAAAATTCCATCAGAAAAGCTAACTTGAGCTTAAAAGAATATGTTGTAACATGCATATTCTACAATTTGTTACATAAATACAATACGCAGTCGTCCTATTTTAAAATCGAAGTTGCTTTAAATCTGAACTTTGACGCCACTATGTATCTACAAAATGCCCAGTTAAAAGGTGAAACATAGAATAAAACTCTTCTTCACAAATTCTGAAGGAGAAAACGGTCAATCTAAACCAATCTGAGGCTTGTGCTATTATTACTGATATTTAATTTTCCCACTTAATTCAATGGTACTACCTGTAATTTCCTGATTGACGTGTAGTTTATCTCCATGAGTATAACGGGACAGCTTGGTGAATTCTGCATTTGTAATGTTCTTAGTGCTCTAAATTTTAGCAATGAATAACTCCTTAACTACTCTTTGATTGATTGTCTAGATCTGATAAGAATTAATTTAATATTTATCAAATTAAGAATATACAGTTGCTATACTAAAATGATACAATATAAATCATATCTATATTTTGTCACATTAGTATGCTAGCATGTTTACATCATCATGTAATGTAGATGAGGAAGTCATGCCGCCATGAACAGAAAATATGTGTTCAACAGTAAAGACATACAAAAAAAATCACATTTACATTTTAGTTAGAAAAACAGGCCCGTAGGAATCAATTTCAGTTTGGAGGGCAGAGCTATACATTTTTAGTTGGGGGGACTATCAACTACCCAAAATTCCTTGACAAGCAAAAAAAAAAAGGGTCATCAGATGTTTTTATTGAGGGGGCACAAGCATATAGTAGCAATGTTTTCTATAGTAATCTATACATCTGCAAAATTATGGGCGGGGGGGGGGGGGCACGCCCCCCCCCCCCGGCCCGTTTCTTCGGCCATGAAACATGTCTGTATTTTTCAATTTAAAGCTTAATTAACATTCAATGCAAGTGTGTATCAATGAAGTGTATTATTAAGCATAACCTCCTCCTCCTCTCCACCTCCTGACCATGTGGCACCTTTTTTATATTTATTGTATTAAATATGGCCTATCTGTGACCATCTAATATTATAGCTTACATGTAATTTGATGAGATCATTGAAAATTTTTCCTATTTTATATTTTAGATTCAATATTTTCTTTTTATGTAAGTTTATTTATGTTTTTTTTTTTCAAAATTCGTTCTTTTGGCATACAATAAAAAGCGACGAAACCACACATTTAATATTTTTGTACAGATTAAAATCAATTGAATAATATTTTCTCTATTTCTAGGGCGCATGTTCCGAAGATCTATCTAGCAATTTTAATCAAGTCTAATTTTAGCAATTTATTCTTTTCATCTCAAAAATAAAGCGAACAGATTATTTTCAACTACAATGTACATATTTGCCTTCTCATTTTTGTAAAACTTACAAAACACTTCCATGTGTATAAGTATATTCTATCTTAATCTAACAAAGTTATGTACATATTACATTCAAAATAAACAACAACAGAAAAATATTATCTAATATTGCGTAATGTACACATGAGTATAAAAATATTGAAGTTTTGCTGTCAGACTGCAGAAATCACACTTGAGTGTGGGTTTGGAGATCATTGTATGGATCAAAGCCCGGATGTTGTGAAGGCCCAGGATACGTGTACTAAAAAGATTAAGAAAGTCTTTATTATTGCAATACAAATATCTACAACATCAACCCAAATTAGTGTTTATTACTAATTACTGTTGTTGCTCATGTCCATACCAAAGAAATATAATATAATGTATTATTAAGAGGAAAGTATAAACATGTTTAATGTATGATGTATACTTTAATTACCAGTCTTAACCCCTAATATGAATATGAATGCACCGTCTAATATCTATAAAAAATATATATAAAGGGTTGAATCTGCGAAACCTTCGGAGTTTTTTTTATCAGACTTTTTCATTTTAAATTCTACGAAATTAATAAGATTCTTCAATATATAATTTAATTTTTCTATAAGTATTTTTTTGTCTGTTTTCAATGAATAGCAAAAGGATCCAAACAAATAAATTATCAGTGTGAATTTAAAACACGGATTTTAAATAATTAAATAAAGTTTATCTATGAAACATTAAAAACAGATATGAAACAGTATACTAACGGAAGGGGTGTTTTTCTTGAGTGGAGTAGTTTGGCCGGAACTGCTGTCAATAGAACCACGGAAGGATAGGCGCGCTTTGCATAGCAGCATGGAACCAAACGAGGTCTGAGAAAGAATTGTATTCTCCAAGGTTAGCATGTTATTTCCTTCTTTATCAAAAAATCGAATAACCAATTTCTTTCCGTTACTTATTTTGCTATATCACTTTAAAATATCTTAATGATTTGTGTAAAACGTACTGAGTATTGTAGGTAAATGAAAACATATAGATATATTCTTGTACTTTATTATATTGAGTGCAATTCATTGTAAAGCTACCTTAGATTTTCTAGAATCGAGAATAGTCTTGTACAAAAACTCAATGCCAGCCACGACAACGGATAAAATGAGACCACATGACAAAATGTAGAAAATTCCAGCAACATTTTTTAGGGTTAAGGATGCTTGGGATCCATCCTGAAAGACACGCACATACGAATGAAGGAAACAGCACGTAGGAATAAAAAATAACATACTGATACGAAAGAATCAGCACATGAAAATGTTTAACATTTTCACTTTTACATTTTCTCTTTACTCACATTTGGACCATCTTCGGGGCACTGTGACATGTCATCAAACCAGTGCTTTTTGATCTGAGCCAGTTCACCAGATTCACGTAAAGCCAGTACTGCCAGGGTCAAAGTGTCCCTAAGATAAAAAAAAGAAATGTACAATTTCAAAGTTACATGCATATGGTAGAGCTCATGTAATTCAGATAAAAAAAATCATAGATGTTTTTTCATAGTTCTATACTAAATACATTTGTATATTTTGGAGAGGAAACTGCTCGGCTATAACACTTATCTGGGACACTTTTTTAATTAATTAATAAAATTGTTGAAAGGAATCCATTACTATGGTCCTAAACGTAATGGTGTGCTCTACAGTATTTTAATCTAAAGCTTAATGATGATGACCGAGATCAAATTTACATTCGACCCACTTTTTCTAGGGAAATTAAAAGGTGAAAACTTTACAAACAGAAGACATATAAAAATGTTTGAGTTCTGTTCTAGGAGAGTCTATATTTTGTTTTACCCTATTCTAGGATTTTGTATTTAAAAGCAAGGTAGTCTCTGCATAGTTGTTTATGATTCCTAAGCAGTTAAAATTGAAACTATTTCTTGGATCAATCATATGTTCAAGAAATTGAATCTTTGCCTGAACTTTTATTAAGAAATGTGATTTAAGACCTTAGTATGGAGCTAGGAGGAGTAGCAATCCCGTATCCCTTTGAATCGAGGTTGGAACCTATTTTCATCGTGTCACAAGGTAGCCGCAAATTGGTATACTCGTTGGTAGTTGATTCTAGAAGGAAGGCATACAGTCCATTCGAATCTCTAACTTTCTGTATGCCTAATGCTGTACTTTTCACGAAAACATCCGGGACAGAGTTCATATAGGCAAACATTCTCTCATACAGAGCAAATTTTGATTTCTGTAAGAAAAAAGTCCGGTGGATGTCAATAAGTAAATATCTTTCACCGTTAATTATCTTATATTTTCAATCGTTGTCCATAACATTTTGTATTCATAGAAACGTTCGAATTCTAAAATCACTCCAGAAAATAGAAGTACGTGCCTTGTTGAAGTGTAGTGAAAGAGGGAAGATTAAGAAATAATAAAAATAAGACATAAGAAATTTACATTAAAGAAGCTGTAGGTTGCGCCTCCTCCGAGACAGCCATATTGGATTTTTGTTTGCTTGGCCAAATCTTCCACTGAATTTATTGGTGTATTCATTCTGTCTACAGTGAGAAAGGCAGCGAGGTTTGCAGTGTAAGAAGAAATGATGATCAACGTAAAGAACCACCATACACTTCCAACAATTCTCCCAGAAACTGCTCTGAAATAAGCAGGTCAAGATATTGCACATCCACAAGGTTTATTCTTACGTCAATTTGTAGATTTATAATTAAAAAAAAACTAAATCCATGTTACTTACGACGGAGAAATATCACACCCTTGTTGCATGAATGCACCAAGAGCATACCACAGACTATTTGAAATCGTAAAGTCATTTGTTATGTTGGTTTCATCCACCTTCCATTCCGCTGGGCTGAATCTGCTGACAAGGAATAACACCACACTCACCCCGACATAGGCGAATAAAATACACATCCAGATCTCAGATGAAAGGGGTTCCATGAACGAGAAAATATGAGATCCTTTATCAGCAGGCTTTTTTATCATTATGCTAATGCCAAGACTTAAAAATGGTTTTGTAAAGTCCACTACTTTTTCTCTGTCCGATGTGATTGTTACTGGGGCAACTGCCACATCTGCTTCCTGAAAATATCAAAAGCTCATTCTTCGATCAAAATTCTTTATAACTTAATAAAATTATAAGAGGTGTTGAAGAATGTTTTCAAATTACTTGATTTAAGAGCTCGCCAATGACACCATCCCATGACTTATTTGGTAATTCTTTTCCATACTGTCCGTCTTTTACGAGACAAATGTCATATGTCATGTTGATTTTTTCAGCCACCTTTTCAGCCAAGTCAATACAGAACCCCTGGAAGAAGTGTTTTCCACAAACACGTGACCCATTGTCCCGGAGTCTCTGTACCTCGTCTAGATACTCAGGCTTAACTATGACGTAAGGACCCTCCTTTCAAAAAGTATACGAAAATATGGTCCAAGAATAATTTTTTTTAAAAATGTTAAATGTTCTCATTCATTCATATTTATGCCTCTTATCAAACAATTCTAAATAATGATTTTGGGGTTTTTGGTCGGTCGTCAGTTATATGACAATATTGGTACTCATCTGTAATAGATGAACGAATTTCTAAACTCTTTTATTTATTTATTTATTTAATTTTTTTTTGATTTACGTAAATATTTTAAAGTATGAAAATTCTGTTTCTGCAAAACAAACAAATAATCTACTTTATCTATTTAAGGAATAACTGTCTAATTTTTTGGATTCATGATGTGATCAATCGAGTGGCTTGCGTGATAATTTGCATAAACGCCGAAGGCGTTTATGCATAAAATTATCACGCAAGCCAATCGATTGATCATCGTCATGAATCCAAAAAATCTGACAGTTATTCCTTATATTTACATGCTCCTGATTCTGCAAATTCCCGTGCTAATAGCCCCGCTTCTGTCTCTATTTGTCCCGCCCCGCACGTGATTTTTTTTAACCGCGCCTATCGATGAACCAGTAGATTTATGTAGAAATAAAGTATTTTTACAATTTGTAATTTTATCTCGGACAAAGACATTGGAAATGTAAATATAAGGTAATAATTACTTCTATTGTAGTAATGCTCATTTTTAGGTTGCTTGGAATACTGGGGTTTCGAGTTGGTAGTCTGGTATGTTCAGATGTGTGAATTCGTAAACGAGATCCCTTAACTGGATTTGGACTCCATTCTCCATCCTGAATGAATAAATATCGGAAGTATGAATTTGGGAATCGTCGATAATTATAAACATATTTTTTTTCTTAACGTTTGTATATGAGTGACTTACATGCGCCTTTCTTAATGTTTACCTTTGACAGTTCTCTTCCTAATGTTGCTTCCATCAGTTGGAGTTCAAATTTTTCTCGCCCTCCAAACTCATCAAATTTTAAAGTTCCACTTAAGCCGTTGATTGATACCTAATAATTTTTTTTATTTTCAGAGAGTGAAAAAATGAGTAAAGGATCAGTGTCCAAATAACTTCTCCCAAAAACTTCATCCCTTAATTTAATACGATAAAGAGGTGAGTTAGCAATACTTAGCAATTTATTTTCTTTACAAAGAATTTTCCTCATATGATCTTTAAAAAAATGTCTTATATGTACCTTTTGTGTCAAGAACTTTGATTTATTAATGTAGCTGAGAAGATTTTGTATTTACATGTATTTTCAACTGTTACTACCTTTCTGAGTTCTTCCGTGAATATCTCCCTGTTTTTCGTCAAGGTAACCGTTTTGTTATTGTGACGACATGAGAGTTTCTGGTCCTTTTTGTGCTTAGGGCGAAATCTGACATATGATTCTTTATATGTGGCATTGAAAAAAGCGATGGCATCTCTCAATAGGGCATGTGTTGGCTTAAATTAATCATATTCATTTAATACACTTGTTTGTACTTTTAACACAAAAAATACGTAAAATATTCGTAAGTACATGTATATGTATTGAATTTGCTTTAACTTTCTAGGAATTTAAGAGATTGATATAATTAGGATCGGAAGAGCTAGTAAACGTGGAATACATGTATAAGATGCGTCAAAGAACTGATTGTATTGTATATTTATTCATTGAAAAAAAGACTGCAAAAAAGAACTGTAAAAGCAAGTTTACTATTTAGAAGTTAACTCTTTACTTTTATCTCAGTAGTGTTAAATGTCTTCATCCATTCTTTTTCCATCAACACATTTTTAGGCCATATATGGAAACCCGTAAAATTCGCTCCGTTTGTAAGGACAGATTCACTCATCTGAGAAATTCCCTGCAAATATCAACCAAATCGTTATGTCAAAACTAATTATCCCTTCTAAAGCTGCTGATTATATATTAGAAGTAGTTTAGTTTCTTACCAATCTTGTGAGAAGAAAATGAAAACGTTTCATCATTATTTGAGGCGTCTTTTTCTAAAGAGAAAGAAAAATCCAGTCTTACAGCATATACATTGCATATAAATGTTTAAGACTTACAAACAATATTTCACTGCTTTAATTTTATTAGGTTCTATTTCAATTTCTAACATCCGTGTACTTTACTAGAAACAAAATACCAATATATAATATGAATGGCTTTGTCACATTTGCCAAATAATGCACTCACAAGTAACTTTATTGTTGTTTCTATTTCCGTTATTGGTAGGTCTAGAAAAATCCGCAAGTCTGATTCATCGTGCTGGTAGAACTGAACGATCTTCTCTTTACAGACCTCGGCATCGGGAATTCTCAGGAATATAATGTCCAACTTTGGCTCTTTCTGAGCATTTATTATATTAAGTATTTGTTGAAGCCTCAGTAAACCTAAGAAATACAACAAGCAGTTAGTCCGTAATTTTTGTATCTTTTTAATAACGATTAAGGTCATTCTTTCAGTTGAGTTTATTTTTCTTTAGGAATTATATTAAGCGTTCGGTGCATACGCAGTGTTTTATACTAATTTAAACTCTCATGTAATGTTGCTATCTATGATAATATTGCTAAATGAAAAGCTTAGTTTATGTAACAACTGATTAACATATGAACAAATTAAAACATTGTCTATATGTGGGCTCTTTGACCTTCGTCTGTATCATATATGTAGAAAACTCTCTGCCATTGTTTTTCAATAACGATGTCTAGAAATCCTTGAATAAACACTGGAGTTAAATAGAATTGAAAAGAAAATCTTGTGACGTCATCGGGAATTGGCGCGTCAGTGATCAGGAAGAATGGCACTTCGAAGGCGTCGCTGTATGACTGGATGGTGGCCAGGGCACACTTCCCACAAACACCTATTATTCCAATGACGTCTTCTTCTAGTTGGGCGCAGACTAAAAGAAATAACTAACGTTAAAAATATCTTAATTTGTTGTGTTCCCAAAAGATTGTGAATAGACTTAATTCTGATTGTCTGTATGTTAGGAAAAAAATGGACGTATAAGTTTGTATTGAAATGCTCTGATTAATTAGTTGGTTACACTTTCGTTTTCCTTTCTTCAATTTTCTGGCTTAATTTTTTTTTTAATTTAGTCAGCCAGATTATGACTAATGTGATCTACAAGTTGGGTCGTTTTCAGAAAAAAATCTTATTTTAAATCTCGATGAAACATTTGCAGACCCGCCAGTTAAACAAGGGAATCGCACTCTCTTAATTACGGCATTTAAATCCCATGAGAACCTCTCTATAACGTTACGAGGCTTCACTCGTTTTCCGGCGCATTCTCGGTAAAAATAAATCAATTTTCACATTCAGATCTTCTTCAATTTTAGTTGCCATAGAAACGAATTCCTTGATTCCCTACAGGAAAACTTTATTTGGTTAGAGATGGTAATCGTCGTTGGAAGTGTACTATGCCAAGTTTTATATTCGTAAAGTTTAGTCGTTTTATTTGAATAATGATGTACTTCATACGAATGAATAAGCATGATGAGTGTAATATGAGGAATAAAAGTCTGATTCTGTTACAAATGGTTTTGATATGATTCATCAGGCATTTTTAGGAGATTATTTTTGTTTTGTTTTTATATCTTTGCCAAAAAGATACATTTACAATCATCCAGCAGTGGAGGATAAGGCAATCTTTACCCACCTACAAAAGTTACACGTTTTATTCTATGTCCTTTAACACTTTCTAGAAACGAATATCAACAAATTCAAATATCATTGTCGTCGCTAATCGATTTTTAAAGAAAAACTGCCATTGCTTGAATATTTTTCCTTTAGTATAGAAAATTTAAAAAAGTCAAATGCAGCTTTGAAAATGTATTTGGTCTGGTTATATGTATCCTCAGATGCTACATCTTTGCAAAGTTCATAATTGTTGAGCTTGTAAATGTAAGGGAATGAATCTCTTTCTGAAATTTTAACGTTATCACTCGTTTGGTAAGTGCGGGTCACGTGCAGATACAAAGCATCGGTAACTATTATACATCCCTAGATGCAATTTCTATTCAAGTTTGCCAATGTAGAATTATTTTAACCCAGAATTTAAATATTCAAGTAAATGTAGCATCTGAAGTAGATTATTTATCTTCATTGATAATCCTTGCAAAGTTGACAATGTAAGACTTATATCCACTATAGAGCTGATGTGCTTTCAATCTCTCACTTGATCATTATCCAAAGCAGATCTCATTGTTAACGCCCTACTGCTAATATCCTTGCTACCTTGAGCTTAAGATACTTGAGAATGGAAGATAAACGTACTTTACTCTTGAGTATGGAAGGTATACGTACTTACGTACTCCTACTTTTAAAACTTTGATTTTTTTACTCATCCATTCAAAGTAGGTCATATGCAGTAATCGAAATATGACGGTAGCTTATGCAAAATCTATGCTAGACTTTTCAAGATAGTGTTTTTTCGTTTTTAAATCAATAAAATTATATGTGTTTTAAAATTATCAGAATTTAGAAATATTGTTATGATTTAGTGATTAACTTTAAAGTGGCCTTGTCGTAATTAGAAAAGACACATAAATCTTGTAAAAGCAACATTTCTGATGTGTGTTTGATATATAAATGATTCTTTTTCTTTCGCTATCATCAACCTTTTTTAAAATAAGTACATAAGTACATTTTATATTTACTGAAATAGATATCCTTAAGAATGAAAAATATTTTTTTTCCCTCCTATTATATTGAAATTTTTTCTTGTGAGGAATGGTCCAAATAAAGTTTAGTGAATGATAAAAATTTGGTTAATGGGTTTTGGTAAAAATAACTTTCCTTATAAATAAAACTGCAAAAATGATATACGCTGATGATTTTTTTTTCAGATTTAAAGAAAATTCATGACTTTTATATATTACAAAGAATGATTTACTTTTATTTCTATTTCTACTTTATAATAATAGCAACAATGATGGGCAAAAATATCCCTTTTAATGCTTACATACTGTTTTAAAAATTAAATTCTATCATGATAACAGAAAGATTCGATATCACCGTCTAAAAATCTAAATAAAAACAGATAATGAATCAAATGTATTTATCTTAGATTTTCGTGTAAGGGCCCTCTGTTTTCTAGACAAAAACCCAGGTGGCTGGATTGGGCCATAGAAGGCAACAATATTACAGAAAAAAACTTGCTTTCGTTGCTGACGGCGAAACTGTCCGATAGGTCCGTTGTCCTGTTGATGAATGTAAAGCTTCTATGTGAATGATATTTATTGAAGACCGGAATGGCATCTACCGAGTCATGGTCAAATATTATACCTGAAGCAAATTATTTAATATGTTAGAAAGTGCATTGTTTACATGTTGAACAAAATAATATACATTGCAGTGAATAACTCTTCAAAGCATTAGAAATCTGAAAAAAGTTAAAAGAAAAGGGAAGTTGCTTTAAATTAAATGCAATTTGATGGTCTTCACACACACAATATTAAATATAAATACTAGTATATAGTGCAAATAGCTAGATTTTGCAGTGAAAGTAATTACATGTACATAAAATGATTTCAACTTGCTGTGGTTCAGTTATCTTAAAAAAAAAAACTCACAATGAAAATTCTGTGTGACAGTGGTATACATTCATACACCTCCGAATATTTTATTAAAAAGGATAAATTGTTTAAAGCTTCTATTGTGTCACGGATCAGATGGGATAGAAAAGTGCGACCCTTCTATTAAATACATATATTTAAAATGCAAGAAAGAGGGTTCTATCTGGCATATTTGTATGTAAACAAGAAAATCGAGAGTTTTTTCTGGTTGCAGTGAGGTACAATTACCATAAAACCTCAGCATAACCAATCAATAGATTTCTGCACCCAAATTGGAGCTATGAGGTTTCTCTTGTGAACTAAGCAATTATACTTCCTATCTTGTAGAACTTAGGAGGATCAATAAAGTGAAACGTTCGGCTCAGAGAGGCGCTAACTCCATTACGAATTATTTGATGAACATTGCTGAGTATTTGCTTTACGTGTGTCAGTTGTGACAGGTCCTCCTTAATTTATTAGCTAATGAGAGATCATTACATTTTTATTGGCCCATACATGTTCTATGCCATTTGTTGATAAAATTTCATTTTTTGCATATCAACACTTACCGAATTTGACACCGATGATCCCAGATAACCACAGCAATGATAATTGCAATATTATTATTGACGAAGACATCCAAACCATTCTCATGTTGAATATTCAGTGTTCACACATCAGAGTATTTGTAACAGAAAATTGGCCATCCTTCTGTTTTTCACACTTCAAGTGCTCTTTTACTTTTACGACTGCAATGCAATTTAAATGCATGGGGGATTTAATCTCAGGAGCAAAATAGTAATGATACTAAAGACAATGATAAACACTCTAATAAGGTCCTGATACGGATAAATGTGTAATTAAGGCTCGCAACGAAACGTTTCCACGAACACAGGCGTAAAATCAATTAGGTCCATCACTGAACAATATGAAGAACCGCTGTTTGTGAATATGGAAGCGGACATGATTATTTGCTGTTTTCGGTATCAGAAACATAAAGTAGACTATCATTGGTTAATGGTCCCAACTTGTGTCTATAGTTTCAACGGATTGGTGGAAATTAACTACGACACATTATTCAGCAAATGTGTATGATTGTCAGAGAATGGATTTCAATTGATTTTTCAAAGTGTAAACTTACTATTTATCAAAAATGCGATGCTCATAGACAATAATGATAATACTGGAGCCAAACGTCTATACATCTTTAAAACTGTGATAGTTTTCTACCTTGTTTGATGTGACATATCAGTAATGAAGCCTACATTAGCCTTCACTGGGTACCTTTTTACACTTCTAACTCATCTTTTGGAATCAAATGGACAAACAAACGTAGTCAAAATTGGTAAGTACCTATTCAAATTCATTTTATAGTGCTCATCTCTATTTTTGTTTTATAAAGACACTTTTATTTGAACAAAAGGAATGAGCAAGATCCTTAAGTAATAGTTCTAAATTTTGTTAATAAATTCAGATAACCAATCCCACTTTTTAATGTCTATATTTAATAATTAGCCTGAAGGACATGAAAGATAGCGTTTAGAGATGGCAATATTAATAATTCTCCCATTACGTTACAAATCGACGTTAGTGGACGATGTCATATTGAGACAAAAATGATACTCACCAACAAGCCCACTCACAGACACAATCAGTTTTATATCGATTTCCACTCCACTTCAAATAAATTTATTTACATTTAAGCCCAACAAAATATCCAATATATTTGGTAGCGAGGATTCGATTTGGATTCTCCAGGGCCGAGAATTATAGCTACTGCTTGAAATAACTCAAAACTCGTTATGGGTTTTTTTTTCAAAGCAAGGGAAAATCTAGATAAAATTACCTAACTGAGCTTTTTTTTTTGGAAATGTAGCTTGTAATATGAGGAGAATGTAAAAGCACTATGGCCTGTTACTATCCCCTTAAACTCAAGTTCGGATAGCATTTTGATTAAAGGCATTTTTTTTTTCAAATCGCATGTTTAAAAGTTGAAGCTAAATATTCCACACACTACATTTAATATATTTTAAAAAATTATAAATCACGAGTTATAAACACTCAAATTAGGACATATTATGGTTGAAAAAGTCTTTTAAAAGTCTATTAAAACAGATAATCTAACGTTCATTATAAAAAAAATAGCAATTAAATAAATGTTGTCACGTTTTAAAAATCATGTGAGTAAAAGGATTTGGAATTTCGAATGTTAACTATTATTCTCTGTTTAATTTTTGAGATCCAGTGTACAAGTTTTCTTTGGAATCTTTATAAAAAGCATATTTCAACACTTGAAGTACTCATAAAGACAAAAACATATTTCTTTCAGGATTCATAATTCACCAGGATTTTGAGGACTCTACAAAGTTATGGAGTGCCATACAATACAAGATGAGGAAAATGGGGGCTTCGACTGACAGGACCTGGGTGCAAATACAAGCATTAGAAGGAACTGATTACATATTTGACACGGAAGACATCGTCAAGCTTCACAAGGAGGGTATGAAAAGAATACAGAATATTGAATGGTCCACATACACACTCACTTAGTTTATGAATGAACTGTAGTAACATATATCAAGATGCTCAAGCAAATAATAGGAAGACAAAGCCGAGTCTAAAAGAAACTTGAGGCAGAGCGGTACTACAATTTCCGGTATTCTAACTAAAAGTAATTAATCTTTCGTTTTCAGGCTAAATTCCTGTTATATCAGCTTTTTTGCTTTCTCACTTTTCTCATAAAGTCTTTAATTCGCTAACACTAGCAAATAGTGTGACACATTTATTTGATTTCTGTAGTGTATTTTACAAACATGTAAATAATTCAGAGCGTTGGTTTTCTGTGAAAGTAGCATGATCAAAACTTCATTAAAGTCGGCCACATTTGGTTTTTTGACATATATTTAAAAATCTGTACTTCAACAATAAGGCATAGTCTATTTTCAGTTTGTAAAAAGGTCGCAGAAGGAGCACAAGCGCTAGTGTTTGTTGGAACAGCCAAGTCAGCGGCAGAAATGAACTCAATAGCAGAAAGAATTTCTGTTCCTGTTCTTATGCCTTTGTCAACAAAAAATCAAAAAACTCCAAGCGATTTTGTCGTTTCCTTAAAACCGTCCCTGAATAAACCTATCATAGAAGTCATCAAGAAAAATGGCTGGAACCGAGTCTTTTATCTTTTCGACTCCGAAGAAGGTTCGAGACAATTTGAATTATATCAAATCTATAATGAACTTGGAGTTCTTACAGATCAAGAGGAAATTATTGATTTTAAAAAAAAAATTAAAAAAAAAACAGAGTATATGCTTTGAGAGATCCAAAAAATTCACTCTAATGAAAGAATTCATTTTTTTCTTCACAAGGTCTTCTACGTTTACAATCATTTCTCGAAGACATTGCAGAGATACAGTTTGTAAATGAAGTCATCATTGAATCCCGGCGAATAACTAACATATCTGATAGTTACGAGTTATTGCGTACAGTGGACAGACAGTACCTAAATTGTTCTAGTCTTTATCCATGTCCCTGCCCTAGACCAATCATCCTGGATCTATCTACTCAGGCTGCTTTCAACCAAACTCGTAAGCAGGTATCTGATAGCACTATTGCAACCCTTAATGTCAAAATGGAACTTAAAGGATTAATATGTTAAAAAAAACAAAAACAAAAACAAAAAAAAACAAAACAAAGTTTTGTCTTTACACAAAGGATTTCAACACAGTTGTTAGCTTTCCCTACAATGAACAAATAATTTCATATCTTGAATCAGCAGATTGCATTCAGGTTGAAATTTGTATAATAAATAAGACACGTTAACGTAAAATTAAATATGTGTCGTAACGTATGCAAATTGATTATATAGATATAAAATATATTAAGCATTATTGCTGTTGTATAGCCCTCTTTTTTAAATATATTTAGTTATTTTTTTTAATTGTTTAACATTAATATAAGTAAATAATTCTAGTAGCTCTACTGTAACTGGCATTAACGGATATGCACTCCCGATCAACCAGCCACTCCCGTTTTACCGTATACCATACCTGATTAGATATTCCCCATTCACAGAATGAACATTACAAATTTGCAGCCTTGACATTAATAAACAAAGTTATATGAATGAAATTGTCATTTAATCAAATAAATGACGAAAACAGACAAAATATAAAACACAATACAAATATTTAATTGGCTGAGATATAAAGTCAAGCAAACAATGTTTAAGGACATACGCAACGTAGTTTGAACTTTATTGTCATTTTCCTTGAAGTTGAAGAGTTCCAATGATTAAAGGAAATGTGTGCTACATTTTAATGTCAATATATTATGCTGTTGCACACTTTTTCTAAAACAAGTTTGGATAAACAAAACATCTAGAATATATGTTAAGTAATTTTTGTATATTTTTCTTTGAATTATACAAGAATTTTCATCAATTGATATTTTTTCAAAATCTCTGGTAATGCATGTTGATTTTTTTTTTTTTTTTGCCTATGAACATCTGATGGCAATATAATCTTAAATTAAGAATATCTTGAAAAATTATCAGTAGGTAAGGTACATTGCGTATGTCCTTAAATCTGACTAGATTCAATTAGAGAACATGACGACTAGTCATATTATAGAAATCCCAGCCAATACAACTTCAAGAAAGCTAACTACAATAACTAACAATAAATCTTACAAATCATAATTGTAAAAAATTAGGGCAAAAAAGGTGGTGCACAAAAGAGCATTAAACACGGTAGTAATGTGTTGTACAAAATTCAAACAAGTATGAGATGTAAAATAAATTGGGTGGTTGAGGGGTAGAGGCAGTTGTTGCAAAAATTGAACTCTCAATCGTGATGGCGATTACAAAACAATAATAACAATACATCTTATTTCTGATTGGTCAATTCAAAAAGCTGGGGTCCCCAATGAGATAACTAAAGAACAAGGAGGCATTTAAGGGATAATGAATATAAATACAAAATTTTATATATAAAACAATTTATTGTGCCAATAAATGTTTATTCTGCTTCATGTGAATATAAGAACAGGTCGGCTAATAAAAGAGCACAATTAGTGCACATCGGACTTTCAACACTTTGTTGGAAAACTTGATCTCTGCATGCATGTAGATGTTGTCAATGAGGAATCCAGCATCTTTTTTATATCAACTTCAAGGTACTTGTGTGTAGAATCAGAAAGATTTTTAATAAAGTTATTTTGCTGATGACCAATCACGAGATATGAAATTTTTTTACTTCCATTCGAAGAATCAGTTGTTCTATGATACCAAAAAGCCTAGTTTTAATATATCGTGAGGAATGGTGTGTAGAGTGTAGAAAAGTCACACTTTTTGATGTTACTGACTTTTGGGAAACAAAATGAGATTTTAAATTTTCTAAAAGTTCTTTGGAGCTTTTGAGAATCTACATTTGATTTAAACCACTTCTCAAATATGTTGTAGCAGAATGCGTCTGAAGTTTCTCCTTTAGAGCAGTTAATATTTTTGTGAGGAGTAAAGATAGGGATGATAGAACATTTGCTGGAACTGGCAATATATCTTTGATTGTAAGGATGTTTATGAAGTTTAGGAATCCAGTATAGGTATAGGGTAGATCGAACACATCATCGTTCCCTAACAACCTGTTGTTACTTCAACGTCTTACGCATGTAGTTTCATATACATGCGCTCGGCACATTGAAGTGAAAGTTGCGGGTCTTCGGATGAGACCTTAAAAACCGAGGCCCCGTGTCACGACAGGCGTTGGCACGATAAAGATCCCTCACTGCTCAATGGCCCTGAGTGCCGAGTAAAGGTCAAAATTTGAAGCCCTTCACTGGTATTTGGTGACGTCTCTATATGAGTGAAAAATTCTCGAATGGGACGTAAAACAATATACAATCAATCAATCAATCATATACATGTATTCCTCAAGACATTTTAACAGATTTCAAGAAAACCTAAGTTTTCTAGCCTATCTTGAATATGGTCAAAGAAGAAAATCGCTATCAACATAGTAACAACATAATTAAGCTGCAGATTGACATGCGTGTCGCATGTCTATATAATCTTCAGAAAAATAACTTGCCTAAAGAAGGCAGAAGTATGTTCTCATATATACGTGTGCAATTTTTCTTTTTGGAATCGGTTTCGGCTGATCATGGTAGATTGCATGCGAGGCATCCGGAAAATGTAACAATACTTTGTTTACTATGTAATGACATCTTTATGTATATTTATCAGAACATGTTAAGTACTAAGAAACATTTTTAATGCGTTTACTAAAGAGATGAATTTAATTTTTGAGAATTCATGAGGACATGAACTACGACGCTTCACACCGGCATATATTACTTTATTCTTTTATTAGGTAATTTACAGTAAATTAGCAAAACCCATTAGAACCGGTTAAACATGTGTTTAGAAGAACATTCCATTTTTTTGAGATAGGATATGATTTTTCTCCAACATGTTGTTTGTTTTCCATCCCATTGCCGAAGACTTTGGAATAGGAAACACAATTCACACATTTATAAAATATAATAAAAATCATGAAGAATCCTATATTCTTGTAGTAAAAACATATTAAGAAATATAAACAGATTAATGAAAGTTTTATGTGATAAGTTGATTTTTACTTCTTTGACATGAATGATTACAGATTATTGACGTCGGCATGAATAGAGAACAATACCATTATATTCTCGCAAACCTGGTAAGTATATATAAGTCTGTTTTAAAATGTCGTTTGGGTATATGTGTTATAAAACAATTTTAATGAAGTGGACCATTCACACTCTAATATTTTCTAATATAATTTAAAATTTGTTAATTTTCTTCTTTTCAATAATATTTTTCCTCTTTTTTATGATACAGGGAGCAGATGAGTTAGATCTCTCTTCTTTTAAGTATGGTGGAATGAATGTTACTGGATTTTCTATCAAGGATCCAACTTACGAAAAAAATATACAGCAGAGTGACTGTTATTCATTTAGTGGCCTTTGTCCAATTAATGTGAGTATACTATTGACAAGAGCGACTGTTATTCATTTAGCCTTTGCCGTATTAATGTGACTGTAGTACGGGCCAGAACGACTATTATCCATTTAGTGGCATTAGTCCTATGAAGGTACATTGTAAGTATAAAGAGCGACTGTTATTCATTTCAATACCTTAACCCCTGTATAAGTTAATATAGGCATTTTTGTCTTTATGTAGTTTAACAGACTTTGATAAATACATGTAAATATGAGTAAATTATCGACTGCCATTCAAGATTTTGCCAAAGGTCAAGATGTCCAAAAATTTATTTTTACAATAGCTCAAAAACTATGTGAGGTATAAAGTTAAAACTTTTTTTATAGTTTATAAATATATCATTGATTAACAGATAGAAAGTATCACTTGAAAACAAATATTTAAAGAAAATGTTTTTTGAGAAAAAAAAATTGAAAAAAATTGCATATTTAAAAAAAAATGCACCTGCTTAATTCTGTACTTTTAGTGAAAACCGTCATTGCAGAAATAATATATGTTTATCAATGAAAGGCAAGTTGGACGTGAATGGTCTCTGAAAGGCTGTTATTGAAAGCATTACAGGTAATAAGACAAGACCCCTATAAAATCTGCCATTTGCGATGTACTTTCGGTTTCAAATCTTAACATTGGACAAAATGAACAGGGAAAACAACTATCCAGAGGCTATCGAAGTCCAACTTGCCCTTCATTGATAAACATATATTGTTTCTGCAATGATGACTTTCACTAAAAGTGCGGAATTAATAAGGTGTATTTTTTTTAAAAAATATTTGCATTTTTTAAAAAAGAATTTTTCTCGATAAATATTTTTTTAGTATTTGTTATCAAGTGATACTTTCTATCTGTCAATCAATGATATATTTATAAACTGTAAAAGTTTTAGCTTTATAAGGCCAAAGTTTTTTTTTCACTTGGTTTACGATTCCGCCGACCCTAATTTTCACAAATCATGAAAATAAAAATAATGTCTTTTTCCGACATATTTTTCCGGATTTTTCTCAGCTGAACTGGTGGGTTTTAAATTTTAGAATGCATCTTAGTCAAATAAGCGCTTACAAATATATGAGACCTTTACAAACATTTAGGTGACCGTAAATAAACACATGTGCTAACCAAAAATGGCGGCTCTGTCATGTAACAAGGTAATTCCTCACTGAAAGCAATGACACACACTTAAAGAACTTTTTCTGCATGGAAAAGTGAATAAAATCTTGGATAAATGATCCCTTTCTCCAATTGCAATGTCTCAATTGGCTAAATTCATACCGTAATATTGGAGAGTGTATGCCCAACCCTGATCGACCTAGCAGACACGTATACACCTATAGATAATAAGGATTTATCAGTGCCTTCTCAGGGGCCGAAGTTCGGCCCATTCCCAATTGAAAATGAGTTCAGTTTTTCCCAATTTGGCAGTATTTTTTCTCAATTGGTGAACAATGCTTTTATTTTTAATTATCTTGGGAAAACACTAAGTAAAATTGTCAGATTGTCTGTAATTTTAACTCATTTAGCAAAGCTACAGTCATAACACATGTTTAAAAACACTGTAAAAACGTCGCCAACTTTTAATCCGAATTTCCTCTGTTTTTCTAAAAATGATGATATTGTGTAATTATATAGATTTATTAAGTTATTTCCACCTACTCATTTGATCTGCGAGTTAATGGTAAGGACTTTAGGCATTATTTCAGTTAGAAAAATATATTTTCAATGCATTAATACATATTAAAAGAGGACTTTTAGAAAATGCGTACTTAGTATAATTTTTTGCAGGAGGTTTATAATCTCCAGAAACAGATACTATAATGATCTAAATTGAAATCTCATACACACATGTACATGTACTACCCAAGTTGTATAAATGCTTTATACTCATTGAAGTCCATTTTACTTTTATTAGTCTATTATTCATAATTAATTTTGTACGAATAAGATGGATCATATTTAATTGTCATTTGGTTGCCCAAATTAGAGTTCGTGCTGAAATGTTAAATGAATTACCCCTGAGTACATGATTTAAGCAACATTTTAAAAAAAAAATTGCAATTTCATCAAACAGCCGATAATTTTTTCCCAATTCCCCAAAAATGGTGTTTCCCAAAATAGGCTGATAAATCCATGGATAATAGTTAGGCCAGTTTAGTGTTGAGAGATACATCTTAATAGTTGAAGCAACGTTGACTGGTATTTCACTGGATAAATTCAAATGTGTATAAAACATTTGTTACTTTATAGAAGTAAATTCAATATACAAATCTTTGCAAATTTCATACTCAATTGAGATTAAAGTCCTTTGAATTACTAATAAATAATGAGCATTGCCTACTGTACAGGTACATAACAAACATTTAAAGAGGGACTTGATTGAGAAATTATTAGGCTTTTTTGCCGCAGGTTGAACATTAAATTTGATAGCTGCATGATCAAATTATTATAACCTTTATTTCAACGTCAATTACTTTTAATATTGTTAAACACTTCAATTGTATTTTTCTTCAATCTAAATTTAACTTGAATTTGGATCCTTATTTCTAGTTTGTGGGGATACCAAGATTTATAACACATCACATATCACTGAAGAGCACAAAATGTTGAACATCATGAACCAAGCACTGATTGACAAACAAAAATCAGAACTATATGTAAATGAAAATGACATTCAGTCTAAAGTTAGAAATGAATAAAAATTAAATAAAAAGAGTTATGTGATCTAGACAATAAAACTTAAAAGTACTATTGACGTGTATTATTTATATTAAAATAAACATTGCTGTTATTTTATAATGAAATTGTTGAATCCAAAATTATTTTTATTTTTATTTTTCGACCACCCAATGCATTTTTTTGAGACAGAAAATCGTAAACCAAAAAAAATAAAAACTTTGGCCTAAACCACATAGTTTTGGAGCTATTGTAAAAATAAAATTTTGAACATGTTGACCTTTGGAAAAACCTTAATGGAATTTTTCACACGTCAAAATAATTTTGACTGGTGTTATTGAAATAGTCTTCTCCAATAAACATTACAGATATCGATGACCGTTGTTCATTGATTGGAATTGTCATTTCTTGAGTATACATTTGACTGTCAATTGGTAAATATTGATAAAAAGATAATCGGGAAATTTGCATGCATATTAGGCACTTGACTTTTCACAAGGCGAAATTTTACATACAGTTGTAAATACCGAGAAATCAACACACTTAACTTTCAAAGAGATATCACTGAGAAAACAGTGAAAAATGTAAATATATAAAAATTAAGAGACAGTGGCTTTAACAATAACTGTGTATCTGCATATTTGTTTCATCAACAGCATAAACATTCTTTGATTATGGACACGTTGGAGTTTCTAAGTCGTGCAGTAAATAGCCCGGGATTTACACTAAATAATCACCAGTCTTTACCATCCAGCAATAGTTGTGACGTTTCTGGTTTGCAGAAAACATATGGAAGGATTTTCCTACGTATAATTAAAGGCGTAAGTTAGAGTGATATTTTCTTCATTAAAAAATAGAAGAACATGTATTCAAGTCAAAATTATTGCACTATTCCTGTGTTTTGCTACAATAGCATTGATACGCTTAAAAATAAATCAGGTGTCTTAATAAGAAAATACATTTTAATTGCCGAGTTCTAACTTCATCAGTCTTTACTAATATTCCTTTTACAAGTGGACATATTTTTTCATATTCAAAGAATGGGTTGTCTAAAGAGTGATGAATATACGAGTAAATAGTGTCCAGTTTGAATAGTTTTCTAAAATTTGATAAAATATTTGCGTATGAGTCATAATTACAATATAAAAGACAATGCTTGATTTTGATGATACCGTTATCAAACTGGGATTCAAAAATATATCAAAGAGGAATAACATATTTTTAGACAAAAGTGAAAAGTCCTATCAGCACCGGAACAGGAACTTTAGCACTTGATGCGCAAGGAAAGAGAAAGGATTACATGCTAGAAGTCAAATTCTTTACTTTCAACTCTTCGAAATTTGAGAAGGTATTGTCTGATCACCATAGACATTATAGGAAAAATAATGGAGACTTTAACTAATAAAGTCTTTTACAATTAATAAAACATTAGATAAAGACGTATGTAGTTGGACGAAAGACAATCGGAAGCATTTCTGACCAGCATTAAGGATTTTGACTTATGCGAAATAGGTTTTTCATGTGCACTCTTTAGAAAAAAATGTGAGTCAAAATCTTTTGTTTTACAGGTAGGAATTTGGCAAGAATCAGGATTATCGACGAAACTGGATTACTGTAATCCTTCTAAGGATCCCATAACCAGGGACAACCAGACTTGGATTATTACCACAATAGTCGTAGGATATCCTTTATTGAGTTGTATATAATTAAAACAAGGCTATAAATAGTTGAAAAGTTTTGGGCTAAGGGCACCAAGTTAATTTTATGTATTGTAAATTAAACTTTTAGAAATATAAATGGTTTTGACCAAATCGGCCAAGGAGTCTATCTATTTGATATAAATAAAATATTTGATTCTGTCTAGGGCGAACCTTTTGTGCAAGAATTAAAGTTGAAAGAGGGCAACGCAGTTGCACAACAGGGTGTAGCCATGATCAATGGAAAATTGTACGAGGGCTTTTGTATAGAGGTAGCAGAGAAAATAAAGGAAAGATATGAACGACTGGAAGGAAAAGGCCCTGGGACTTTTAATTATAAATTTAAGTTAGTTGATGATACAAACTTTGGCAGTCCAAACAGAGACAATGGGACATGGAATGGAATGATAGGCGAATTATTGACAGGGGTATGTAAAAAAAAAAAGGGAAAAGCTTTAAAAATTATTAATAAGTGTTCAGCTTTTTGTGTCCAAATTTAACTTTTGCCATCATCTAGTGTGAATCATTTTTTGTCCGACATCTGAATCTCAATTTTTCGAAAATTTTACATTTTGTTGACATAAAGTTTATAACAGGAAAGGAGAAATATATAACTGGACCGGGAATCGAAGCAGAGACCCCTATTTCACTAGTTAGGTGTTCTAATAACATGTAAACCAAGTTCTGTTTGCTCCTGGCAGGTTTTTCACTTGCAAGTCGGGGGGGGGGGGTTCCACGGCACCAAATTTTATATCCAAACTATTTAAAGTTAAAAAAAAAAAAGATAGCAGTGAATAAGATAATTACTTTGCATAACCGAATTTGTTTCGCAGCGAGTTGTCTAAATTTTCCATTGAAATTATAATGGGTTTCTCTTTGTATAACTTTGTTAACAGTTTTGATGAAAAATTCACTTTAACATAATTTTTGTTTAAAATATAACGGATAGATAAGCATTGGCGAAAAATAAAAGCAAATATTAATCCCCTTTCAGTGACAGAGATTAAAACTAAAAGTTAAGAACAGTTTAGGAGGAATATTGATAAAAACACAAGTTAAGTGAACTGACTAGTTCTTCTTCTTACAGTTATAATTTAATTGTAATTTATTTTGTAGTCACAAAATTTATACAGGGAAACTAAATTAATGGGCAGTAATTATGCATTTACATTGTTCGATACTTAAATGTATTTTAAAATTCTCCTAATTTGTATTTTACAGAAAGCTGATTTAGCTCTAGCCTCTTTAACTATCACTCGAGCCAGACAAAGAGTGGTGGACTTTACAAAACCTTTTATGAAAATTGGTATCAGCATCATGATTAAGAAGCCTGACAAACAAAAACCTGGCGTTTTTTCCTTCATGGAGCCCCTAGACTCCATGGTGTGGGTTTGTGTCAGTCTTGCTTTTACAGGCGTCAGTCTTGTTCTTTTCTTTGTCGGACGATGGAGCCCATATGAATGGCGGGCTGAGGCGACAAGAAAGGAAATTTCAGTGACAAACGCTTTCACTCTGTCTAATACTTTGTGGTTTTCTTTGGGAGCACTGATGCAGCAAGGTTCTGATATTTTCCCAAGGTTAGTTGGTGATACATTTAGTGCAAGAATATATGTTGTCTAGATGGGGTACAATGATATCATTCACTGAAGCTGCAATTTGCACTCTCCCTTTTTAAGCAAGTTACTCACTTTTTCATTGTGCAGTGTTTATTAAAACCATTAATGCACCTTTAGCGTTATATAAAGCACATTTCTATATCAATGTACTCTATTGGACAACAAATAGACAAATATATGATTTCCAAAATCTAAATAAACATAGAGTTGTTATAAATGAGAAACCAGTGCATAAAATAGCTATCACTGAGAAAGTATCAGACCTTGGTTGCATCTAAAAGCCCAAAGCATTTTGGTTTAGCATTATTTTTAATATTGGTGGTGCAGATCAATTTCAGGTCGGATTGTTGGTAGCGCTTGGTGGTTTTTCACTCTCATCCTGATTTCCTCGTATACCGCTAACCTTGCCGCCTTTTTAACAATAGAAAGACTCATTCCCCCTATACAGGGCGTGGAGGATCTAGTTAAAAACAAAGATGTGGAGTATGGAACTTATAAAGGCGGATCTACTGAAGCCTTTTTTGAGGTACTCTACATGTTTAGAATCAAAGAAAAATCAATGGTTAATCTTTTTATTTCACATAAAATTTTTATAAAGAAATTTTTATCAACAAATGATAAATCTGGTCAAATGCAACATCATCGCGTTTAACACTTTAGTTTCAGATGTAATGTAAGAGATACTTGACTACCTTTAAGTTGAAATTTAGACTTTTTTTATTCCTCACACAATTGTAACCGATTTGGAATATTTTAAAACCGTTTAAAATTCATACTTTAGAGCAGAATGGTTTCTAGTGCCTTTAATGTAAAAATTAGAACATATGCAGATTCCAATTAATGTGATTTGCAACAAAAGTTGCATCACCTTAAAATACCTCATTTTTACAGCTTAAGGAGGCTGGGGGGTCAACAAATTAACCATCAGTTATAACTTAATTTTCTAGATATGATATCTTAAGCTGTCAACTATCATTTGGCAAAGAAAAATTTCATATATTTTAGTTTTAAAATTTGATCATTTTGTTATAACTTTACATGGAGCTCTTCTTCTAAAGGAGATCAATATAGTCTGAAAATGGCCACAACCCCCAGCCCTCTTAACTGAGCTTTTTCTTTTTTTTTTCGATTAATATTTGTCCGTCGTCTGTCTGTCTGCTGTCCGTCGTCTTTTATTTTTTTCACATTTTTGACTTTTTTCTTTAAAACCAATGGACCATTTTCAACAAAACCTGCCCAAAAATATCCTAGGATGAAAGGGATTCAAGTTAGCCAATGAAGAACCACGCTCAGTTTCAAGGGAAGATATTTTAGGAATAGCGAAAATAGTGTTGTGTTGTTTTTAAATCCTCTCAAGAACCAGAAAAGACAAAACTTTGTGAAAGCTTCCTTACATTCGAGATTGTTTACATCACGTCTTCGGGGGATAGGGTAGAGTGGGGCCACAAAAAGCGTTTTACTTGAAATATTATATATAGGAAAAATATTTTTAAAAGATTTCGAAGCCATGAATAGATATAATATGCTAGCATATTTAGGAAGTAAAATTAAACTTAACCTTTGCGAAATGATGGAGTCACAAAAAGCGATCAATTAGTTGCTTAGAATATATATTCAAATATCCTCTTCAAATACCACAGGGACACAAAAATTCAAATTGATATCAACCATCCAATTGAATTCAAATTTATATTTATTCAGATCATGCCTCTTAGGACTATAGTGGAACTGAAATGGATTCCAAGTTTTACATGGGAATTAATAGAAAATGTAGCAGGGTTACATCATATCATAGTCGGTGATTTTTTGCCATGTTCACATATTTATATTGTTTGTAGATTTTTTTGAGATCGATCACTTTTGTTATCTTCACCTTTTTCTTTGAGATACAAACATTCCCAGTCGTGTGTATTTTTAAATATTTTCAAATTTTGGAACAATGGGGTTAGAATGGGGGCAAAATTTTATATAATACAGACATACAGGAAGAAAACCCACAAAACAGAATGGCGACGTTTGTTATACTGATATTCAGCATCCTTGTGTGGTGTGGATTCATGTCTGATTAAGTTCTTACCCCTAGCACGTAGGTGGTCCCACAATTTTGGGTCAAATGTTTAAAGATAATATAGAGGGAAACAATCTTTTAAAAACTCTTCTGAAGAACAGCAGGATCAAGGTGACTCGGGTGAGCCTTGGGGCCCATGGATATTTTTGATAGTGACTTATAAAGAATGAATACAGAATTCGAATAGTTATAAGATAGAAATATAAACTAGGGATAATTTTCTATGGCTCGGGTAACACACAGAAATCTTTGTTTGTTATTTTCCTGCAGATGTCACAGGTGCCTATATACAATCAAATGTATGAATATATGAAGGCAAATGAGAAAAAAGTTATGGTAAAATCAGATGAGGAGGGATATGCTAGAGTACGCCAGTCCAAAGGTGATTACGCCTATCTAGTGGAATCACCAAAAAACGACTACCAGAATCAGAAGAAGCCATGTAATACCATGAAAGTGGGAGAAAATTTAGATCATAAAGGTTATGGAATAGCAACAGCACCAAACTCAGCCCTAAGGTATATAACACTGGAACAAAATGACGTACTCTCAAGACAATTTAGACACAAATGAGCAATCTTAAAGTCACCTGACATCAAGGCACATGTAGTAATTATTATTTATTTAACACTAATTTCATTGGTTTTTCATGATCTTGAGAGTAGTTTTAAATATATTAGGTTAAATCTTTTTAAACAATATATTACCCGAAAAGCAAGTTCGCATTATTTAACTTAAAAAAATATTTTTTTGCATATCATAAACACTAAAAATGTTTCGTGCATGTATGTGACCTCTTCTTTTAAATTAAGAAGAGCTAATTAAGTTTCCGGTTATATTGCTATGCAATTTTACTCACCGGTCTAATATATGATGTGGGTTTTCGAATCAGTCGTTATTATCGGATATTGTAACACACTGCATAGTGGGGAGTCTGTATTTTTATAACAGAGTATGTAATTTTTGATATAAAAAGGAGGAATCATTTAATTGTTAACACTTCAGAAAGGATCTGAATCTCGTCGTGCTGATGCTGAGGGAAGAAGGGGAGCTACATAAGTCGTTATTATCGGATATTGTAACACACTGCATAGTGGGGAGTCTTTATTTTTATAACAGAGTATGTAATTTTTGATATAAAAAGGAGGAATCATTTAATTGTTAACACTTCAGAAAGGATCTGAATCTCGTCGTGCTGATGCTGAGGGAAGAAGGGGAGCTACATAAACTACAAAGAAAATGGTGGTTTGATAAAGGGGAGTGTGGTACAATGGACTCAAAGGTATGTTTAAAACAAAATATATACATTTTGGTATCTCTCTATTATAAACATACTGAGAGCAAATATCTTCATACCTGTATGAAGTTTTTCGAAGGTCATAGGTCATTACGTGATCTAATCAAACAGCGCAGTAATATCTACATAAAAAGACTTACTCTACTTAGCAATATAGCATGTTTTTCATGCATAAAAATGTACAAAATACCCAAGTAAAATAATAATCATTTTATTTACAATGTAAACGAGTAATTAATACAGTTCTTGATCGATTTTACATAGAGAATAGAAAACTACGTGTTATAAATTTCATGTCTGAGCTGCATAGTCTCAACGTTTACCCTTATTTTTCTTGTAGACCTCTGAATGCTATATTTTTTCCCCATTAAACTTTACTCACAATAAATTTGAAAATCTGTTGGAAAATATCAATGTAATGCAATCACGCCACAAACAGCTGACAAACACTGCACTTCGGAAGTTCGGTAGGCACACCTCCATCATCGAGATCGTAGTCTTAACAATGTAAGCTGCTGCCTGTGTCTCCGTGTCAACATCATAATAAATATGCCTTATTGAAATCATAGATTTTATGTTTCTGATCAAATTTTAAGTTTGATTCCAAGTTAACTGGTCCGGACAAGTGTCTCCATCCATCCCTTTCCGACCGAAAAATTCCTCAAACTTTTTATTATCAAATATGGGACGTGTTTCTTGTGTTTTTTTTAACATCGAATATGGGTTCTCACGAATACAAAAAATCCCAGACACCAATATGCTCACTATAATTGATCACAAGTAGCCTTTCACAGAATATTCCCTTCAAAACAGAATCCTTTGCCAGATGAATTTGAAGCGTAACCGCTTTTCAAGCCGATTTACACCTTGCGTAATTTGTCAAAATCTACGACGAACAGTTACTGCAATATTTATATTCGATTGTCCGTCTCAAATGTATATATAAGTAATAAATAACAAGTTTAAAAACTTCACTGGGAAATGAAGTGGGTCGGTACGTGATCAAATCTTCTGAGAAGGCCTTCGGCCTTCACAGGATTTGATCACGTGACCGACCCACTTCATTTCCCAGAGAAGTTTTTAAACTTTTATTTATTTCTTAATTAAAAGGCAAAGTCCCTGTAAAAACAATCCAATAAGTCACCAGCATCTGTCTCTGTTTCGAAATAGTTAGGTTATCTGTTCATAATGAAACTTATTGGACAGTTATTTTCAACTTACTGGATAGTACCGGATAAAACAAAAAAGAAAATTTCAAACAAAAGCAAGTTTTTAATATAAAAAAAAAGGACTGTAACAAGTAAAACATGAATTTTATGGAATTCCGACTATTCCCAACACATTTTAAATTTTAGATTCACAATTCACATCTACACATAAATTTTAAGGACTCCCAATTGCATTTTTTTTTTTTAGATTCATGCCCTGTTCACACGGAGAGTTCAATTCGAATTAAACGTAAGTTACTGCGAATTAAATTTGATCCGAATTCACGCGGAGAATTTAATGCGACTTAGTTTAATTCGGATTAGTTTACTGCGCATTAAATTACTTCGCATTTGCTCCGTGTGAACGCTAAGCGAAGATGATTCGAATTAAATTTTGATGCATGCGTAAGGGCAGAATTAAGTCACAGGCCACATGTCGATGGTCAAATATTGGTACTTGTGCTATTTTTGAGTGGAAAACAAAGGAAAATTATGTTAATCACTAAAATGTGTACAGACACTATGACAATATGTCAAATGTATCTACTCTGAACAATATGACTGATTTGTAAATGACGTCATAATAGCTTCACTGAATAGCCATGTTGTAGAAATAAAATTATAATTCGCATTAGTTTACTTCGCATTAGCTGTCGTGTGAGCGCAATTTAATTGGCATTAGTTTAATTCGCATCATTTTACTTCGCATTAATTTACTGCGAATTAAACTCTCCGTGTGAACAGGGCATCAGAATTTTGATTTAATTCCCTTGGCCATGATCTTTTGTTACTGCACATCAAAGGAATTTTTTCATAGTTTATGAGTGAATTTAAAAAAAATGACCAAACGCATATTTATCAACCCACACTTAAAAACAGGCAATGAAAATAGATTTCTATGTCTCAGCATATGTCTTTAGATAGTGTCTAAATACCTGCCTAATATCTCATTGATATCTCAATTAACAAAAAAGTTATGCCCAAAAATGAGGCTAAAATTGTCAAGAGTGCAACACCTTTTTGTGACATTTTGAAATTTCAATATTTTTTGGAGATCTGTGAAATAAATAATAATGCTTTATGTTGAAAAAAAAGACTTTTCTGATAATATTCAAAGTATCGATCTTTAAATGTGGACTGTAGTAACTTTTGTTTAATCAAGCTGTGGTCATGGCTGATGTTTAAAAAATGTTATACCATGTCAGGAGTGCAACAGAAAAAATGTAGTGTTGCCAAAAAACATTAATTGTATAATTCTGAAAGAAAATTAAGACAAAAAAGAATTTTCGAAGTGTAAAACAATAACTGATATACATTTTAAAGCTTAAAAATGTTAATATATAAATCACAAACAGCATTAATGAGAGTCAAGTATATGTGCATAACCAATAATGTCTGGAGCGCAACATTTGATGTTTTGCTCCCAAGCATGAAAAAACTATTATCATTATATGATTTTCTGATTTTTATTTTGGAAAATAAAGACACAAAGAACATTTTTACCAAATAGATTTATCAATTATAGGATCTGTCTGTGCTTCAGATCTATATTTCTATGGTCAGGAGTGCAAGACATTTTTTTAAAGATTCAAGTTGTATGACGAAAACACTTCTAATCATGCTTAGAAGTATTCATTAATTAATAATGATCTTTTTGTATAATTTAATACTAAATTATTGACAGTTTTATTATTAAAATCCTTCAATTTTCAATTTTATCAATTCAGATGTGTTTTTATCATTTTTGTGATTTTTTTTGATGAATGTTAAAAATAAACACACTAAAAAATTGTCATAAAATTCAAGTAATTCCTCCTCAACTTCACTGAAACAACAGAACAAGTTCTTATGTAATTTTCACTTCACAATTCTACTTTAAACGCCCCAATGCTTTTGGTCAGGAGTGCAACAAATATGTTAGAATTATGAATCATCCAATAAGAATAGAAATAAAGAAAAAAATGATAAGTAGAATTTTTCTGGTGGATTACTGTGTTTGTCCTCTATAGGAAAATATGCTATAAAATATATTTTATCTTCTAAATATACATTTAAGCTAGTTTTTTGGCATAAGTAGGGAATAATTCCAGATAAAATGCGAATTTAAAATACTTTCATCTGTTTTAATTTTGAATTGTTGGACTATAAATATTGCACAATTTCATAACAACTTCATGTTGCCTACACTTTATGAATTTTTGTATTCTAAGGTTTTAATTTTAAATTTTACTGCAGTCAGGAGTGCAACAAAACTGCTTTATAATTACCATTGCTTTTTAACTACCTTTACTAAAAAATAAGATGAAAAAAAAATGTTTGAAACTATTTGATGTTCAAAACATTATGTCAATCAACAACTTACAGAAATTTTACAGTCAATTCAGGGAATAGTTTTCATCATTTCACATATATTTTTAGATACAATTTATATATATATTACACTTTGCAAATAATCATGTTTTAAGGTCTTCAAAATATGAAAAACCTGTCATAAACGATGAAAAATATCGAAACGACAAATTGATTACAAAGTAAGAATGGGTTATTGTGTGTTATAATTTTTAAAACAATTTTAAATAAAATACATATCAGATGCCAGGAGTGCAACACAATAATATAACACAGGGTCACTTCAAAATCTAGTATTTTTTATAAGAGATAAAAATTCTTTTTTGGCTTAGATTTAAAGAATTGACTTGAACGGACAAAAAAGTGAATATCGGGAAATTTTATTGCTTCATGTTTTTTTCATATTAAAACGTTTCAAACCAGAATTGAAAAAATAATGTAAAATAACAATCAAAAAGCCAAATTTTTGTCACATATACAAGAGAAGATGCTCAATCAAGGTCTAGATTTAATCATTTATACCCCTTTTACCATTTTGAAGCATAAAAACTATAATTTCTTGTGATTATGTATTTTAGAAAGTCTTTTAAGGTGTAATGATATTTTCTTTTTTCAAAAGAAATTTTACTAATAAAAATTCTGAAACTTTTTAATCCAATTGTCTAGTCTATTGCAACTTCAGGATTTTAAACTAGAATGCATGTGCAGTATGATGATATAAGTGAAAAATATGTCATAAGTAGTTGAATTTTTTTTAATTCACCCTCATATGAATTTCACTGTATCTACAGGCACTTTACATAAAGGTCTAAACCAAAAGAACAATCTGCGATTAGTTTCCATATATCTTTAGACAGTCCATTTTGTTTCATATCTTCTACTTAGTATATATTTTTGATACAGAAGAATTATGGAATTTTTTCATGATTTCTACATTTTGACTGGCGTGAACCATTAAATTTCCTCATCAGATATATCCAAAAAGCCATCTCTAATACACTGAAATTTGGTTTCATAGCATTTTTTTTGTTTTAATACATGTATACAGCATTTTACTTAGAACAATCTCTGCATTTAGACCTTCAATTCTGACTGAATTCTTTTCTAAAAAATGTTCTCAACACCACACCAGGGGAAGACATGTTTATGAAAAAAAAAAGTCCAGATAACGAACAGTAATTGATCTTAAAAAAAAGCAACAACAAAAAAAAAAAAAAAAACAAAAAACAAAAACAAACCAAAAAAAAACAAAACACTATAAATCTGTGAACAGGGCATAAAGCATGGACCCATGGAAATTCCAGCGGTAGGATTAGGTGCCTATCATACCCTGTCGATCGGTCACAGGTAGACTGAATATTCCGTAGTCAAAGTAAAGTCTAGAAAACAAAGGCCTAATATGTCAGTCAAAATACGACCCTTTTATAG